CGTTTGAAACATCCGGTTATAATCGAATTCTTGAGTTTTTCCAAGACTACTCTGTACCGGTATTTTTTGCCGAATATGGCTGCAATATCCCCGACGGTGCAGCAGGCCGCATATTCCAAGAGACAGGTGCACTTTACGCACGCAACATGACTGCGGTTCTCAGCGGCGGCATTGTTTATGAATACTTTGAAGAAACTAATGACTATGGTATGTATAAAGAAAGGGAGTCGGTTTTCCTTGATGTGGGCGCTTTGGTGGCTTGTGAAGCTGATTGAAAATGAATCCATAGGCCTGGTCAAGATAAACGGCAATACCGCCACGAAACTTAAGGACTTTGCCGCTCTCCAACAACAGATTGAGGCAGTCAACATCCAAGGGGTTGAGATGGCAAGCTACAACCCTTCCAATAAGCCTGCCTCCTGCCCTACGGTCAATTCGACATGGGAGTCGAGCGACAAGCTCCCGCCAACTCCCGACACTGACACTTGCAGCTGCATGGTCAAGGCCTCCGAGTGTGTCGTTTCCAGCAGTACGGACTCTGATGACTACGGAAGTTTATTTGACTATGTCTGCGGGTCTGATCAGACTTTGTGCGACGGTATCAACGGCAACACCTCCACTGGTGATTATGGTGCATTTAGCATGTGCAGCGATCAGGACAAGTTGACGTATGTCCTGAACCAGTACTATCTCAAGCAGAACAAGGACAGCACTGCTTGTGACTTCAATAGCAGTGCTGAGACGCAAACTGCCTCTGGAAGCTTGAACAGTTGCAGCAATCAGGCCACTTCCGGCAACTCTACAGACTCGGGCGACTCTTCAGGTTCAGGCAGCGATGATAAGGACAATGGCAGTGCCGAATCTCTGATCCCTGGAAGCTGGTCACTTGGCACAGCAATGTTTATTACTCTTCTTGTAAGCACAGGCATTATGAGCCTATAATTATTTTACACTTAATCAAGACAAGAGGGTTAAGAAAAGAGAAGTGGTCTCCAAGACGAGTTGCCCCTTCCCACGCAATCTTCCTATTAACTATGTGGATCAGCTAAGCGTATTGATGTATGAAACCCACAATCTTTCAACCCATTCATCGGTTTAATTATAGAAGAGCGTATTTAACTGAACTCGCATGGAATGAGGCAGCTGCGACACCAACTATCATGTTTAGCTCCAGTAGTCAACCAACGTAGTGGGGGATACAAGTGCTACCCCAAGTGAGATCTGTTTTGATGGTCCTCAACAAGCTGGAATCACATTGTACAAGTGCGCTTGGCATCATCCAGCGAATTGCGCATCGGCGATTTTATTTGGAGCCCTGCGGTGATCTACCTCGGGTGTCGCGGCGATGTGACGCGGGGTTTGGGTCGACCGACGCGGCATTTTACGAGAGCCCACTCAAGAATGAGACGCTCGTTGACTTCGTTGACTTCGTTGACTTCTCTGCTTTTAATCTGTACCAGAGTAACTGTGTCTAGAAGACAGCAATAGTCGCCACGGGTCTCCGTGCTATATATCCATCGTCACGAAGTAGCCCAGCCAGGGGAATCGCAGAACACAAACCTCGACCGCCGGAATACCCCGCATCACTCACTGCAGCGCGCCGTTCCAGGTCCAACTAACTGTCATCATGCCTGTCTATCATGTTGGTATGTTGCACCTAGGTTTAATGCAGATCAAGAGCCTCCCAAATAACAGGGATTTTAGTTCTCTTCAAACTGAAGCCGGAAGTAACTGCTCAGCAAGTTGACAATTTGCGAGAACTGGTTCTTGCCATGCACGGCCAGATTCCAGGTGCGACCTCTCTGCTTCAGCTATAGTCCAAATCATTAACAATCATCGTAGGGTTGCTCAAGATTTCTTTCGGACCGCCACTGCCGATTACAGCTTCGCGAGCACAGGGATTCAATATAGGAGTCGTTGCTATTCTTGATAAGCCTGATACCATTCCGATATATGCAGCTCATGCGGCTCATCAGCCGTATGGATACATCTTTCCATAATACAGGAGCCATACTGATTTAAGTGCCTAGGGTAATGCAAAAGAGAGAAGAACTTTGCACTGATGCTTTAGCTTATGACATGGAATTTGAGGACTAGAAAGACAAGAATGTTCAGTGCCCTGGATAGACATCTCCGGGAGTGTGTGGTAAGGTTAACAGTCAATAGCTAATATTGACTCTTCGGTGGGCCGTGGAGAAATTCATCGCTGCTATTTATCTTGCCAATGAAATACACCAGAGTTCAGGATTGTCATCTCCATTTTCGTCTAGAACGCTCATTCACCTGTGACTTCGTTTGCCTATCCTTAATATTTTCCCTTCCCGATTGTATTCATCTACCCGCTGCTTTTCCAATGATCGTAAGCCTGTTTTCTCTTAAAAAAAACGCGTGCCATCTAGCTTATCCTTATTATTCATTTACTACCCATCTTTAAGATACATTCATCACCCTAAAAGCCACGGATAACCTTGAAGTCATGTGCTTGCACTTTCACCGACGAGCTTGAGCTTACCAAATTACCGATCATCGGAAAACGGGCGGGTAATTTAGTGATAACCTTACATGCCTAGCGCGGTTCAATGCTGAGCTGGGCCCCACTGTCGTCTGGTTCTATAAGCAGCCCTACCCCCGACATCAATCTTGAAAGTCGACCATGTGTTTTCTCTCTCTAGCTTGCTCCGACTAACATTCTGCTCAATGGTTAATATGGTGTAGCAGGAGGACTGTGAGTGAACTGAAGATGTATAAAGTCATGAATATGAGCAGAATGGAATTTTTATTACAAGCCTTCCACGTGAAGCAAATCGTACCTATTTATGAGAATTACATGTTCGAGCTGGTCTTCTTCAACTGCTCGACTAAATTAAGCTCTTATATCTGGATTTGGTATGTGCCACCGCGTCTCTAAACAGAAAGTATGAGTAGTTGTTGTGCAGCTTGTGCAAGAATTCAAACTCCTTTGGTTTGCTTGAAGTTGGGTCACAGACCAAGCACTCCAGACTAAGACGAAATTTAATCTCGTCTGCCTCGTTGTCTATACTCGTGTCCAACCGCTTGACAGAAAATCGATGACAACCAGCGAAACTCCCCTTATTGTCACCAAAGACAATAACAGCTCTACTTCCTATCGATTCTCTAGACTGACTATCTGACAGTTCAACCTCAGCAATTTGGAATGTTCCCCACAGAATACTAGATATAGGAGGGAGCTGAGTGTCGGATAGTTGTTTTGCGCTCCAAATGAATTTTTGGTCCGTTGTTGGAGTCAACTCTATTTCAATGTGAGATTCATATACCCTCAACCAATCCAAACCTTGCATCTACTCACCATCATAAGATACTTTCGATAAAGGGAAAATAGAAAGGGCTATGCTTTCCGGGAGAAAAACTGGCCCTGAAAAGAAGCCCGTCACGAATGCGGACAGTAGATCCTTCTCCGACGCAACATTTTTTCTCGAGCACATTGATAAGATGATGGAATGAGAATCTCCTTTGCTGTCATGGCTTCGTGGATTTACAAGGCTTCGGACAGTGTTTGAAACTTTCAAGGACTCTGATACTGCCACGCTCGATTGAATATGCCTTGGATTTGTTTGCTTGAGGCAATCGCGAAGCCTCAAGGCATACGCCCCGCCAGCACTAGCGAAAACCAGAGTCGTCCCTAATGCAATTGTCTTTGGCGTGAGAGCCTCTGCTATCTTTCGGAAAGGATTAGACATAATGAAAAAAAAACAGTCCTATTCGTTGAGGTATGACAAAGACAAGATTTTCATAAGTGTTGAATGCTTAAATACAGCAAAGGGTTGCTTACGGACTTGCTGTTGGCCGAAACTCCGTGCAGCGGTCCGACATCTCCCGCGCATAGAAAAATAGCTCATGTTTCATTCTCCTAGCAGCTCAATCGAGAGGATTTGACCAATTTAAAAGATTCAGCAATTCGGTGTTTATTTTTGGAGACTGAAATGTGTTTCATAGTCCTATAGGCAATGCCAGCTGTCGTTGTGGGTAACGGAATATAGCGCTGTGGACGAAGACTTGATAACTAAACATTTTTTTTATTTTAAAAGGGCGCACATATACGGTCCGTACATACCTAGCTAGGTATGCTGCATTTGACTTCCAGTCAATGGGCCAAGTGTAACGGGGCATTTAGGGAATGGCTGGGTATCTACATCTTACATGAAAAGGAAAGAGACTTATAAATAGTTTGAACACTTGGTACTCCATTGTTATAATACATTACAGGGTACATAGCATTCTCCGCACGAGAAACCAAATCAAATGTCCCACACTCGCATATGCTCCGTACCGCTTTCCATACTATACAAGTTGCATCGCCTACTACTCGTCTACAGACTCGTCCATTTACCGGAACCATTTACTGGAAGCAAATATACAACCTTGATTCCATTGTTTGTCTACATACATGTATGCTGCCTGGCGCTTAGTAACTGGCTGAGCGCAGATAAGCGAGACCACAACTATGATTTTTTTTCTGAATAAGGTACCAGAGCACGGAGTATGTAATACGATGCAACTACATTGTCTTCTAGGCCGCTGTTTGGAGAAAACCCACAGTTTATCTAGGTAGGTAGGTATAAACTGTTTATCACTGAGATTGGCGCCCAAATCGTTCATTGGATACGGGGTAGAGTTTATTGACCACTTCCAAATGCAGACAGATATGTAGGCAAGGTAGGATATAATCCAGCTTATATAACCAGGCTCTTTCATTTGTAATTGAAGCATAGCTGATTATTCGATTTTAGTAAGATATTGCGTGTGGCCCCGATTATTGGAAATGGGCATCTTTTTTGTATTTATAGGTACTGATGGACTTGTTTCCAAGGTATACCGCGCGCGCATGCACTAACAGCAAAGCCAAGTGAGCCCAATCTTACGCCGTAGATTGCTCAGCTCAACTCTTTCCCCTCTTCCGGAATTTTCACATTCAGAACACTCTAGATATTCGACGCGCAAGGCCACCAGGGCAGATACAAATGTCTGCTGCCAAGCCAATTCTGATTTCAGGCGGCGGCCTTTCATCGCTGCTGCTGGCCCAATCCCTGCGCCGATCCAAGATACCCTTCAGGATATTCGAGCGCGATGCGTCATTTATTTTCCGAGCTCAAGGGTACCGACTAAGGTTATCTACAGAAGGACTTGAGGCCATCGAATCTGTCCTTGATCCCCAAACATGGCAGAAATTCTGGGATAAGTGCGGAAAGACCGGCGGTAGCGGTTTCACTGCAATGGATGCCATAACGGGAGAAGAAACGGAACATACTGCTCCCGAAGCTTTGGCTTCACGAGGCGGCAAAATTGTGGGCATCGCCCGGGGAGATATGCGTAAGGTGTTTGCAGAGGGCTGCGAAGAACACATTGAATGGGCCAAAAACGTAACCGGCTATGAATTAACTGACAGCGGGGTTGTTGCTATATTTTCCGACGGATCCAAGTCAATCGAAGGCTCTATGCTCGTTGGGGGCGAGGGTATCTACTCCAAGGTCGCGAAGCAGCTCTCCGGCGGAAGACTCAAGGTCTACGACACAGGCGCTAGGGGAATACACGGACAGGCCCCCACGACCGCGTTCAAGGGTCTGGGAGAAGGAGTCTTCACCGTGCGGGATAAGACCCGGCCCGACGGTGCCGTGTTCATCATCACCAACATTCGCCCTGATCAAATGGACGACCCCAACATTGAGTTTGGATGGACAATGGGAGGCCAGCCAGGTGTAATCCAGGTCCCCAACGACGATTACAGCATCGTGGGCAAACAGGCTGCTGACATCGCCAAGTCACTTGTGAAGAATTGGCATCCGCGATTCAAGCCCTTGTTTGATGAGATGATCGAGTCCGAAGCGGCATTTTGGAAGATTACGTGCTCGACTCCATCAGGTGTACCAGAATGGCCAAACGAACCTCGTGTGACAGTCATAGGGGACGCCGTACACTCAATGACACCCGCGGGAGGAATTGGGGCGAATACTGCCGTTCAGGATTCTGCGCTGCTAGGAAGATTACTGGGTGAGGCTGGAGGCTATGAACCTGGCATTACGGCTGCCTACGAAAAAGAAATGAGGATTTATGGCAGCAAAGCTGTTCATCAGAGCTATACGACGGCAGTCAGTTCGTTTGGCGTTAAAATTGACGAAGCGACCAGTCCAACTGTCTAGACTTGATGCATTCGGTTATAAGATGAAAGCATGGCTGCACGGTAATGTAAGGACACGCATTTCTCATTAGAATTGGGTTGCCTTTTGTTAGTACAGCGTGTTGAGGAGTGGTCGGTACTGCGTATCTTAATACACCATAATCGGGTAGACCCAGGTTTGGCTTGAATGAACAATCGCATTTATTGTCTCAGTGAGAGATTATTACGAATCAGAAGCAAACTCACTGTAAATACTTACATAGTCTAAAAGTCTCTTAAAGAGGATTACTGTCGTGTCTACGGAAATACCATCCAAAGTCTATACATGGTATGATGGAAGCTACACTCTTGCTTAGGATCAAGGAACAAATAAGGAACAGTGATGCTGTTCTAGGGCTTTTATATGCGTCATCTAACACGATATTGCCAAATGGGTATGTGAATAGCCCTGTCTATATCCGAACCGTTGAAAGACATGGGAAGGGGGTCATTTATATATCGGCCTACAAACCACCGCAGCGATTGCTTATGCAGCAGGTATTCTTGGACAATTAGCCTCGCGACCCTGGCACCTACTACAGCAATGCTTAGGAAATGGATGGCAGTAATTTCACGATTCATAGAGCCGTGTATCATAAATAATTCTCTTATTGATAGGCTATTCATGTTGGAAGTTTCCTCGCCGATTTCCTGGTAGGCTATTCATCTCGGGAACTCCCTTGTTTCTGCCATGTGTTGTGTGGAGATCCTGGCTAGCTACTCTCAACGGGGGGACTTCTTAATTTGCATCACTGGGTTTTGTTTCAACCAAGTCGGTGGTAAGTGTAGATTTAGTCCGGATCTTTAGTCACTTGGCTAATTATCTACCCATACTTTCGGCACTGGCGAAAGCTTTCTTGGTTTAATGTGATATCTGTGAATAACATATTTTGATCCATCCATTGCCTTGGTAAACTGAACATCTCTTCCTACGATGGTCATGTTGTTCATGAGTCAGAAGATGTTGCTATACCCACGCACCCAAGTATAGTGGTTACAATGAACCAAAAAATCCGTTTCTGTTGTATTTATGAAGTGGAATGTCTCATATACTGAGGGCATTTGGTTCTAGAATTGCCCGAGTTTGGGTCAGTTCATCAATGATAAAGATTACTGATCTTTACCAATTGGGGAAATGGTAGATTGGAACTACTTACCAAGTTGGTTTATTCAAGATGTTGATGAGTCAACTGGAATTGCCTTCTACAGGGATGTTTTCAGTTAGACTTTGTTGTTGCACGAAGGAACAAACACAATGTTTCTCTCTTGACAGACCATTTCCGAGTCAAATGTAAAACGACGATGTAGAAAAGAGTTATGTATTAGTATCAGACAATCCACTGTTGACAAATCTTTCGGTTACTCTCCTCCATACAATAGTGCAGCCTTGCTCATAGTCAAGTCAAATGAAATTATATTTACCTAAATCGGCATATATAAATACAGATCGTTTAATTCTTCTTCTTCCCTTGCGTTATCGAGATTTTAAACAAGTTAAAAACATGGCAGATATTACTGATGACCCGACGCCGGAGACTATGAGTGTCTCCGAGGACCCAAACTCGCTGGAAAGAGGACAGAGTAGCCAACCTGCTACTAGAGAAAAAAATGAGGATAAACAAGGAAGTCAATATCAGCAGTTGCCCTATTCCAACGGGCGATGGGATTGGGGGACAGATCCAGACAATCCACACAATTGGCCTGCCAGCAGGAAGGCATGGCAGATCGCCATTGTTTCTTCAATGGCATTCACAGCGTTTGTTTGCACACCTGCAGACGCTAACAGTACATATATCTAACGTTCTGACCAGATTCTTCGGCACCTCAATCAATGAATTCGGTGTGACGACAACACAATCGATTCTACTTCTTTCGCTCTATGTCTTCGCGCTTGCGCTGGGGCCAGTAATTGGGGGACCCTTGTCGGAGACGATTGGTAGATACTATATCTTCATGGTAGGCGTCCTCATCGGAACTCTTTTTGCATTCTTCGCTTTTTATCTGGTCTCTTCTTCGCCCCCACATTGGCAATCTCTGGCGGAACTCTTACCGAGATATATAAGCCGGAACACCGAGGCATACCATCTACTTTTTTCATCACGACCCCTTTACTGGGGCCGGGTTTTGGGTACTTATGGCAATGAATAACGAATACCTTTCCTAAAGTGAGAAAAGAAATTTGCTAACTGTCATCCTCATGGTCCTGTTATTGGAGGTTTTGTTACGCACAGAAAGGGCTGGCGATGGACACAGTGGACGGTTGTTTTCTTTTCAATCTTTAGCCTTCTTCTTGGTCTTCTTTTCGGCAGAGAAACCTTTCATCCGATTCTCAAGAAACGCAAAGCAAAGCAACTTGGCCAGCCATTACCACCGCCGCCACCTCTCCGTATGAGGCTGAAGCTCTTCATGACTATCGCGCTCTTTCGGCCCTTACTCATGCTGGCGATTGAGCCAATTACAACCCTATTCTGCTTGTATTCGGCGTTGGAGTTTGCCACTCTATTCTCATTTTTCGCTGCAATACCGTATGTGTTCCAAGAAGTGTACCACATCTCCATGGAGCAAGTGGGCTTGGTGTTTATTTCCATCATCATCGGCTGTGCTTTGGGCGCCATCACACTTATACTATGCACCAAATATTTTTACCTTCCCCAAGTTGCAAAATATCCTCCTCACCAGGTACCTCCTGAGCATCGGCTGTATGCTACTATGATCGGTAGTATCGGTCTCCCTCTTGGCTTATTTTGGTTTGGTTGGACGTCAAGGTCCGATATATCTTGGGCCAGTCCCGCAGTTGCTATAATCCCATTTACTTGGGGCAATTTGTGTTTGTTTACAGGCAGCCTGCAGTACTTGATTGACACCTATCAGGGAATGACCATCGCAAGTGCCGTGAGCGCTAATAGTCTGGCCAGATATATTCTCTCTGGGGCATTTCCACTATTTATTACTCAGAGTAAGTAATATCTCGTTTAAACGCGTACTGTAATGTAGCTGACACATTAATTGTAGTGTGTACAGAAGCTTGGGCATTGGCTGGGCAAGCAGCCTACTTGGCTTTTTGGCAGTGGCACTTTTGCCGGTTCCATGGATTTTTTTCAAGTTTGGAAAGCTTATTAGATCAAAAAGTCGACATGAGGCGTCCAAATTCTAATCTCCTCGCTACACAGATTTTATAGTCCTTGGCGGCCTCAGCTCCAAAATTGCTGGCAAAACCTACACGGTATTGATAAACTAGATGGGGGTTGTCTTGAAAAGGGTAGTGTGGCCGCAACGAATAATTTTATTGGCAGCCATTTTGTACTTGGTTGGCATGTTGGCTATCCGTGTCTTATTGTCATCAATACGGTGTAGGTGTTGTTATATACCGATAGATTCAGTAATTTCATAACACTCAATCACTGAAGAGAATTATCCAAATTGATGCGCAATGCTTGTAAAGTGCGTCAAGATACGCAACAAATTTGCATGAGAGCTTCCTGGGAATTGCTCTGCGATATAGAAAAAGTACAAGATTTCATGACTAGTAGGTAGATTGTTTTAGTGCTATCCTCAGCACTATGCAGGCGATGACGAAATAAATATATAAATATAGTGAGCTGAAGTTTCCGCTCCCGCCGAAGTCTTAAGCCATTTATTATGGAGATCTTACCAAGACCTAGAGGGGTCGCTAACACTGACAAAGGAGGGAAAAACCATATTTTCAAACGTGGAAGGCCATCTTCTCTCATGGTGTTACTAGTCAAGGCATTGCTGATATAGTGGCCTATGTGTTCGACATAATTACGACATGTCTGACGACGGGAGCATAAAGAAAGATTAGTTCTCCATTGCGCCTGGATGTGTCAAATCACTGACAAAGCGAGCACGCCGCCTCAATGAGCTTAAGAAGGGCGATTACAATATCCCTCCAAGCATATTGTATGGTGCTTAACATAGTTATGACAGTTTACGCACTTTAGTGCGAAGGTAACGGGAGATAGAACAAACCTAAACAGATTGTACCAGATGGCAAAACGAACAGAGAGACCATTTACTGATATATAATAAGCTTTACATCCCAAGGTTTATGACGGATATTTGTGTTATATCTTGCCGTCTGATCTTGCGCATACGATTTACGGACTTTGTTTCTGTCCCATCCGCAATCCAACACATCGCACACAAAGCTCCCAGAGGAAACATTATTCCCTCTTAAAAAGTCATGACACGGAAGAAGATTACGAGAAGTAAAGTAGCAGTCTGTGGACTAGGTAAGAATGAAAGCTTCCTTCAGCTAAATTACACCTTAACCCCGTCCCTAATGATGACACCAACTGTCACTACACTACTAACTCAGCATGCGGAAAGGCATTGCAGGTATTTCGGCCGTGAAGAACTTGACTGAAGCTGGATTCGATGTGACTGGATTCGAAGCTTCTGATGCAATTGGCGGCCTCTGGCACTATACCGAGGATGCGAGGACAAGCTGCTTATATAGTAAGCTGTACCATCTCCTACTGAATTTCTGTGTCTCACGATCATTTTATCCGACAGATACAAGAGCGCTAGGTCGGAGGGATACGGTAAGTGAGCTGACAATCTTTAAAGAACAAATTGACGAATGCTATAGTTCGGCTTTTCCGACTTTCCCTATGCCGGTAGTACGTCTGACATTGTTCAATTGCATGCGTAACTTCATAGACGTTGATGTTTACATAGGGTTCCTAGGTGCATCTAATGAGCCGCTCTACCCAACGGAAATCCAGGCATTTCTGGAGTCATATGCTGAGCATTTTGACATTGTTCACCGATTTCGACTCAATACAAAAGTGACAACCGTCAGTCGAGTTGGCGATAAGTGGTCATTATTGCTTACGAGTGCAGAAGGCAAAAGGGAAGAAGAAATGTTTGATAGGTTGGTCGTTTGTACTGGACTCTTCCAAACACCAAAACAGCCTCGTGTTGAAGGGCTCGACCAATTCAGAGGTAAAATTTTAAATGCCCATACATACAAAAGGTAAGAGGATACCTGTGCGCAATATCGTGGCCAAGCTGTAAGGTCTCTAATTCGAAGCTTCTTAGCCCAAAGAATTTCGACGGGAAGCGAGTATTGGTTGTTGGACTTGGCTCTACGGCAACAGACATTGCCAGAGGTCTTGCAGGCAGAGCCAATCAAGTTTTCATATCTCACCGAAATGGGTGCCTGATGGTAGAAATGATTTCCAACTCAGTCAAAATATCTGCTGATATGATATGCAGTTGCCATACGGTAAGGCAAACGATGTATGCTTTCCCCCTCTCCGCGAGCAGCGGAAAGCGGCGAAAAGGCCACCCTTTGAACAAAGCCGAATGCTCCACAAAGCTTTTATCCAAATACAAGACGAAGCATTCGATCTACAGCCAGAGTGGGGTCTTGATAACGCTCCTGCAATGCCTCATAAGCTACCAATCATTGGAGACGAATTCTACGATCTTCTCGTATCCGGGGCTGTTACCTTGGTTGCCGGGGTACAAAGGGTTCTTGAGTCCCATGTAGAACTCACAGACGGGAACAAACTGAAAGTCGATGTCATAATATTTGCAATTGGCTACAACAAGTCTTTTTCACTGTTGGGTCCCTACGATCCCTCTAGACATATGCCCCAGGCATGGAAAGACGCTCGTGGTTCTATGGGACGACCTCTCCCAAGGCTTTATCAGGGCATCTTTTCGTTGGATTTCCCAGACTCTCTCGCCTACTCGGAAAATGTAGGTCCCACTTTGTCTGCTTCGATCAATGCGGATCTGGCATCGATGGCCCTGGCCCAGGTGTGGCTCGGAACCTCAAGGTTGCCGTCCGCTGGTGAGATGACGAAGAGTGCAGACAAACAAAATCAGATGGCGATATCCCTGGCGAAGGACGGCGAGATTTTCGACCCTGCCTTTGTGGATAGAGCGGAATGGAATATATGGGCTGATAGGGCGGCAGGTTTGGGTATTCAGGACAGAATTGGGTATGGGTGGAAATCCTGGTGGCTGTGGTTGACAGACTATCATCTTTACAAAACACTTTTGGATGGAAAGTTTGTGCCACAGGTCTATAGAATTTTTGATGAAGGGAAACGGAAACCGTGGAAAGGCGCTCGTGAATCATTTTTCATGGCCAATGGAATGAGTTGACCACTCATTGCCTGTCGGAAGCTCCGATACCTGAGATTACGTTTGTGTTAGATGTTTCGGTAATTGCTTCGATGTTAGTCCCGAAATTCCGAGTTTATGTTCCGAAGATTTACTATAAAGACATTGCATGCGAATACTGCACTTTCTCTGGTATATTGAACTTTCACATACCGTATTCGCTCTTAAGCAACGCAACCATGCCTCTTCTCAGAAGCTACTTTACTACCAAACCAGCACTTCAGGAAAAGGATTTGACCGATTTGAAAGGAAGAGTGAGATAAATAACAGAGCTTCCGTCCATATGAGCGCCGATTTAACTGACGTGTTTATGCAAAGGTCTTTATCATCACTGGAGGTACTGGAGGCATAGGTCTTGAGTTGGCCAAGATCTTATATCACGCCAATGCGAGCCGAATATATATTCTTTCAAGATCTGCACAGTCAGGAGACACGGCGATTGGGCTGATCAAGACATCGGAGCCTCCCCCTGGAATGAAGCAACGTTCTGCCAAAGATGAAGATATCGTTCGATTCATTGCTCTCGATCTCGGAGATTTCTCCAGTATTAAAGCAGCAGCTGAGTCCTTTCTAAAGCTTGAAACACGCCTTGATATTGTATGGCACAATGCAGCCGTTATGCTTGCACCGGAAGGCAGCGTTAGCAAGCAGGGCCACGAGTTGACCTTTGCAACCAATGTTTTCGGCCCCTTTTTATTCCAGCATTTTCTGACCCCAATCATGCTCCAAACATCACAAAATTCTGCTACAGCAAAGGGATCTGTTAGAGTTTGCTGGGCCGCGTCTGGTGATGGCGTAGTACCGCCAGGAGAAGATGGTATCTTGTGGGATGACTGGAAGCTGAGCTCTCCTGAATTTGGGGGCTTCAAAGGTCGTACTATGAGATACATGCAGAGCAAGGCTGGAAACGCAATACTTGCAGCCGAGATGGCAAAGCTCCATCCAGACATCACCAGCTGCGCATTTAATCCAGGGGCTATCAAGACGGATATTGCCCGACACGCACCATGGTTCTTACAAGCTGTCCACAATTTAATGTCTCATCCGGTACGATTTGGCGCCTTAACGGAGCTTTACGCTGGATTCTCAGACGAAGTTACCAAGAGAAATGGAGGCTTTGTAGTTCCATTTGGCCAAATCGGTACAACCGTCGCAAAGGTCGAGGCTGGAATCGCGGAGAGAAATACTGGTAAGCGACTTTGGGATCTTTGTGATGAATATGTTCGAGATTATTACTAGGAGACGGCTGGTAATATTTTAGGTAAAGTCTGGACACAGGCAAATTATAAGCGGGCAGCGGTGGCATAGGGAGTCGGTTCGTGCGAGAAAATATTGGGAAGTTGGTAGCATTATTTTAATACGAGGAAGAGCTGTTTAGTACTTCTCATGGTTCACGTACCTGGCCATGCTGGCGTAGAGTGTAGCGTGATAATCCGTATGGTGGGCCTGTTTATTTCCTCCTGAATTCTTGTTTGGTGGCGCAGGTCCACGGTCCTACGCTAATAGTGTGTTATGTACAGATCGGAATTTCGGCGCGTGCTTATGGCCCCGAGATTCCGATCTCATCTTCTTGGCCAGTACGAACTCTTCCCCTAATCGACGTCTAACAGTAGCCGGTAGAGGCGCGCAAGAAATGTTGGACAAGCTCCTCTTGACAGCTGCCGCAACGTATTTCGGATTCGAGACTTTCTATACGCTCCAATGGAGAAAGGCGCCGGTTCTCAGTTTACACGCGGCGGAGTAGAGGTTGAGCCTAGAAGAAGGACGGGCCATCTTCGTCGGTCCTGCGAGACATGTCGGAGATCAAAGGTCCGTTGCATTCCTAAAGCAGATAGCAGCAACGCATTTCCACAATGCGAAAGGTGATTCCAATATCCGTTTTTTTTTCGGTGCAGGGGAGAGCACATCATTGACAATTGGCTCAGATGTAGTGTCAATGGGACGACTTGCATCTTCGAGCGCGCCATTGCTCGACCTCGACAAGCCAAATCGATGACGTATGTCCTTCTCCTCCTCCTTGTTCTTGTTCTTGTTCTTGTTCTTGTTCTTGTTCTTGTTCTTGTTCTTGTTCTTGTTCTTGTTCTTGTTCTTGTTCTTGTTCTTGTTCTTCTTCATCTTCATCTTCTTCATCTTCTTTTTGCATTTACCCATTATTTAGCATGATAGACTGACTAGCATATTACAGGAAATCGAAAAGGAAAATTGTTGAGGAGAAAATCGATGGACTAGTTACCCTCATATCGTCGATATCTGCAAAATCCGCCGCGAGAGAAATTCAGCCTCCACTGAATGTGGATTCAGCAACGTCTCTAGTGGCAAGTAGCTCATCAGAATGTACAACATTGTCGCCAACTACTCGCCAAGATGTGGTTGCGAAGGAATTTCTCACTACGGATGAAGCAAAGCAGCTTCTAGCCGATTTTGCCGCTGCTTCTGAAGAATTCTCACCTGTACTACTTCCATCTGAAGCTATCTTGGATTCCCTTCGGTTGGAGAGACCTTGCCTTCTCCTCGCGATTCTCACTGCTTGCGCTCGAGATCATCTTCAAACTAGACTGGAGATGGAATTCCGAAAGATGTTGGCCGACAGAGTGATTGTGAATGCTGAGAAGAATCTAGACTTATTACAAGGGCTATTAGTATATCTTACCTGGTAACATTTACAATATCTCTCTTTCAATTGATGTGTACACTCTAACGTTCGCCTACAAGGAATCATCTCTATTTCAACCCTGCTAAGGAGCAGATTTACCAGTTATCTCAAATGGCGACTTCAATGGCAGCAGAGCTCAAGCTTCCGCCTGATGACTCAGTAAAAGACATATTAATTCAGCAGCGGGGAACTTTTGACAAAAACGGGCAATATGACTTTATCATCGAGAAGATGAGAACATATGTGGCTTGCTACTATGTTGACTCTTGGTAAGTATACCAAATGCATTGCTCAACTGTACAGCTAATATCTCCACCACAAGTATCTCTTTAGCAATGAGGAAACCAACCCACTTTAAATATTCCAAAACTATCGCGGATTGTTGTATCTTGCTGCCCTATGTCTCGCTTACAGCATCTGATGAAATTTTATCATGCTTTGTGCAATTGCAAGGACTGGCTGAAGAAGTTGATCAGCTGTTTCAGTATAATAATATCCGGTGGTTGGAGGTTGTGGATTATATGCAGATACAAGTGATGACGAACAAATTCAAGGCAAAGCTTGATGAAGTATTCAAGAGTTTTCCGCCTGAGGCAAAAGTAAACAGTAAGTGACCATCAAATTCTTCTTCCTCTGCGGTTTATTAGATGCTCATTGCCATAGGCTTAATCCAGAGGAAATGCCTTTATATCCAGATATACATTCAAGAGGTTGGCCTTCATTCCCCGCCACATCATGAGGTCAACATCGACTTCAGTACAATATGCTGCAGCTGGTGTTCATCGTTGCCACGACTTAATATCGCCATATCATGCGTTCGAGCGGCGCAGAATTATATCAACGAGTATGTGTTCTCATCTCCGCAAAGTCTTCGCTCCACCGTTCTCTTTCAAGAGTCGGAACTTCTATATGCCATTCTTGTGCTCGCTGCAGCTACACTTGGGGGCGTCACTGTGAGCAAGCCTAGCCAATTGCGTGAACTTGCAGACATTTCACCTTACCTTATCGCTCTCCGCGATAAAATGATGACGATGGGAACAATAACGCATCAAGGGCAAGATAGACGCGACTACTTTTGGAAAATGACGCAGTTTTTTAAGCATTGCTTGAATTGGAAATCACAGGATGCCGGCAATCAGGCTCCCTGTCTAGGCACCTGTTCCTCCAGTGGCGACGACAGTATGTCCTTTGTGAGAATCTTGGAGAACATACCCACAGAGGAGGTAGTCCAGAAAGACACCATGTTTAATCTATTGGATATGAGCTGGATAATGAGCGATTCGGAGTTTTGATATTGTTTTCCTAATTTAGACTTGGCAATTGTTCGAGCAATCCCAATGCAATACCCGTCTTGGTAAATGAGAATGGAAAGAAATATGCTATCTTGTGCATTTAAGTCTAAATCGAATCTTGTTTGGTAGTGCTCCTTTAAATTACCCCACCCATAGTACTGTGACCACACCGATTGTTCTGTCTCGACGTTTAAAACCTGATTTCATATCCAGGCGATGTACCACATAGCACCCAACTGCCGCTCTTACAGAACGGCCAAGTGATCTTGATTCTGTCGAGAAACTGAACAATGCTTCGCGTTTGCTCATGATGGTAAATATTCTTAACTCGGGTTGCGTCTTTTGTTACGCTCCAATACAGTCTAGTTAAATGGACTGACCTTCTTCCGATTGTGAAAGTTATTGTCAGGCTTCTCCCAGTTTTCGTTGGGCATCAGTCATGACTCGAGTCCAGACAAACGCTTGGCAACGTCAGCATATGTCAACAATTCGACGTTACATTGCATCAGCACTAGCAGACTTAATATGTCGGAGAGTAGACTTGGTAGATGAACTACTTTACATGTTGGTGCTGACAAGTTGTGGATGTCTCAAGTTTCGGCAACAACTGTTCCGGTCTTCGACTTTCAGATAAGTCTGACTGGTTACTTATACAAACTCCACTGAAGCCACTAAGAAGTACTTAATCACGACGTGAAGCGCATACTTGGATTCCTCCTCCTTTTTTGTTCTTCTCTATAGAAAAAGGAAAACCAGTTGCCCTCAGTATGCGCCCTCTCACGCTTTCCCTTCTAGTTACTTCTACAAGTCACCTGGGTGCCATAGCCAAAGGTGGCATGTCAGTTACGAACCCGGAGTTGGGTAGCAGTTGTGTAGGTTACATATTACAATACTTTCACACGCTTTAATTAACGCCAAAAGGAAGTGCAGCGAACTACATAATAAGTTGCCATCTCTTGTTCACTACGCATCGTCGTCGGAATACGAATCTCGCAATGCCGGATATTACTCCAAGCAACAACAGGAGCTTCATCCAGCATGTATACTAAGACCAAAGGTCGCAGATGACGTCTCGCTTATTCTACAGATCGCAAATTCCTTGCAATGTCCATTTGCTGTAGCATCTGGAGGGCATATGTCCTGGAAGGGATCATCAAACATTGATGGAGGCTTTCTTATTGACCTAAGGGCAATGAATAAGATTAACATCCATCATGAGCGCCAAATGGTCGAACTAGGCCCTGGTACAACGTGGATAACTGTTTATGCTGCCCTGGAACCATATGATATTTCGACGGCTGGAGGGCGAATTAGCGGAGTTGGGGTTGGTGGTTTCCTTTTAGGCGGTGAGTTGCTGGAACAGCCACATAGTTGGATATGCTACTGACATTCATGATAAGGCGGCATCGCCTTCGCATCCGCTGAGAAGGGGTTTGGTGCAAACAACGTGATCAACTACGAGATTGTACTCTCTAATGGTACGATTGTCAGCGCAAACGAAGCTGAGAATGAAGACTTATTCTGGGCGATGAAACTACCTTCCACGAATTATGGCATTGTTACTCGATTTGACATGCGCACTTATCCCTCTTCTGCGATATGGGGAGCCGTCAACGTGTATCCCTTCACGCCAACTGTTGCAGCAGAACTCTCCGCACAGTCTGAAAAATGGGGGCACGACGACACAAACAAAGACAACATGGTATCGTTCGCTATGATGCGAAACAAGGGCAGGAGTGCAGCCTTGGCAGTCCAAGTTAATGAAGTTGGAATCGCCCAAGATCCACTGACATCCAGTACACCTATTATGCATTTGGAGACCACAGGAAGTACCTATAAAGTGGTGCGTGAGGTAGTTGATAGCGCTCTTGCGGCCACAACGCGAACCAGATGGCACACAATTACGACAAAGATCGATACGGAATATTTCATGGACGTTTTTGAGAAGAGCGAAATTATCATGAAACGTCATGATGACCGTGAGAATATCCTCTGGAGTATAGCGATCCAACATTTTCAGAAGAGCTTCATCAACGCAGCCAAAGAAAGTCCAATCTTCAATGCCCTAGGGGAAGGGAAGGATGACTTAGTCAGTGAGTACTGGGAGATCCCGATAGCTTTCGATTACCACTAACTAAACAATCTAGATATCCATATTCGAATGGAGTGGGCAAACCCTGATGACGATGCTGCATTAGAGGAAGCTGCTTATGAACTCGGCACTTTAGCTGAGACTGAGGCTCGAAAAAGAGGTATACTGAATGATTTTATTTATTTGAATTACGCCGATGGAAATCAGCCTGTTTATGAACGCTCTGTTACACCTAGAGATATGGAAAAGATGAGAAAGGTAAAGAAAGCATATGATCCGGCGGGAATATTTGACAGACTTTGGAGGGGTGGCTATAAACTGCCAGTAGAGAGGGGCAATATGAGTCAGAGTGATGCGGGTAACAAACACGATGAGCTCTAACCGGTATTCACCGCTACGGAGTACAGGAGACACTATTACTCTAGAATATACCTTGTCATTTACTCTTCCATTTATACATATGAATGCGACTTTCCAGATTTTTATTACTGCTATCGTAGATAGTGCGAACGTCTAACATTAAAAAGAGATACCCGCGATATGCTGTTCTCTCCCTCTTTCTGCGAAGTGCAGGTGTATCAGCCCTTTTCATTAATATCTCAATCAAGGAATAAATCATAAAGACGACAAATCCTATCTAGACATTGAGCGTTTCAACTATGCTGGGATGATAGCAGCTTCATTAGAAGCACTATAATAACACAAACCAGAAAACCAGGGTAGAAGAGATCTCTCCATCCCAATTGCACTAGCTCGATTAGCTGCTCTGCAACCAAGGCGCCTCAACCGTCCAGAATAAAATGCGAACATGCAGCTCATTAACAGCAAAATCAACAAGCTCCTCCTTTGTGAACGGGTTTCCAGTATTCTGGTTTATCTCTTTCAGATCTGGTTCTTGAAAGGCCACCACCGTAATAGGTACCTCATCATCATACATCGGGATGTATACATACGAGTTTTGCTCCTGTCCCGGCTTATTTGGAATCAAGTCTGGTCCCCCGACACCCACACCATGCTTCGCGTAAAAGTTAAATGAGTCGGTGAACCGGTTGTTGGTATTATTCCATCCGTCGGGCCAGAAATTAACGTATTGCACAGCGTAGCTCTTCTTGAAGGCATGGGCTGCGTAGCCAGCATTTTCCAGCTCGCCTAAGAAGTACTCTTCGTCGGTGTAGTTATTTGTACCCTCAGTAACGGAGACGGACGTTTCTGGCAAATTGATGCCAGTAATCTTGCCGTCAAATTCTTCAGCTAGGGCACTTAGGAGAGCTTGATAACGATGTCGCACTCGTGGGTTCCACTGCTGCGCAACCCATCCAGTGATTGTGAAATTGGCGTCACATGCAGTTCCGTCACAAGCTGGAGCGCTTCCATTGTTGTAATATGGTGTCTTCAAGTATTTGGGTACAGGGTCGACAGTAGCATTGAAACTCCTATCTTGAAGTTGTACCCAGAACTTTTTGCCTCTGGCGAGGACCTTTTCGTAATCGTCTCTTATGTTGGAGAAATCATAATCATCCTTCGCCGGTTCAAGGGACTTCCAACTATACAACGCTTGAATTCCAACAACCTCTGGTCGATACAAGAGACTGAGAGCGTGCTCATCAACTTGGCTGTTATATAGCCATTGTTCCAGAGCTAAGGAATTATCAGACTTTGGTGACGGGGCAGCGAGAGCCTGCGCAGCTATCGCCGCATAAGCCAAATAATAGAGATGCATTTAGGAAAAGGAGTCGAAAGGGTTTGAAATGCTATGAGAGTCTGTGAATATATCAGGGCTGTCTTGAGAGGTTGGAATAGGTAATACAGATTGGACATTAGACAAACCTTGCCTTTTATATGGAACAGACAAACTTCACCAAGCCACTTCATCGGTCATAACATCGGCCGTTCGCGATAGAACATTTGCAGTTCTCAATACGAAGCTGTCTTTCGCCGAGTGCCTTAGCGCTTATCTCGGTGGGTTTAAACGAGCCTTTAAAGCCTTGACATGAGTTGCGTTAACAAGGGCAAAATGCTGAAACACTATCGTGTCTTGAAGCGGTGCTTGAATAAAGATACCTCATTTGGTTGACTGTGTAGCGTCCAAGGCTGTCAATACGAGTTTCGGAGTCTTCCGGTGGGCTGCTTAGCACTGGTATAAGGGGTATTAGTTGCTACATGAGTCAAGACGTCAAAGTAAGCCGAGGAGATAGCAATGCTTTTAGGCTATTACGGAGTTTCCGTTTTTTTTCCGGCAAACTTTGTACTTCATTGAGTACGGCTGCAGTACCAGACAACAAGGGTAGACCTAAAATAAGGAATCATATTCACTCACAGTTTTTAGGAACACGGGCCCTTTTAGGTTCAGAACTGGATCCAACTGAACTAGTTTAAAGCAATCATTATCCGTTGCGGTGAAGAAGCCGCCGGGCTGCCGCAATCGGAGACAGTGGATTACGGACGGAATATACGCACTAATCATTTTCTGCAAGGCCACGGGACACTCGGGGCTTGAACATATGGAAAGAAGTTCTTTTAGTTGTTTCTTTTTTTCACTGAAATTGAACGTGCAAATAATCGTGGGAATACCTTTTTTCTTACCATACGTAGTGTCAAACACGTCTAGCCCTTGGCCATCGATGTATAAGGTTATATATAGCCTCAATACTACTAAGAGTATCTGGGACACGCCTGGTAATTACGAGACGCAGTGCTGACTTTTGAGTTCAAACTTACATGAAGGAGTTTACAAGCTATATGTAGGAAAAGGTGACGTTAAATTTCCTTCTGTATAACTGGAGTATTAAGCCGAAGGAATTGGGTAACAAACAGGCTACTATATGATATTCAGTATTCATCCCTTACCATCTTTCATCGCCTATTCGATCATTGTGAAAAGCGAGATATATCATAAAATCTTGTATGAATGATGCAATAATGGTTGATAAATGCTTTGGTAGCCAAGTCGAATTGAACGCTCATATACTTACATCCTTTCAACAGTCAGTGCTGCCAGTGGGATTGGCCAAGGATAGTGTAACTGTATGAAGATCCATGCAATAGCAGATGATCCATCCAATACCATTTATATGTCTACAGATTAGTAATGTAATGGATTTCGCGTGGATCTGGCCGTACCCGTGATTACCAATTATTATAATCCGCAAATGGAGGCCTTTAGACACAATCAATGTACTCCGCGCCCTCCGCTGTATTATCACTGAAATGGCTATCTCGGTTAATGTTTTGTCATAATGAGCTGACGAGCATTTTGCTACTATTAAATTGACAATCTGCGGTCAATATAAGAATTTGCCAAAGACATCTAACGACAGCCACGCTACATCCGTACGATTTCCCAAGTTTCTATTACACAGGTTCATACTTCATTTTATCATTTACTAAAAGCAAACGGTGAACATCATAATCCCTACTCTCCCATAAAATGCCTTCAGATTTCGAAGCTGGTATTAAGGCCACATTTTTGGTCACAAAGAAGCATGGCATGACAGATGATGAATTTGAGCAACACTATACACAAGTCCATATCCCAATAGTATCCGAGACTCTCGTTCGACACACTATTCTTCAATATTCCGTGGTAAGCAACTCAAGAGTGCATTTGGTCGACGAAACGGTAATTGAAAAAGCCAATAGCAATTTATAACTGTCCAAAACAAAGAAAAGATACGGGCTCTTTTTAACAATGCTGTCGAAAGCATTAATTGCGATGCTGTAGTTACAACCATCTTTCCTGATATAGATGCGTTGGAAGCAACTTTTGGAGACCCAGACTTGCTATCGAAATTACACCCTGATGAGAGGAATTTCACAGAAGATGATTGTCGCATGGTTATTGGCAAAGAGTACTTTGGAGTTCGCAATGGGAAAATGGTGGACTGATTCTAGGTAAACGGAAATAATTTGTTGGGACCTGCGTTCTTCTGGCAATATAATTCCGCAATACGTCAGTGGCGGAGATCGAGCATACAATTTGTCTAGGAGGATTAGTAATCATCTAAATGACAATTTTCTTAATACTCAATGAAAGGGATTGATTGGTGTAGTGAAAATTAGTCGAAACCTTGGGTCTAATGTAAAGTAGAGCATGTGTAGAAGGAATCAATGAAATTAAATGGGCATAACAAGATGTAATTGAAGGCAAAAAGAAAAGAAAAATGGCAATCAAATTGGATTGCACTGGGCATGCCTCACTGCCAATATATGCCATTATTTTAGGATTCCTTCTAGTCGTAGCTAGGGAGGTAGGTGCTTACACAAAAACGGACAAAACAAAAACAACTTTAGATGCGATTCCAATCCTTTCTTCCGATTTGCAGAGCGGAAATACATTATAATACGTGATGAATCAATGAAAATTCCATTCTGCAGAACGGAAATATGATCAACACAATCATGCAGCTAACCGCATGAGCGTAGGTTTGACTACCTCCTTGTTGGAGTCTAGTATGTTTGTTCATATCAATTTGAATGCATTCATAGTGAGCATATATATCAAGAAGTAAGCATTAAAGTTAATTCGAACAGCTCAAGATATAACATTACTGCTAGCAATCAATCCAAGTGCCTTGTTTAAACAACAATAACCGCCATCAAAGTCTCCTTCGCCGAAGCAAGTCATGTCAAATTAAAAGCCAGTCATGTTAACCCGAACCTAAAAGACTTGCTGTGCGCCGCATCGACTACAGAATTTATCTCCAATTTGACAACCGAAGCCACATTGGGTACAATATCGAACACTTGACTCTGTAGCTGGCGCTGCAGAGCCGATGCCTTGCGCACTCTTTGGCCTATCCTGTGATAGAGACTCCGAAGAGTATGCCGGCGGCGGTCGCGGTGACGGGACGCGACCAATCTGCTCTGGCTGATAGCCAGGCATCATGTTTGGTGCCAATGCGTAGGACTGTCCGGGTGGCGATTGCATTGGCATTGGTGATGGGGTATTGTAGATTTGCTGTGGAGGCGGCGACACCATCACAGCGGCGCTTTGTTGAGAAACTGCATTTTCAACAGCTGCCTTTTTCATCGCTTCGTCGACAGCACGCTGTGTTCGCTGTTCCATCTCCGCCTCTTGGAGCCTCCGCATATCAACTTCACGCTGTATGTCCATCTCACGCTGAGATTCCAAAATGGACTGCCTCTGTACTTCACGTCTAGCGGCTGCCCTGGATGCGCCGACGAGTACGGCGGCGCCGAGAACTGGTCTTCGTCGACGGCCAAACATCGTGACTGACTGTTGGGAATTGGACCAGAGATAAGAATAAGGTATAGTGGAGTGATATGGGAGTAACAAAAGCGAGCATTGTGTTTTATAATACGGATACCGGAACCTGGAACGCCCCTCAATGCCTTTATGTAGCATATGACTGTCTTCCGGCCGGTGGTAACTTTGCGCTTAGAGTTCAAGCCACCCAGACTATTGTACACACGTCATAGTCGGTTCAAAGTTCAGCTGGGCGAGCCAGTGACACCTCTAGACGCCATGTATCTGTAAAGAGTAACGGCAAGTAAGTTGGTTGAAAAACAAGAAGAACTAAATCTGTTCAGCTTCTCCACAAGCACAGCCATCTCCTCCTCCAAGTCAACTCACATTTTCATCCACCAAGTTACACCAACTGTAGAGACATGGGATTTATTTCATTTCCGGAGCGTCTCCGTTGTGGCTCCTCCAAACCCCAGATTTTATCACATAAAGTTCGCCTCCTTCAATTCTCCCCCTCTTCCCGTAATACATAACAGGGTCCATTAGGTTGAAGAGATACAATGTCATCGAACCTGTGTTCTGAGATAGGACCGCTGAGGTTGCCCAAGACGCGGCCGCATATTTCCGTCGAATGTGATTTCTTGTCGGCAGTACGCCACGATGTTTTAACCCTTCAAGCATGGGCTGTAATATAGCAGAACGTGATGGTTTATGAAACGTAAAAAACAGCTTTGGTTTGAGAACCATTACAGCGACTTTAGAAAACGGATCAGAGGCGGCGATTAACTTTTGGATTGTTGATCGGAAGATGGCCCAGGCACAGAGATCATAAATCGTTCGAATTGATTCGTCAGATCCAATTCAGTCGAGGGTTTCTTGAAGCGCTACCGGGTTCAATGTCTCTGCATTGCGTTATGGTAATGTTGTATTGGGTACGAAGCCTCCGACACTGGTATCCGATACCTATCACGAGATGCTATCTAGTGTAAAGAGCCTTAGCATAATGATAGTATCAATGCGGACAGCGAGACTCTTTTTAACCACGTGTCTCGCATACCTTCGCGAGAAGTATGTCGTTCGCGTTGATCACTGGTAACATTTTGTGCCCTTGTATAAAGATAAATGTATCCATGCTACGTAAAAATAAGAAGAAGAATAATAATAATAATGGAAGTTAACAACGTTTAAAGGAGCTTGCTTTGAAATCGCAGCGTTGCATTTCGTATGTCAGCATCTCAAACACCGATTGCAATTCCGTCCTATGATCGCGGGCATACTCGTAGTTGGATTACGGCGCAATGTTACCACGCTAACAGCCAGCTTATTCCATGTCACCATGTATCTAGACGTCTCCATCCAACGGCTGTCGTGTAGGGACCAAAGTTTATTCATGGCTACTGTTTCCCTCGACATGGCTTTGGAAGGAAAGAGAGCATTGTGATTGAGAGTGTCTATAAGCGGGTTGACACAGAAATGCTGAAGACATCCGATTGGCCTGGGATTCCACTGCGTTAAATATCTTCCCTCTAGGGCGCGCTGAATCCGGTGAATTCGGTGAATTGTCCACTAAGAAAGAACAACAGGCTTTTCGATACATAAGGTAGTCAATTGCTATATAAACCTTCCTTCGCAACTATGTATTCTTAAAATTTAATTATATGAATTTAAAAAGCATCAACCTTTGAGGGGGAAAACATACAACGTCAAATATCAAGCCAAGCAACCATGTCATCATCACCTTTCTTCATTCCGGTGGACCTTGCACACACGGCTCTCCTTCTTTCAGATATTCAGACGCAGATTCTGAAGCGTTTTTTGCCTGAAATGCAGGAACAATATCTTAACAACGTCAACACTCTCCTTGGCTTCTTTCGAAATGAGATATTTCAGCGTCGATCCAATCAAGACACCGCGGTACAAAGTGCACCTTACGAAGGCGTGCCTCTTATTATTCATCACACCCTACCGTTTAATGTCAACTCAAATGCTTTTGTATCGCCTTACAACAAGCTTAGTAAATGGGTGAAACAACTCGAGGATGCTGGTTATTTCGCAAACGCACCCTCTGATCCTCATCATCCATACTACGGCATTCCATATGAGATTGTACCACCGGGTGGTTGGGGCGGAAAGGACGAAATTGTCCTGGGAAAGTTGCAACCAAGCTGTTTCGGTTCATCTGATCTTCAATCGTACCTACGTGCCCGTGGCATCCGGCATGTTGTCTTAGTAGGACTGACGACTATGGGGAGTATCTTGGGGTCAGCAAGAGCGGGCGCGGACTTGGATTATCACGTTATCTGTGTAGAAGAAGGTATCGTCGATGATGATCCAGAAGTTCACAAGTTTCTGATGTCAAAGGTACTCCCAAAGTTTGTTGATGTGGTTGAGCTCAAAGACATATTGGGATTGCAGCTATGAAGGGGTAGCAGGCAAACGGCTTCAATGCTCTCTAATGAAGTTTTTACCTAATACTGAAGTGAATTTTAGGGTTCTTAGCCGCACATGCCCTGTAGTATAATTAAAGAGGCACAGATAGGTTTAGGCAACTCTTATAAATTATCCATTTCTATTCGGAATGATAAAACAATGCTCCCTTTACCTTTGTCGCGATAACGACAGCCATTCACATGTAATAAGTTTCTGATTCTACCTATATTGAATGGGCTCTCAGCCTGCAGGGTTGATGAAACCGCTTTGTAATGTTGCTCTAAGTAGGCAGCTGGTAATAACTAATCAGCCGGACACACGGGCCGGCTGGACTTGGGGCGCGTGGAGGGGAGCGCAATTGCTCACTGTGCTTCTTGTATGCTTCAACCACGTGGCATCAGCAACACGACGATTCTGGGATACTCTCTTGTCGAATTTCAATTTTTCCCGTTGTCTTCAAATGGATATGACTCCCCCCATTCACATAGTTGGCATGGCAGCGAATGTCTGCTCTAGGTGCCGGCTCCATAAGCAGCGATGCAACCGCGCTCTTCCTCGATGCTCTCGATGTACTCTGTGAGCTTCCTCATACTCTCATGTTCATTCTGCAAATTTCACAGTACAATAATCTCATTTAATTTAACATAGAAAGCTAAGGCACTGTGACTATAGCCTCTCTTCTAGCAGCGTCCATGCTACACAGCAAGATGTGCGCAGAAGCGAGCCCTTGGTTATTTCCGAATACCATGGCTTTTTTGACCTATCTTCTCGCGGAGAGCATGAACTTTTGCAATTAACTTCGAATTGGACAACAAATTTTAGTACAGGTTTAGATCGTTTTACACAACTGACAAATGATATTCTACAGGAAAGCGGGATAGAATTATCCGGCCTTGTAGACCGATTTTCCACTTCTATTCACCGTTGGTTTCCCGTTATCGATATTGAACGGCTGCGGGAAGACGCCTGGACCCTGCGACATCATCCCGCAGCAGATGCAACGATGCCGCTACTTCTTCTAGCATTGTTACTATTTGACCTTCTCCAGCCTGGCGAGCTCGGAACTTGCGTAGGGGCCAAAAAGTTATACAGTGCTTCAAAGAAAATAATGGTGACTCTGATTTCTCTGAGCGAGAAGACAAATGCGCGATTGGTCGAAATTCAGGCTCTAATTGCATTATACGAGTGTAGCCAGGGGATGGTACACCAAGCACAGATTACACTCAGTTCTGTCCTTACTATGGTGGTATTATCAGACTCTTATACACGTGAGACTGATATTCCACTGCAGACTAAAGTGTCGCTTCTGATCTTGGATCGGTGGGGACTCCTTCCTGCCTTCAAAGACCAATTTTTCTCACATGCCATAGGATAATAATACTATCGAGCGCAGATAACTCGATCCCTTTACTGTGCAACCCGAACAGTCCTTTTAGCAAGGGTATTGAGCGTTACGTTCAGCGACATTTCGTTGGAGGGTCTGCATCGTTTGGAGCCTCTCCTTCTCAACAACTTTATACTATGGCCCAAGTTGCCCTAGCATCTGGTCGGGTTCTACATCATGTTTATTGCTCAAATCATGGATATGAAGTTGACGAAAGTTATAACGCTGTGGACCATGTTATGCAAGAATTGGTGACAGCACTAATTGCATCGAAGGACAGTCATTCCATGTATCTCTGCGACATTATTTCTCTAGCCATTTGCTCCCTCATCGTCCTTCGGCAAAGTCACGCAAAACAGCTAAGTTTTGTGCTCAGCTCATTGGATGACTTGGCACTGCAAACTTCTTGCCAAATGATATGGGATACTGTCGAAATCTCTTTCCATGCCGTGAGAAGCGTCGATATATCCCGTGTTTCATTGATTGGAATGTTCTGTCAATTGCGAGGTGTTCACGCAGCTATTGGCATCTCTCACAACTATACGCCTCCTGATAGTATGGAAGATATGATATTCACAATGGAAAACTTTTTCCGAAGATGGACCATAGGGGGTAAGTTGGCCTCGAGAAAAATCACTTACAAGTCAGCTAAATCCCACTATACAGCAGGCCTATTGCAAAGTATTCAGACTGGAAATTACGGAAGAAGGAAGACAACGCCGTTACTAATAGATTAGAGACAGATGCTAAATGTCGTATATTATGCAGTAAATGGGTCTAGAGGACTAAGCATTATGTACAAGACAAAAGGCTATTGGTGGTACCTATACCAGAATCAAACATGATCCGAATGACTACTCAATTGTCCAATTAACTATGTCGTGTTAACCCAGACCGCCGCTAATTCATACTTTATTGTCTCATAATAGGAAGCGTCAATCCCTTCTCAAATGTGGCTCACTGAGGCAGGGTAATAAAAGTGGTACCTCCAAGACGGCGTCCGCAAGGCAAAACAGCAAATGAGTCCGCTTTTCTTGTTTACCAATAATAATATAGGGTTCTCAAATGTCCTCGGGAGTATATCTGCTGACAAATTAGCCAAGTAAGTATCTAGCATTCTCCGTCTCCGAACTAATGCAGTCGCCGGTACCCTGTCATGTTAGTGCGGGATATGAAGTTTTATAATTACTCAACCGGAACCTTTGTTCTATTAACAAGAATATTTCCAAGAACCCTACATCATGCGCCTCTAATGTTGAAAAGGTTGTTCAGAATTGACTCGAAAAAGGCTAATGCACCGGCCGATGCATGAGGAGGTAATTAGAAATCATTCGGAAAGCAGTAAAATAGTGGGAAGGTCTAGTGGGAATGTCTAGCTGGAAGAGTAGAGAAAAAATATAAAACCGGCCCACGCCCGTGGATCAAAGATGTAAAGGGCCACCAAATTGGATAAGTGATAATAATTCTGATGATGGAAGATCAAACTAACGATAGCGCGGCGGTAGAACCATTCATTCTCCATATCCCACAGGGAGAGATCGACGATTTGAAACAACGCATTGCTCAAACCAGATGGGCAGACAAAGAGGTGACCGATGGGTCATTCCAGGGTACACCTTTGAGCATAGCTCAGAAAGTAGCCAAGTACTGGAAAGACGAATATGACTGGCGGCGGTTTGAACAGAATGTCAACCAGTATCCTCAATATACAACAAGGATTGACAATTTGAGCATTCACTTTTTCCACATTCTCTCGAACGAGCCTAATGCGAAAGCGATTCTTCTCACGCATGGCTGGCCGGGGTCGTTTGTTGAGTTTCTGAAATGCATCCCGTTACTCATCGATCCTACCTCTAATGGTGGTCGCTCTGACGAAGCTTTCCACGTCGTTATCCCCAGTTTACCTGGCTGGGGTTTTACAGAGCCACCGAAAGAAACTGGATGGAATATGGAGCATACGGCCAAGGCCCTCGTTACCTTGATGGAACAACGCCTCGGCTATGAGAAATGGTTTGCGCAAGGTGGTGATTACGGGGCCGCAGTAACGACGTTGATGGCGCAAATGCGACCCAAGGGTCTTGTGGCCATTCACTTGAATCTTCTTTTATCCATTCCCAAAACGCTCGAAAATCCGACAGATGAAGAGAGCAGAGCATTGGAAGCATTCCATATTACGCAGAATGAGATGAGTGGATGGAAATGGATCTCGAGTACAAGACCACAGACAATTGCATACCTTCTCTCCGACTCAGCAATGGGTCAGGCGATGTGGATCTACGACAAATACCAAGACTGGACTGATAACTCCGGTGATCCAGAAGATGCGCTTACACTTGATGAAATGTTGGACAATATTAGCGTCCATTGGTTTTCACGAAGTGCTGGTTCTATATCAAGAACATTTTGGGAGGATAGACACTTCAACTTTGACTTTGGACCGGTTGAAATGCCGGTTGCGATACTCGTGTTTGAGAAGGACATATTCAAGCACCCTAAAAAGTGGGCTGAGAAGGGTTACCCAAACATGATTCACTTTCACACGGTAAACAAAGGAAAACATTTTGGAGCTTTTGAGAGACCCGGAATCTTAGTAAAGGATATCCGCTTAGCTTTTGCTGATAGGTAGATTGGAAATGTTCTTTTAATATTTGGGTTGGACCAGCCAGTTGACCATCATATCCGAGCCTGGCTACCTACAGAAGCGACAGTAGCAATACTGCTGGCTTTGGAGTTAAGAGAGATCATTGGCGCGCCCGCTTATCTCAACCAATCTTCTATATAGTGCAGATGCTCCCTATCGTTGCTTTGAAAACAACCTCGCCTTCAACAAGCCTCTCATTGACATCCTGTCGTATCCAGACCACTGCACCTCTGGTGAACTTCTTCCCCGCCCGCGTCCCTTGTTAGGCGGGGCTCTGCATACATACTGTATGATTATGCCTGCAAGGAGTTGGTAGTAAAGCAAGCACCATAATTTCGGCCTAATTTTAAAGGAGTACAACTCATAACCCCACCTTAAGCAGTGCTATTTGTAAACTTCCGAACTTTTAGAGCGGGAGGTGAGAATGTTCCCCGTGTTACCGCCTGACGTCAAATCGTGCTCCATCCTATCGCATTGTTGTTGGCCTCTACGGCATAGTCTCTGCACTATTCCTCTCACTTGTGACCCTTTCAGTTGTTGCTTAAACGATCTCGATTATCTAGGCTGCCTTTGGTACCTCCCAGTACGCTATCATCATGGCCGATGCCGAGCTGGAAGGCAGTGGCGACGGGTTCCCTAGGAAGAGAATTTTGGCAGCGTGTGAAGCTTGTCGAGATAACAAGATCCGATGCCGGCCTAGTGAGAAGCCTGGTGTCTGCCGCAAGTATTTGCCCTCTGCAGATTGTCACTGCGTGATGAAGACATGGCACTGACAAGCTTTCGCTCAGATGTCTAGCCTCAAAACGAGAATGTATTGTGAGGACGAAGCCCAGGGCCCGGCGGATGATGTGAGTTAAGCTATGCCAGACCGCTGTTGTTGCATCTCACCGGCTTCCACAACGCAGCTAACCATTTTCTAGCGTAGACCAAAATTTGGATCCCAAGGCAGCTTCTCAGCCCGCTGCCGGGTCGTCCAAAAGCTTCAGCATTGACTTCGCAATACCATTAAAGGTGGAGGTGGAAGAGAACTTCAAGTCTCTCCAAGACGCTCATGCCGACTTCTTCGACAGCCTCATCTCTCCTGACACCGGATCTGGCTTCTCTGAAGGCAACGCCACCATGTATAGCGTAGACTCAACTCCAACTTCTTCTACAGATGCCGACCCTACTCCAGATCTCCACGCCAAGCCGTCCTTTAATCTTGCCTCTGCGGAATCTCTATTGAGTTCATTTCACTCCATGTTGTGTCACTTCCCCTGCATTGTATTAGACCCCGATGTTTCAGTTTCCTCGCTGGCGTCGACACAGCCCTTTGTGTTACTGGCGATTCTTGCTGCGGCGTCTGGGTCGCGAACCATACAGGGCAATAGCCTATATGACGAAGAATTTAGGAAAATCCTGGGCTTGAAGTTCGTTGCCTGTGGAGATAGAACGGTGGAGATCCTTCAGGGTATCCTTATCTACTGCGCCTGGTATGCATATTATTACGGTTGTGTTCTGGAGCTGGACACCCGATGGAATGAATATTGACACAATGGCATCAGGTACCCGTTCCATCTCCGGCCAAGGAACAAACAACCCTTTCGCTACATTCGCATGGCGGCCGAGGTTATTCACGAATTGGAATTGGACCAAGAGACACCTGTCGATCTGGTCTACCCCAACGCACTAGCAACGGCCCAGCAGCTGAATAAAATCCGCGCATACCTAGGCTACTTCTATCTTGCCTCGACGTGAGTTACGGGGTTTTACTTTCTCACACATCACTATATTTTCTCTAATGGGCCTTCAGACTTCCCGCAGAGTGGCAGGCTCGTGGCAACAAGCCTCCAGTCTTTACGAGTTGGACGGAAAGTTGCTGCAGGATTCTTGAAGGCAGCACTGCTGACAACGACATCGTGCTGGCATATCTTGTCCGTCTATCCAGCACGGCTACGGAAGCACTTCGCGCCATTAATGATGATAAAGGTCACACGCATCAGCAGAGTCGATTGGTGTTACTGGGCCTTGAAGCCCAGCTTCGAGACTTGGAGTCCCTCATACCCCCGCGCATTGCCTCTACACGTATGTCTTGACGTCTCCCACCCTTCCGATATCTCATCTACACGTTGTTTCTATGAGACTGATACTATTAAAGCCGTAATCTATATGCAAACCTTGTTTGTTTATTTGTGCCTGCAGGATGGCGTTCTTCTTAGATTGCCACGCCTTTCTCTACACTTGATCAAAGGACGTCCGCCGCTACCCCCAGAAGCATCCCAGCTGTATTCCAGCGTAGATAACATACAAAAGCTGCTTGGCTATATTTTGAGCCTCGATGAAACAACCATGGCCAAGTTCTCCACAGCCGATTGGTGCAGATTTATTTCCGGTGTAATTCTCGGTATACGATTGTCACTCGCGATACCTGAATGTCCCGACTTCGACACCTCCTGGGTGCGCTCTCGTTTGCGATTTGAGGAAATTCTGGAACGACTATGCAAAGACACGGATCCTATAGCAAGCGCGAAGCCAAAGGTTGACGTCCTCTCCGCAATGCGGACTATCATGAGAATTGTCAGGGATAAGTATGTCCAAAGGCTTTCCATCTTGGAAAATGGGCCGCAAATGGCACATCAAAAGTTAAGTCTTGGATGCCCCATGCTCGACGGAAGCATGGACGAGCAGTTGAAGCTTTGGCAGTCGGTAATAGATACGGATATCTCTACCGCGTCACTGCCGGGAGATATAGCAACTTCATTGAGTTCTGACGACGAGATGATACTTAGGGATCTCTGGGCAACGACGGCGGGGTGGGCTAATGGGGATGCGCTGCCAGAGTGGTAGGCTGATTTTGTTTTTGCCATCAGCGCATCATGACGGACATCGAAGATACTATTCGGGATCCCGCGCCTGTTTGGGGTTTCCTTCTAGCATGCTTATCAGCTGATGGTGGCTTTTTTACACCTGTATTAATATGAAGTCTCCCTGTTGTATGCGTACTGCCTTTATGAATGAAGGAAATCAAGCTGATGAAGTGGTTTGGTTTCCCCAATTTATACTCCCTAGTGGGTTCCGCACTGTTGACCAACGGGTACTTCGCTTGGTAGTACTGGCCTTTAAGCATTCCTCTTTGTAACTTTGTTTTTGGTACACACATTGTATTCGTCAGATCTCTGCTACTGCCTAAGGAAACATGCCGTCTGTATCGAAGTAACTGTTAGGCGTCAATAAGATGTACATCGGCCAAGCCACGAAGGAACGCGTCCCTTGCTGTGATGTAGACTGAAACGGTTCAACCCCGCTTCTCCTATGTGTAAGAGCCGATGGCGGTCGGATAAACGGAGACTTGTGATACGGATGGTGCAGGCCGTAACAACAGGACAGCCAGTTCTGGTTAATAAGCTCCGCATTCTGGAATTCGCGAGCGCGACTCTGTAAATATGCTTGCCGACCGAGAAGCCAGCAGTTTTGGCCTTGGGTAATCACAACATTTGTATAATCTTTCATCATTCACATCACCTCTTTGTTTGAGTTACATTCCAACGCTACTCGAGTCTTTTCATACTCTGACATGTAGGAAGTCTCATTTGCCAGTACATGGGAATTTCGTTAATTGGAATACGACTTATGTATCCGCTACAGGTTTTTGTTAACAAGTTCCGCGAGGGGCTGGATAAACGGTGCAACTAACGGACTTGTGACACGGGACAAAAGGATTCAATATCATCATATGGGCAAACAAAATGCATCTTTTAATTTGTCTTGGCAATTTGCTAAACCCAATTGAATAATTAAAGCCGAAAGTATTCGGATTCGAGCGAAAGAGTGCAGCATTTTCTCCCGACGAAGACGAAGCGCATCTATATATTTCCCAAAGAATTACCTCCATTCACATATTTCACCCGGCATGAACTATCCCCTCATCTCTTTTACTTCTATTTAAAAACATAAAGCTAAAAAATGGCTCGCATTCAATTTGGTATTCTCGCTTACGACTATCAAGTCGTTGACGTGGTTGGTCCAACTGACCTTCTCGGCTCCCTCGCCAAAGAATTCTTAGAAGGCTTACAACTCCTCGGCCCTGTTGATAAAGCTGTTATTGATGGGGCTCCGCAATTTGACTTTCATCATATTGGTGTTACTCGCGACCCGGTACTCCTGACTAGCTCGATGAGCATTGTGCCTACGACGACTGTTGACGAGTGTCCTGAGCTGGACATTTTGTTAATGGGAGGGCCAAACCCACTCACTTTCGAATTGCACCCCAAATTCTCGGAGTTTATTCGTCGCCATGTCGCTGCAGGGAAGTTGCTCTTTACCAATTGCACCGGCGCCTCCGTGGCGGCGGAGACGGGCGTCCTTGACGGAAAGAATGCGACAGTCAACAACGTCGAATTCGAATATGCGAAAAAGAAATTCCCCAACGTTAAATGGACAAGAGACACGAAGTGGGTTGTTGATGGCAATATCTGGACAGGATCTGGCGCTATCGCGGGTATGGATATGTTTGCACACTGGCTGAAGGAGAATTATGGCCTGGATGTTCTTGTCCAGGCAGCCATGCTCCTTGATTACGAACCAAGGGATATTAATGGCGTACTAAACGTCATTCCAAAGAGGTTCGATGCGAATGGAAAGCAAATCTTCACGCATGTATACTCTTACCATTAGACAATGTGTGTTAGACAGGGTGCATATATATGTACTAAGCACATGTACGGAATAAGCATATAGATAGAGCCCTTATTCTCTCCACACTTTATTTACAGCTTTGTGCACAATCTCAGTATGAACAAGAACATCATCTGTATTTATCGAGGCTCGCTCCCTAAAAACCTTCACTATCCCCCCACCACTTCCCCTTTTTGTGCAAATGTAGATGTGACGCTTATGACAGTCCCACATGGGAGTCGACTCCATGCAAAGGTTTCCATTCCAACCCACATTTGGGATGCAACTGCCAACACATTGTATGACAGTAAGTTTATAAAAAAACAGCCGCTTGTGTTTTATGACGCTATCTTCAGGCTTAACTAGTAGGCTTGTGGGATGACATACTTTACAGACATGATAGGCTTATATGCACGTCTATCTGGCGCTAGACAACACTGGGGTTTTGACTGCCGCCCGATCTGAGAGCACGAAAATAAGGTAAACTCTAAATTACTTAGTAGCGAGTTGCAGCTGGTGGCGCCTTGATGGCCTGGCAGCCTTTGTAGTTATAAAAAGGGTTTCCTTCGATACCCATTAACGGCACCAATTGGCTAACCAGAGAACTTGCAATTCGACTACTCTACGCCATGGCTTCCCTCTTTCGTGATACGACATTTGGTGCAATAGTTCGATGGACAACCAAGCGCAATTATCTCAAATATCCCGAGGAGCTATCATCATTCCATTGTCCACACTTGTATATGAATGCCGGTTCGGCAGAGACAGAGACAACAGAGTCACATGGTCTTGAGGCCGCCAATCAATCCGAAGAGGACCTCAGAACTCATGGACGGACTCATTCAGTTGCACCACCATCTGTAGATACCTCTACACAATCGTCAGAGGGAAGCGATCTTGATGACCAAAGTCTTTCCAAAATTGTTTCTCGACCACAACTGTCTCAAGTCGGGACGTTAGCCAGTCTGCAAGAGGCATATACAGCAGCAACACTCCAGGAAAACGTGAGATCGCATCCTGCTGCAATTCATCCAAAGAAAACAGAAACTGGAATCACTTTGGTTGATTGGTATTCGACGGATGATGAAGAAAATCCCCAAAATTGGTCATCCAAAAAGAAGTTGTTTGTGGTTCTCCAGATCTATCTTTACACTCTTGCTGTCTATATCGGATCTGCCATCATAACGCCATCTCAGCCCTATATCGAGGCTCAATTCGGCGTAAAGCCAGAAGTTGCTTCAATGGGACTTTCTCTCTATGTTCTTGGCTATGGCATCGGACCTTTAGTCTTCTCACCCCTCTCCGAGATTCCAGCCATCGGACGCAATCCACCGTATATTATTACGTTTGGCATCTTCATTGCGATTTCGGCTGGCACTGCGGTGGTCAACAACTTTCCTGCATTAATCGTCTTGCGCTTTCTGCAGGGATTCTTCGGCTCTCCTTGTTTAGCGACTGGTGGAGCATCTTTTGGTGATATTTACAACCTCGTTAAGCTACCATACGCGCTCACAGGCTGGGCTGCATTCGCAACTGCTGGCCCAGCTATTGGACCAATATTATCTGGCTTCTCTGTTCCGGCCACAAACTGGCATTGGTCATTATGGATAATTCTTTGGCTTGCTAGCCCTGTCTTTGTTCTCATGTTCTTTTTCCTGCCAGAGACATCCACACCGACTATTCTTCTGCGGCGTGCCCAGCGTCTCCGCAGGCTCACCAAGAAGAATAACTTACAATCTCAATCCGAAATTGACCAAGCCAAACTCACTGTTAATGAAGTTGTCATACAAAGTCTCTGGAGGCCTCTCCAAATCAATTTATTTGACCCTTCCGTACTTTTCACAAGCTTGTATATCGGTCTCATGTATGGCATCTTCTATTCTTTCTTCGAAGTCTTTCCATTTGTATATGCGACAGGCCTCCCAGGCCGCGCCTCTCCAACAAACGGTTATGGCATGAACGCTGGCGAAATCGGTTTAATATTCCTATCCATCACTGTTGGCGTATCTATCTCTATTGTCTGCTACGTTGCATATCTCAAATTCGTCTTTGAGCCTGAGATTAAGACGCAGGGCCTTGGGGAGCCAGAGCGGCGACTAATATGTGGCCTTCCTGCGAGCTTTCTTGTCCCAATGGGCCTTTTTGTTTTTGGGTGGACAGGGAATTCCAGTCCGAAAATCCCCTGGATTGTTCCTACTATCGGTGTCACGATATTCGTGGTTGGCATATTTATTATATTTCAAGTGGTTTTCATCTATATCGCAATTAGCTATCCAATGTACAGCGCCAGTTTGTTTGCGGCAAATGATTTTGTTCGCAGCAGCATAGGATGCGGGGCCATTCATTTTTCACGTCCCTTGTTTATAAATCTTGGCGTTGGCAAAGGAGTCAGTTTGTTAGCTGGGCTAAGTTGCGGAGGTGTGATTGGAATATTCGTGCTTTATTTCTACGGAGCGACGTTGAGACGAAGGAGCAAATTTGCTGCAACATGAGTCGCATTACCATATATGGATTATCCACAGGTAAATAATATTTTACAAGAGTTCTCCAGATTGAGGGTATCTATAACCCTTTATAATTTGCGATGCTTTGTAAATATTTTGAGTATCTTTACTGCTCTGTTCTCTACTTTTCTCTTTCTTAAACACATTATGGAAGATGTTATGTAATAACTGCTGTAGTTCCTGTTGAGTCTAGAGATAATATATAGAGATAAAGCTACTCCAAATTTGCAACTCTAACCAGCTTCTTATTGGTAAATTCGCCAAAACCAATGTCCGAAAGTTCTTTGCCGAATCCAGAGTTCTTGATACCTCCAAATGGCAAATCAGGGCTGGCGTAAGCAGGACCGTTAATAAAAATCATACCCGCCTCAATTTGTGCTGCTACCTTCTTTGCATGGGAAATGTCAGCTCCAATGATGCTCGCGCCTAAGCCGTACTCCGTGCTATTAGCCAGTTTGATGGCTTGTTCCTCTGAGTCAACCCCATATATGGCAGCAATTGGACCAAAAGTCTCTTGTTGCGCGAGAGGATTTTCCGGGGCGATGTTGGTGAGAATCGTCGGCTCGAGATAAAACCCCGGGTGCTGACTGCGTTTCCCGCCCAATATGACATTCGCGCCGGCTGCCTTGGCCGTTTCAATTTGGGCCAACAACCCAACAAGTCCACGCTCAGAGAAGATAGCACCAAGCGTTGTCTTAGGATCCATCGGATCACCCGGCTTCAACTCTGCCATGGCCTTTTTCATACCGTCGATGACCTTTTGCTCGCGATCCCTTCCAATGACGATTATTCGTTTAGATGCGGCACATCCCTGGCCAGTGTTAAACATTCGACCAGCTACGGCTAACTTTATCGCATCATTGATAGGAGCGTCAGGAAGGACAATCAATGGGTCCGATCCTCCCAATTCGAGAACACTTTTCTTGAGATGGCGGCCAGCATTCTCTGCTATTGCGGCGCCGGCGCGCTCGCTTCCAGTCAAAGTGACGCCTCGGATGCGAAAGTCTTCTAGCAAGGTATGAAGTTGCGGAACAGTGGCGAAGATGTTTGTATACACTCCCTCTGGGACACCAGCATCTCGGAACAATTGTGCAAATGCCAGCGAGGTCTGCGGCACTGTCGGGGCGGGCTTTGCGATCAAAACGTTCCCGGCCATTATATGTGGCGCGGCAACTCGAGTCAATTGGATTAGAGGGAAGTTCCAAGGTTCAATCGCAAGAATAACTCCCAGTGGCTCTGTCCATATCTCAGAACCCGGATTGGAGGGAACCTTTATCGGCTGTAAGAAACTTTCTGCGTTGGTAGCAAAGTATTCGAGAGTGTCGATGCAGAATTTCACCTCATACCGAGATTCGGCAATGAGTTTTCCAACTTCCAGTGTGATAAGCTTCGCAAGCTCTTCGCTACGCTCTTGGAACAGTCTTGCCACACCATGTATCAATCTTGCTCGCTCAGCAATCGGGGTTGAGCGCCAGTGATTGGTAAAGCAGTCATGCGCGACTGAGAGAGCAGAACGTACTTCTTCGTCCGTGAGTTCTGAAAACGTCTTCAGATGTTTCCCGGTCGCAGGGTCAAAACTCTGGTATTCACTGTGTGAAGCCATTCTGGATGTGAATAAGAGTGCTATGAAATATTAATAATATCTCCAGTTAGCTTCTCCTGTCAATTTGCGGCGATCAGTATCAAACGACATACCTTTAGAATAGAAGATTTTATAGTGTAGCTATTTGATATCAATTGATATCCATCTCTCGTGATCAAGTGGCGTATTTATATCTACAACTTAGGCATCTACTGAATAAACTAGTCTCACAGCTACACTCACACGCCCCCTTGGTAGACATCTTTGACCCGCCTGATGGACCACTAGGATGAACCTTCACAAGCATAACCCGAGGGGCTGCCAGAATCATGGACATCGGAAGCGCTTTAACTCCGTATGTCTTAATCCGAAATGTCTTGGACCGCGACCGAGATCATGTTTGCCCCTCGGAAAATCTTTGACCGTGACCGAGATCATCTTTACTCCTCGGAATTATACCTTTTGTAGAAGTATTCCGGCTTCCTTCGGATGTGGCTTCGGTAGTAGCGGCTTCCTTTTAATCTCATTATTAGCAACTGGTTGTAAGATACTTCGATGTGAGCGTTCTGCATAGATGTGATAACATAGGTTCATTCAAGATAGAGTAGAAATATATCAATGGAGACTCCTGTGAAAAGGGGTGATGCTAAACTGGCTATAAAAGATGGAATGTAAGCTCTATTGAACTCTGTCAAATTTATAGTTTGAACAGCACCTATAACCCCTTTAAAAATGTCCAAAGAGATTATCCTGATTACTGGCGCTAATACCGGGATTGGTTGGGAGACTGCTAAGGCATTGCTTCAATCCACAAAGTCCTACCACATACTTTTAGGAAGCCGGTCCATGTCCAAAGCAGCCGACGCTATTGCCAAGCTAGTCGAACATGTTCCGACCACTCAAAACACAGTGGAGGGCATACAAATAGATATCGCAGATGACAAATCTATCCAACGAGCGGCGCACATGATTGAGAACAAATGGGGTAGAGTTGATGTCCTTGTGAATAATGCAGGTGAGGAAATTAAATGTCTCAAACTTGCTCACCACACGTGCTGACCCGCGGATATAGGTGTTGCATTCGACATCCTGGTTGGTACTGACGCTACCAATGCCCGTTCCGTCTTCAACGAAACATACAACATCAACGTCTCCGGGACAAACATGATGACTTTTGTTCTTGCAAGCCTTCTACTAAAATCGCCGTCTCCTCGCCTATTGTTTCTTACATCGGGACTATCTACAATGGGCGGATTTACACAGAGTCACATACCTGTACAAAATGTTGAGCTTGGACGGCCAAAAAAGGATTTTGCAACCGCACAGGCTTATAGATGTAGCAAGGCGGCCATAAACATGCTGATGCTTATTTGGAATTTTACTCTGAAGCAGGACGGTGTCAAAACATGGGCAATCGCTCCTGGGCTTTTGGCAACGACCATGGTGGGTGATCCCGAGATTCTGAAGCAACGTGGAGCTCAGCCTCCTTCTTTGGGGGGACAATTCATCAGAAGTGTGATCGAAGGTGAGCGAGATGCTGATGTTGGTAAAGTAATTGCTCGGGATGGAGTCATCCAACTCTGGTAACATTGTATTGTCGACAATGAGGAAATTATACCTCTACCGATATGTATTTAGAGTGAGGGGTGCTAGCCGATTGACATTACTGTCGACAAAACATTGGGATGCGCTGTGAAGGATGGAAAATTCCATGTCCTAGTGTAAGATGCCTTTCCAAGTTGCTATAGAGTGTTTTGCCGTGTTAGCTATAATACCTGTACAAGCCCACCTTCCGCTCTTAGTCTGCTGACGATCCGCTCATGGTCCGCTCAAAGCCCGCCCGAAGCTCCGATATCATATCCTATAAAGCTACAGAGTGGGAACCCTAGGTATCAATTATGCATAATAGAAACGTTAAAACAATCAGCTGATGACAGATCAAACGGAGTTAAATGCCCTCGCGGCTCTATAAGTCCGCACAGATGGCATATCGCCAGATTATAAATATCATTTGTAATTAGTTTCCGCTCCAGTAGGAGCTTTACAAACATTGCAATTATATCATTTCAAATCATTGGTGGGGTACCAAATACCCTACAGTGAAATTAAATTCACAGAGTTCAAAGGAACCTGTATGAAACAATTTCTATGATGGATTATCCATTTGGGCTATCAAAATTTGCTTGGTACTCTCTGCCATTTACATGGGCGTTCTTCAGCTTGTTGATATCGGTTACTCCAAACACGCACGCCGACAAATCTATTAGTGGGCGCTTCACGCCACAAATTTAGAAACAGGTCCATTGCCATATGCATTTATTTCGAAAATATTCCTCAATTTGTATTGTCCAACAAAATTGATGCCAACACTTGTTTTACAAGCGGTGCAAAAGTTGCGATTTTCAGTTTTGGTGCTAACCGGTAGCTCTTTAGGTCTTCCCATCTGTCAACTGATTGGATATGACCCTCTCCGAGCATTTATCAAGAGGTAACCACTCTTGACACAAATGGAGCGGTTACATCTCGTCAGCGGACGCTGACTGATAAACGGTGGACATATTACTTGTGTCTCGTAAAATGTCTTCCAGTATCTGTTCAAATATCTTTCACCCCTGTCCAGGTAGTTTGCTCATGGATTTACCTACATAAGTCGCCAATTAGATCACAAAGCTGCACAGATAAATATCTCATCGATATAAATGTTCTTGTACGTTACATGTCTATAAAATCCCACCATCTTCGTCCTGCTTCTCACGTTCTACATTAAGCATCACTGGGGCGGGACTAATAGTCGCAGCGCGTCAATCAATTGTGTGGTTCCATAACGAACTTCCTTAGCATCCGGCTCAACATCGACCAAGCCCCCCTCGTTCTGAGCGTCGTTGGCTTTGATGAGAAGTTCGGCAAGGCTAGGGCTCATGACTCTTTCAAAAGCTCCCTTCCACTGCGAACGTGGCACGACTTCAGCATTGATTGTCCGGCCTAGTAGCTGACTCAAGACCGCCGCTACATCATTGGCGCTATATCGGCGGGGTCCCTCAGCATGGATAATTTCCACTACTGTATCGCTGGCGGGCCGCATCAAGACGTCGGCGGCGATCGCTCCGACATCTGGAGCCGAAACTGTTGGAAACACCATGTCAAGAGGGTCATGAAAGCTCGGTAGAGTGCCCGACTCCATGGCTCTCGGGATAGCACGTCCCCATCCCTGCATATGCTCTGCCGATCGTAGTAATACCTTGTGACAATCGAGCTTGCTTAACCGCTCTTCGAATGTTCGGCAGAGCGTAGGCATCCCAATATCATTAGTGATGTGAGCGCCGTAGTCAGAAATTGCAAGTACGCGCTTCGGCCGCGCTTCTTCAAGTGCGCTGGCAAGGCTTTCGATTCCCCTCCGCATTTCTTCTGCGGTGTCCTTGGCCTGTGGGGATGGTGGAAGGATAATTTGTACTGTATGAGCATCACCAATCGCCTTGGCAAGAGCTTTGGAATCCAAGAGATCGGCTATAGCAATCTCGCAACCGATTTCCGTAAGCCGTGCCGCCTTCGACTCATCACGTAAAATCGCCCTGACTGGCATACCGGCGTCGCGCAATGCTAGCGATGTGGCATAGCCAACCTTTCCCGTTGCACCGACAATGGCGAACATTTCCGAAACCGTTGGTATAACGCGTAAGAAATGAGTGGAGACGCAAAGTTCTGTACGGAGCTTGCTATCGAAGGAAGAGAACTTTTTTTTTTGGTTGAAGACAACTAGGATTTTTGCTGGATAAGATGTTGCTGAAAGTGTCTTTTGTACAATCTTGACCGTGACGGCTACACGACTTGGTAAATGTTTACTAGTGACGGCTTGCCATTTGTTATTTATATCCCAAAGAACTTTGGCCATCAAATACATTGTCTTTTAAGTATCGGCTTTCTGCGCATTTGTTTAAACCCGAGAGATGATTCAAGTATTGGCATTTTGGTGATCAGCGGACAAGCGGCGTTGACACGACTGATCTAAACCCGTCGGAGCCCACTCACGTTGACCTTTCTCCTCGGAGCTGCTACAGACAGTGCAACATCCAAAGAGTAGCAGTTAGAGTGTAAGATCTCCCATCGCCTTCTACGTCTCTCGCGTACTGCTCTAGTCTAAATTGGGGAATGGCTTCCATTAGCTCAATCATATACTTTCCTTCAGCAACAGGATCCCTGATGGATTACCTGGAAAATCATCAACAATGGACAGATGAATAAGTTAATGATCATCAACGCATACGGCGCTTCTTTTGTCTCTTCATTAATTAGTATTTTGTCAAAACCTAGCATTTCTCAGATGTCAGATATATCATTGGTTGATATCATAGTCGGCGATTCTTACCAAGTGCAACAACTGACTGGGACTCCATGATAAGATATTGCAACAACTCATGGGACAGTTGGCACCAAATCCGAATAAATAAAACTAGTCTCTTTTATATATAATATTTCATTCATTTTAGTCAAAAAAACTTTCTAGAGCTGTAAGATGTGAGAAAATACAGAGTAAATATCCGTTTTGGTCATGACTTGATTTCTTTACTTAGAATGAAGGGAGACTTGATCCATAACGACAAACATGAGTCTTGGTCATATTAGAGAATACCATAGTCTATTCATTCGGTACTATTCTAAAGACTAAGTATGTAAATATCATTGTATTGATATGCCATTCTAACTATTTGAGCGTGCGCTGTGAAATGAATTTATGTATCTACCTATTTGGGGGTGGGTTGGGCTATAAATGAGTGATCCGACATATCCTAGCCAAAGATAAATATGGTAAATGGCATCGGCTAGCCCGCTCTCGTGAGTGTAACATTGAATGCAGCATTCCTGATACGAGTTACCTCATCGTTTGATCCATAACTGAACAGGAAGTCTCCTATGCTGAGATAGTTATAGGCGGCCCGATCCAATTGAGTCCATGACTGACAGCTACCGTCTTTGAACACCAATTTTGCGTCTTCTTCAGACTTCTCTTTTACAGTTCTGGTATCATAAACTGCTCGCCAAGACGTTTGTTTTGTTCCATCTTGAATGTGGCCCACGAGGTTGGTTGGGTACAATCGAGCATCCACGTACATATCTTCAGGAAGCGGCCCTCCACCGATTGAAAGAGCATCGAGGCTATATAAACTGGAGTGATGGAGTACATCAAAACTTCGAACGGTGAAGTTTTTGATGGCTAGAGTATTGTCGGAGTTGATGCTTAGAATGAGACTCGAGTTTGTTGTTTTATCGGTGTATGTACCAACCAGAGCTGCTGGGAAAGTAACTGCTTCGGTCCGACCTGCCTCATCAATTGCAGGAATTAGTTCTTCAATCACAGCGCTGAAAATTTCGGCGGTCGCATCCGAGCTGACTTCGGCACCAGCTGCGAAGACAACAATGGAGATGTCGTAGTCTGGGACCAACCCAATCAGAGCATGGTATAGACCCAGATCGCCGCTTTTGGTATACAAATCAACAATTCGACCGTCGGCCGTGATCTGGTCGCTGCGAAGAATCTCCCAGGGCGCACCAACCGAGTATCCCCAGGAAGAAGTATGACTGCGCGGCTTCATCCATTCACGAGTACGGCGTGAGCTAAGAAACCGATTCATGAGGATACCATCAGCAAAGGAGATTAGATCGGCAGTGGTGCTGAACATTCCACCAGCACTAGAAGCATGTTAATATCCTTGTTCTTCATATGAGACTAATGCGTAAACGGAAGAGTTTGTCATTCACCTTTCAAAGACACCCAAAGTTGCATTCCACGTTGTCTCTCCAACGGGGACGAAGCCGTCCTCGGGAAAAGAATCCACGAATCCGTTGAACGATGAACTGTTCATGCCAACAACGTCGAATACGTTATTTTGAATGGCGTTGATATAGGTGTCGTCAATCGCAGCATCGATGACCATTCCAAGGATAGCAAAGCCAACGTTGGAATACGAAGGGGTTGTGTAAGGAAGATATATGGGTTCTCTTCTCTTCAATTCATGGATAAGATCCTGTTTTGTGCATGGCACAGTGCCTGGTAGTCCAGAGCAATTCGGCCTCGTGCCCTCAGGAATTTCTGGTAATCCGATGTCTTGCCATATACTCAATGGAAATACACCCAAATCCATGGCCGCTAAGTTCAGATTAATAATACATCCCATATACTGGAGAAAGGTCATCTTACTATCGGTGGCAAGACCAGAAAGATGCGTCATCAGGGAGTCGACAGTAATATCATCCCAAGGAATTGACTCTATAGAGTCACTTGCCATTGCGGTTTTTAATTCAGGAATGTACTTGAGCACAAGATCATCCATGTGAATGGAGCTCGTTTGTAGAGCTGCAAGCGCCGGGAACAATTTTGACAAGCTTCCAACCCTGAAAATGGTATTCTCATTGATGGCTGTGGTGCCAATTCCGGATAGAACTGGAGGGGTGAAGTGGTAACTAAAGAGGGGTACATCTTCATGGGCCGATTTGACGAGTACTGACATGCCGCTAGAATTCAGCTGCGAACTGAAGTTCGACTCAAGAATCGATGTTAGCTTCTTGGTGGCCGATATAACTGCTTCATTGCTACTGGGAGCTTGTGCTGGTGGAAGCACGATACCAAGTGGTGGGCACGTTTGAACCTTGGCAGATATGAGAGAAGCGCCCACAGCTATAGCTGCAAATCCAAGATGGAGATATTTCATATCAAAGAATTATGGTCTAAAAGAGGTAGGGTAATACAATGCAAGTGTAAATAGTGGTGATGGCGATACAAGCCTGAATCTGAAGATGATAGCCATGGCCTACATATATATAGATAAATATATATATATATATGGTAGCTACACTCATTAATCCTGTCTCTTAATTAGGGGGGCGTTTTAATCAAGGGGCGTTGTCTACGCTGCACATCGCAGGACGCGTTGGTGGTTCGTAATTCTCTTGAAAAGGAATCAAGGCTAACCCCAATCAGCCTACTAAGCCTCAATGACCAGTCAATTTCACTTACGCGACGAGTGTGGCTGGTCCTGGGAATATGGCTACACAGCCTGCTTGCAGACAAATACCTGGAGAATCCTGCGCTAAGCACGCGTAATACCGACTTTTTTGTTCATATTAGTACTGAATAGCACTGCGCTACATGTTTTACAGGGGGACCTAGGTATAAAACTACAGAGTGGACGGCAGAGGAATATATCTCGATGAATCATTAGAGTGTTGTGCTATTTCTTCTTGCCCAGTGAAACACCTAGCCTTATCTGATTTTCTTGCTAAAACCCTTATTTGATTTGCCATAAACAAAAGGACATGGCCTTTAACAGACTATCAAATATGGATCCAATTCTTCAGTCCTCCATGGATTTCATTTGAACTAAAGATGTCCCTTTCTCAAATTGTTAATAATTCCAGTTGATAATTATACCAACGGCAGAAAATCCATACCTATACTCAGCAGCTACAGAATGGTGCAAGAGCACCTGCAGGCCATGCACAGCAGGCCGAGGGACAGGTGGCAGCAGTTACCCACTGTGCGCCATTGCAAACCACGATACTGCGGAAGTCGTTACTACAGTCATAGCCAGAACCACTGCATGATTGACCAGGGCTATGAGTTGCAAAAGCTGCGGTGGCTAGGAAGCCCAGAAGTGTGATGCTGGAAAGTTGCATAGTCAGAGACCAATTGAAACAGCTTCTTAAAAAATCGTTTCTGATAACAGATGACAAACGAAACCAGTCCAAAGGGAAAAAGTGAAGTGTTAGTTTTGGGAAAAGAAAGGTGAAGAAGATTGGCAATCGCCATGTATTTATTCTGTTTTTATATCGCATCATAGCCAGCCAGGACATTGCGGGAAAAAAGATTTGTAGTGTCGTGCAAAACCTTAAACCGACTTTTTGAATCCCAGGTGCAATCCTTCCATATGATCCTTCGTGCCAAAGGGAATCCACCAGCCCCTATGCGAAATCCCACCCGCGGATCCTTCGCGAATACCCCGAATTAGTTACTACGGCGATGATTCGTTAATTAGTGATTATTACGTCCACAGCGCAGCGCCCATGGTTGCAGTTCATCTATGTTGGGAAGTACTTTTGCATTCGCTGGTTTCAAGACAGTAATAACCTGATGATTATCCATAGGATCCTGGATTCATGCAAAGAGTAAAGGTGGGATACAGTCACACTGAAAATCCTGAAATCGTACGTTTATGCACTGTGACATAAAGAAACACCGAGGATCCGTGATATATTGACGGTTGCTCGGGTATTTGGCCATCTGCCATCCGTGAATTGGTTTAGCCTAATAGTGAGATTAATGACTTAATAGGTGAATGGCATTGTAACAAATAGTTGTATATATTTACATAAAATAACAACTATTCCAAGTTGACGCATTATTCCGTACTATAAGAATTTATTTTGTAAGCTGAAACCATAGCCCAATGCCAAAATAACTCGTTTTCAAATATCTATATCCTATTTTCAACATGCTAACACAAAGTAAGCGAGAAATCAATGACTGACAATAATGCGGATAATAATGCCTATCCATGTACCCTCTCGGACGGTCTTAATACAGAATTGATGCAAGATATCAGTCCCGCGGATCTTCCCGATAGATTTCAAGTCGCTTGGATAATTGCACTGATATTTACCTTTGGATATCTCGTCACATTGATAGTCGCGGTGTCCGAATTCATTAACCATCATGCCTTGGAAGACATAGGCTTGGTAGTCGATGTAATGAAACACATACATCCAGAATGGATTCACTATGCTCATAGGGACCAAGAAACCGTTAACACACATCCAAAGTCCATTAGCAAATGCCGTTGCCGCCAATGCAATAACAAATATGCTGAATATGGAAGAGATTAAAACAACCAGAGACTCGGCTGCAACAAGATCTAGGAAAAGTCATAGGGTCCATGTAAAGAATGCAGACGCATCTGGATGGAAATTGGATAGCCAATATGTAACAACGGAAAAAAGGAAAGAAATGGCAAATAAGAAAGGAAGACCAATAAGAAAATTGGCCACCATGAAGGAAAGAGGACTGACCAGCCCATTCGCACGCTCCTGTCGGAAGGTACTGTGATCTTCGAGAAAAGCTGGGACGTATGCGACAGCCATGAATGACATGAAGGCACCACCGAAGGAAATGGCGTTGATGAGAGGCTGTATGTATGATTGCTCCGTTTTGAAACGTAGGAAGACAGTGCCCATAAGGATAGCCAGTCCAAGATACATGGCGACACGAATACCGTAGGCCATAACATCTCTGTAAGATTTGATCCAGGAGCGGCGAATAAGTATCACCGGTGTTTTCCACGACTCTGAGGGTTCAATCTTGAGGTCTGAATATGACGACGTTCCTTCTATAGACTTTTGGATTGCAACTTCAAGGTTATTGCAAGCGGGAGAGATTTTCCAAGCCTGGCAGATATATTCTGTTCTCTGGCGAATGTCGCCATCCTTGTCAAGATCTGTGTTGATCAAATCGAGGAAGAAATCTGCCGAGCTCGTCTCCGGTGGGATTGCGTAACCAATCTTGGCAAAATATACGGTGGCTTCTGATACTGGGCCAAAGTAGCAGGTTCGTCCGCCAGACAGCAGGTATAGCTTGTCGAATTGTTGAAACGTTGCAGAAGATGGCTAATGAATCGACGCTATTGTGATGAGCTACATGAGATCACTCGCCATTAGAAATGCTCGAATTAGTGATAAATCGACGTAATGCCCACATTGTTCTTGCGACCGATGGCTTTGATGTAGGTGCACACTTCGAGACTCAGCGCAGAGTCCAGTCCGCTTGTTGGTTCGTCGAGGAAAATGATCTTTGGATTTGTGACTAGTCGACTAGCAACATCAAGCCGCTTCTTTTGGCCGCCACTGAGACCCTTTTTGATGGGCGTTCCAACGACAGTATCTGCTTGAGCTCGCAGGACAAAGGCGGCTATCAGATCATCAACGCGTTTAAAAGCCTCCTTTTTGCTTATTTTACTAGCAACTCAATTTGTTAAGATGTCATCGCCGGCAATGCACCGAGATAATAACACTTGGGGTTCACCAACTTTGAGAGAGATAGTCGCGCCGCAAACACCATAGGCTCTTGAACTGTGAGACTACCTATCAGGGCATCTTCTTGTTCAACGTAACTAGACGAATAACGAATTTGCTGAAGAGATATCTTGTGGCCATTGACCAGAATATTTCCAGTAGTTGCTGCATTTGCAGCAGCTGCTCTGTGTGCTAGCGCATTCAACAATGTTATCTTACCAGATCCGCTGGGGCCCATGATAGCAAGCATCTCGCCGGCATTGACAATCCCTGCTGCGTGTGAGAGAATAGTCAGAGTCGCATTTGTTTTCCGATCATTGACGGCCACTTCCAGGTTGGTCCAAGAGAAGGGTTAGGGTTACCAACTCTTCTCCCTATAAAGTTTATTCGGGATAGATATCACAATGCCGTGTTTCGTAACAGGCAGATCCGTTACAAATATATGGTTGGGTTGCAAATCATTGCTACAATGACAATTGGTTCCCTACACAATATTTTACTCCTCTGGCCAGTCGGTATAACGGATTTTTTCACTGATCGTAGAGTTAGACCGGTGAAGTTGACTAAAGTACGTGGAATTATGATCGGGTCAGGCGTGACTCAATGTCATGGTACCCGATCCTGCAATGCTAAAGTTGGATCAAGTACCTCATGAATCCTTATATCTAGCTCACTCGTCTTCAACCCATTCTCTTCTATTCGACTTGGCTAATACGGTAATACCTATGGAGACATGTCAATATAGTCCGCAATGCCACAATTGAATTATGTAAAAAAGGTGGTGATGTATATGTCAAGTCCTTACCTTCTCTGCGTTGAATGGGTCAAACTTTCGTCGCCTAGCATAGGGTACCCTATCCAACCTACGTTTCACGTTGATTTCAGAACGAGCATACCGATGTCTCCATCTCATCATCTACGGGCACATCATCGCTCAGGAAAGTAAAAGGGAACATAACCGTATCCAGCCTCAATCGCTTGTGTATGTGTGGCAGCGGAGAAACAGACGCTGTTATAGCTGGTCGTTATGAAAACTCAAGTGGATCAGCCATCTCAAAATGGAGCCGGTAAAATGTGGTACAGCATATGTTCATGTTTATTATTGCTTCCAATCATTCTTTACAAGAGAGATCTGGAAATAAAAGCTAAACCTAGGTGTGGACTTAATGCTATGACTATAAAGGCCGGGCTGTAGTAAATGGATGTCGCATTTCAACGATCCTCGAGGCCTTCAAGGGATGAACGTTGATCCAACTTGGAGCATTGCGAGATCAGTGAACCGGATAGGTTCGGAATATGCGCCCAATACCTCCGTGGGTTGGACGCAACATCAGCTATCTACACCAATCTCAATGTACTTATGAAGATCAATGTGCTGGATTTTTTTCTGTATACGTCATGTAGCTTGAAGCATCAATTCCAACACTCTTTGGCACAGCGCATTGTGCAGTTGCGGCTTCCGTCGCCATTGCCTTATCAGCTGACTTGCAGTGTGGGATATGTCATCACGGGACAATAATCTCAATAGCTGATACTATTCTGGACATCACAGCTTTAGCATTTATAGCACATAGTCGTATCTTCTTCAATCCGGCACAGAATAGGGAGTGCTGAGAATTGATCTTGCAACGCGCGAAATATACTAGAATGCAGTAATAGCAAGCGGCAATATGCGTTAATACACAAGTGATGCGATAGCATAACGCCATCAAGCAGCGATATCTCTCGGCTTTACTATCTTACATTTTCGTGCTTGAAGATTAACATTTAATTGGTACTAAACAACTTGAGTGGACTTATCTATAAAAACACCGGGCCCTGGCTGATTTTGCATCGTGGCTTGAGTTTTATGTAAATCCCGAGCCATGAAGCTTGATTGGTGATCCTTCCAGCAACGGAGAGTTTCGGCAAGAGAGCTGCCGGGGTAGAGGAACATTGATCTACTCCAGGATAGTCTAGGCTCATCTTACGCCACGTGCTGGAGCCATGGGTCCTGAATCCCCTGAATCCTGACGGATTTCGAACTAGGCTCATAGCAGCCTCGACTGTGACCACAGCTTACCCTATTATTTTATTTTATTTTCATTCCATAGTTGGATATTGTTACAATTGAAACAGACCAAGAGCTCTTACATGCTTCTAGAGTAACACGAACAGCTGACATCTATCAGATACATCACGAAGTATCTATTCCATATTGATGATGAGTACTTGTTTACTCCATACAAAAGTAACAACGGTATAGATGAAAGAAGCATAAAAAATATACCCAGATGTTTATGTTTAACCATTACTCAAGAGCTTACTATGCTAAGATATACTACAATAGATTATTAGAAGAGCTTTTTTGCTGCTATGTCATCGGTAACACTCCTTTAATTGACATTTCCTTTTGCTACTGATACTAAATCATCGCCAATAATAGACCGATGGCTCCAGCACTACGATACTACGAATCGATATTTCCCAGACAACACAACGCACCGCTTTCAATCTTTCTGCCCTGGTTCTAAAAGTTCTGGCACGACATGACTAGACAACTGTTTACGATAAAACACTAGTTACTAGTAGTGGGCGTAGAATATCTCCACAGTAATTTGTAGAATTCTTGCTATCTGTATCTACATATATGTACGTATATATACTCTCAAAGTTATCAAACAGATTTGGTCTCAAAATGACAACTTTATGGTCGGCCGGCAGGCCAGGTAGTGCCGAAACGGCCGTTGGTGGCTGCAATGACGGGGCTGCCGTGCGAGTCATCGACATAAACGTACTGAGAGCCAACCTGCTGGAGCTCCCAGTCGCGAGGAGGTGTGTTGATGGCACCTCCAATGAATTCGGTGGCCGCGAGCACCCTCTGTCCATCATCCTTGGTGTCAAGAGCGTTGCTGGGCGCATTGCTCAAGATGTCCTGCGTGAATCCCTTCCACGCTCCAGAGCCGTCCTGAGAGCTGACCAGGACAGGACCGTCACAGCCACGGATGAGAGAGACGTCGCTCCAGCCCCAGCCATTTGCGTCCCAGCTGAACTCAAACCATGTGCCGAGCCAGTGAGCCTGGCCATTGAGCATGGTTGCGTCGACTCCGCGCTGGATGCGGCCCTCCCAGCCATCAGGGAAGGACACAAACTGAGTCGCGCCGGCTGCGACCCAAATGTACTTGTAAGGAATTGTGTCGCAGTTGTTGTGGAAGGCGTAGAAGCCCCGCCAGTCGTTGTCGGTGTTGGTGATGAAGATACCCTTGCCGCCATTGTCGCCGTCACCCCAGGTCAGAGTTGGCGAAGTGCTGCAGACCCAGTCGCGCTTGGACTTTGATCCCTCAGGCTTGAGAGACTGGCGCACCAAGCCACCAGTCTGATAGCTCTTGAAGTGATTTTGTGGTACGGCTTTAATGGCATTAACATCAGGCGCGGTGATATTGTTAGCGGGAGATGCTCCAGGGGCTTCAGTTGGGAGCGCAATGGCAGCGCCAATAAACGGGACAAGAGAGATAACACGCATGATGATATCAGATGAATAGATAGTTGATCTTTGTTGAAACAATGCTCGTTGGATGGCTGGACTGAAAGACGAGATGAAGCAATGTCCTCATTTATATACTTCTCCCCTCTCTATTCGCATGTTCATGCGAGACTGGGATAGCCAGTCTTGAAGCAAGGCTATCTGGTCACCTTCAGTCTTTTCTCACAACTACCGCCGCCTGAATAGTTGCCGTGAGATTCGGGTTGCCAAGTGAGCTCATGGGCAGTGACAGGATCCGCAGCTTCCGCAGCTTCAATGGCGTGCTGTAGTAGTAATACCGAGCCAATCAATGAGAGTTGTAGCCACATCCGGCTCTTGAGTAGCAGAAGAAGCCATGTCGAGTCAAGGGATAAAGATAGCCTATGATGAATATAGAAGGAGATGAGTTGCAAAAGATGAGCGTATCATTATACCCAGCAAGGGAAAGATTCAGTATCTTGTGAGATGGTCTGCTGCGGCATTTTATCGGCAGGATCCATCCGAGCGTATTACAAATGAGTATGCTTATTGGAAAGGAAAACATCTTTACCTTCTTTTTGCAGAAACAATGAATACATACGTATCCACATATGAAGGATTCAAGGCAGCAGTTTCCAGCGTGTTATGCTAGTCAATATAAGCCTTCTGTGCCGGATATCGCATAGCGTGGGCCGGGGTTGCATCCTGACTGTGAGTTAGTTCCACTATTAGCACTCGAAACAGGACTTTTACCAACCAACTACGAAGGTGTGCCTGACTATCGTGCCACGAGGCACATGCTTCATATTACAATGAAAGCGTATTGACAAATAGGCTTGTTATGCTGACTGGTTAGTTCAAAAATAGAAAGTGAAAACAGAAGAGGAAGAGCACAAAATCCTTCGACAGATTGCAATCATCCTTTGAGATATTGCAATTAATCAAGGAAACAAAATAATTGATTGTTTTGGAAACTGTATATATAGCATATAGATTGCCGTTGTAATACAGGAGAATTTACCACCGCTCCCAAGTGTGTTGGACATCCAATCTCTTTGCTCACATCAAAAGACCTGGCTTCTATCTTCTTTTGCTATTCAAAATTTCTGAATCTGCTCTCGCAGTCCCACATACACTCGGCCAACATGGTTTTCTCCAGCAAGAAGTTAAGCGTTGCCGCTTCTCTTTTCACCTTAGCCCTTGCAGACCCATGGCCAAAGCGTGGCCTAGCTGCGAACGATGATATTCCCATCTCCCAATTTGGCGGGTCGTATAATGGCCATGGTTCGCAGGTCAACTGGCAGTATAACTGGGACAGCACGACCTCCCAGAAGCAAAGCTGGGCCGAGTTTGTACCCATGCTGTGGGGTACGCAGAGCTACCATACCACTCAATGGTTCGACAATGCTTGGTACTGGATCAACAATGGAGGCTCAGGGCACTTGCTGGCCTTTAATGAGCCAGAGCTGGGTAGCCAGGCCAATCTAAGCCCTGGCGATGCTGCTAATGCGTGGAGGCAATACATGGAGCCTTTCTATGGCCACGCGCAACTCGGTGCTCCTGCTGTCTCCAATGACGGCTACAACTGGATCAGCCAGTTCCTGCAGGCCTGCAGCGGCTGCCACATCGATTTCATCCCCATCCACTGGTACAACGATTGGACACTGGAAGCGGATTTTGAAAACTGGGTCAACAGTATCTGCTCCCTTGGCGGTGGCCGCCAGGTCTGGATCACAGAGGTATGTTGCTCATAACAACTTTTACCAGCAAGAAATATTGATTGCCGTTATTAACCACCCGAATAGTTTCAAGCAGGTGGAAACGCTGACCAAGAGGCCACTTTCTTGCGATCGGCGATCCCGTTCCTCGATAACAACCCTTGCGTCTACCGCTACTCTTATTTTGGCACTGCGGACAACGGAAAGGACTTGCTCCAGAACGGTGGACCTTCACTCTCTTCTCTGGGCATCCAATATGCCTTCAGCCCTTATGGCTCGGGCAGTGTGTAAGATTATGACATTGGAAAAGATGCTGGTGTACATACGATATTTTCAAGCTCATGATCATGTAAAAGAGAAAAATGCTACTGTACATACATTACTTTAAGATACATAGTTAGACGAAAACGAATATACTGCTCAAGGTGAACATTTTTGAATACTGTAGTCAGATTTTGTGCAATATAGCTAGTACCTTGGTTAGATTATGACTGAATATTATTAGGTTGGCTAGTAGGTGCTGAAGCCTCTTGTGAATATACGATGTGAGTCGTTAGCCCCCGTAAAGAGCTGCTTTACTATATACCATTTGAATGCTTGATTCCCCCTCCCCCCCCCCCAAAAAATGTATTTAAAAAAAGGAAAACATTTCTGCACTAATGATAAGCATGTTTCTATATCTCGACACTACCACAATTTCGTAATGCGAAAGGTTGCGACAATGAAGATGTATTGGTCCATGTAAATAGCATATAATCTTATGTAACCATGTGTTTTGCGTAGCTGCGTGTTTACATTATACGACTGCGAAGAAGAAGATTTTTTTAGATCATTTATAAACAAGGAGAGGAATAGAATCCCTGATACTACCATGTAGTAGCGACAGCAAAACTCTCCTTGTCTCCAGTCTAAGCCTCAATTGCCAAAGTTCTATGGTTGCCTAGGGTTAGGAGGGCAAGCAGATCCAACGCAGCAAGTGATTTGGCCAAACTGGCACTGTCCGAAAGAGTTGGCAGCGCCATCGTTAACATACGTCCAGGCGGCATGCTGGCAGGGGGCGAAGAAGGGCGCAGCAGATGTGGCTCCTTCATCGCTTCGGAGCGGGTTAACACAGGCGTTTTGTCCGTCGTTGTTCTTCATACCATGTTAACTTCAGTGTACTGTAGTGGTGTACTTCAAGTTCGACCTACGCCGCAAGAATTGAGGTTGAACAAGTTCTTGTTGCAACCAGTCACAACCTGTCCGTTGCAAGAGCAAACAATGGCAACAGAGAATCCGTTACTGGAGAAGAATTAGTTGATAGGAACGAGGAATGCGAATAGTGGTCTATAAATTACACGTAAGAGATATCGACATCGGCCACTGCTTCAGTAGATCCCTGAGGAACAACAAAGTTACCCTCAATCAGGGAATCATCGCCAGTAATGGCCCAGCCGGCGTCATTGATGGCGACATTACCAATCCATCCAGTTGGAACGGCAAAGGCAGCAGTAGCACCATTGGCCATGGTGCCGGGACCTACATTGCCCGACACAGCAGAAGGTCCGTTCGGATCGTGAGCGTGCGAGGTCGAGATGGCATCACCATGGCTATTAATGACGGTGATGGTCAAGAACTGAGGAGCGGCAGCAATCTCGAGACCGTGAATGTTAGGAGCAGCTGTAGGGCCGGCAATTCGAACGGTTGAAGCAATCGTGCCTTCAGTTCCAGTCAATGCCGGCTGAGGAGCAGCAAGGACGGAGCTGGCAAGGCCAAGTAGGGGGACGTAAGTCAGGCGAGCCATTTTAGATAGAAGTACACAGCGTCAAAAAGTAGTTGAAAGTCTCCGATACAAGGCAATTGAAGTTCTTGAGATTGATGGAGATATTATGAGAAACGTTGTGAAGCGAAGTCTCTCTTTATAGATGGTTCTTTTGCTGAGTATTGTACTGGTATCTTCTAAATCGTCTGGTGAATTTGTTTGAATCTAATTTTTCTTTCAACCCTTGCTCTCGGCCCGTTTGATCCTGTCAATGCTGACAATAGAGTATTTCTAGGAATTCGAACAACAACAACTGTTGAGACTGTCTGCTTTCGTTCACTACCAGAGGGTAAGAGTAGCCTTTCGAATCCGATAGCTCCACTAGTTGAACATGATTGGCGCGGATGCAAAGATGTACCGTTATTTGAGCATGGTATAAGACCACAACCTTCTCCTTGGGTGCAGTATGCAGCTTAAAACATCTGTTCATCCGGGTCTCGAGTATTTAGGCTCGAAGGGTGGCCTGGTACAACTCCGATTAAGGAGACTGGTGGCGTAATGAGAAAGTTGCTAAGCCGTCTGCCTTTTGTACAATTGTAAATATTATAGGTATGTACCGACTAATGATTGATGGGACGTTAATTCAGGAACTCAATACAGGTGTTCGTTATTTCTTTCTATCCTCTTACAATAAAAGCTTCCATATTTCGATCAAGTTCAAAATGGAACATTCCTTAGCCTTTTTGTTACAACTCTTTACTTAGTATTGCGGTGGCTTACAAGGATCACGCGTTCTATGTTCAAAGTCCAGGAACTGCTGTTCATACTGGAGCAGTTATGCATTACCTTTGTGGCTAGCACCATATATTACTATTACTTGGTGCTATGATAAGCGACATTCCTTCCAGGCAGCACTGTTCATGCCGAACGCATCTGTGCTTTATCACAATAGTAGTATGTCAACAGGCTATCGAATGCAGTAACTTGACTCAGTTTTTTTTATTTATTTTGACAACTCTATTGAGTGAAATTTGCTTTATTAAGTTCAAATACTTCCTTTCAGCTGCTTAGAAACTACATACCGTCCATTGATGAGAGTAATAGTAAACGAGGACCGAATCATTACCCCTGGTAGTAATAGTATTGGCGGCTCAATCCTTCGGACAGGGGTCGGGCTGTCGGCACCTACGGGATTCCCTCGCGAATTTCGGCATTGGGTACTACCTTACTTGTTTATAAACTACCCACTATAGCATCGTGCTAGCTGTCGCTGGCAATAATTTGACGAGGCGATGGAAGTCGGTAGCAGTAGAAGATGGCAGCAAATTGACGTTACAAATAGAGGTTAGTTCCGGCTCGTAGTATCGCCTTCGCTGAGGGTACGACCTGCTCGGAAGCGGCCCGCGGTATCAGCCACAATGCGCCGCGAAAATGATTCGTGCGGAGAGAAACCCACCCATTTCGGTCGCTATTGTAATGACTTATGCATTACTTCGTAGATTTGGCGACTTTCTGGCAAGTATTTATACTACTTACAGGTCCCTTTCGAGAGTTTGGATACTTGTCAAACCAGGTTGGATACTTGCCAGAAAGTCCCCCGATTTGTTTGTCTGAATAAGCGTCTGTGCCTACAGACTACGTTACTAGCGTTTAGACCTAACGCCAGTAAGTTCTTGAAATAGACACAAAGTGGGGAGAAAATAGCAGCGGCGCCCGCTGTATACAAATTATTATGATGTATAAATCATAGTTAATAAAATAAGGCATTTTCTTTCTACTATATGCGGCATGATTAATTGCCCGACAAAGTCGTCGGATTTGATTCTAAGCCGGTGATATACCTATGCCAAACTAGTAGTCAATGACCTAGTAATACGGCCGTAGAGCCCAAGGGTAGCACCACATATTATTGTGATATAAGGAACGCTGTTCCTCAGCACTAGTCAGTACCTACGAAAGGTACAAATGGGGTCTTGGATACTTACGTGGCAAAGCCGTGCATGCCGAAGAGTCTGGGGAAAAAAAAAGAGATTGCAAACATTAAATTGCATCCAGGAAGTAAATGGTTACGAAAGTGGCCAACATATTGCCAGAATAAGGAATTCTGGCATCCGACTTGAGAAATAAGCTCTCGAGTTCTGGTGTAGGAAGACGCGGTCTATCACTGGTATTCAACCGGAAGAAATTCTCGGTCCGCACCCCCGAACCCGGCCGATGCAAAAGTCCGTATTACAACAAGAATACATATCTATCCTTGACAATAGAGCTAGTGCGGTGCAGCACTGTATAGGAAGGTGAGTGTAGCAAGACTGAAGCTAATTATAACAACTCTTCAAGTATATAATGATGTTATTTTCCCTACTATGCCCATATCCTTTCTGTATCTACTCTCGCAAAGTAAAATAAACGCAAATCTGGTAGTTATTTACTGAGCAAGTATGCTGTTACTTCATACCTTGAGTTCGGCTACCTTAATGGCACTTGTTGCCTCTGGTAAGCAGATTATTCTCAATGTGGGTTTGTTCTATACTTCGTAATTAAACGTATACTAAAACTATTCATAGTTTGATGATATTGCTGTATCAAATGACCATGGCTGTGCCAATTCGACATTGGTTGACACATCACCCTACCATGTAAGCTTATTTTTCGTTCTAATTGCTGTTTCATTCTAGCTAATGCGTCCTAGGGCATAGCCATTCCGGGTCTGGTACTTAATGCTACAAAAACTCCGGCTTGTAGCTCTACATTAGACGAAGAAATGAGCGTAGCATTGTTTGGCCGGGCAACTTCACCCACAAATGTTTTATTTGCTCAAGGCACACTGGATGCCCAAATTATCTTTGATATAAGTGTCAAATTTGAAGCTTTGATAAACGAAGCTACTTTTGACATATCGCCTGTTTTTACGAATCCCGAGGTAAATAAGAGTCCGAGATTTGGGTCAAACTCTGCTAACCTGTGTTGAAGCTCAATTCAAGCAATGCAACTGTCATTGTTAGTACTTTACAGTCCGATTTTGGCAATGTTAATGTCGAGAACAAGTTTCAGTTTCACACTGGAACGGAAGGATTGGGTCCTTACCATATTAATGTCTCCTCGAATGGTGCTGAATACCAATTCCTTGAGGTCTCAGTAACGATACTTTCTGAAAACACATTCCTTCCGGGACAATCTAGGGCTTCTGCATTTTTTATCGATAGCCTGATCTTGGAAAACATAGACTAAACATTAGATGCCTTGCTTTTATATAGTAAATCTAAGTCAGTGTTAGGACGCAATCTCTTTTATGGTACAAATCATCGGCCTATAGATTGATGAAGACGTAACGTAGTCAAATGCATGGTCGTTTTGCAAAAGTGCGGAGGTATCTGATTCCCAAGTCAAGTAATGTTTTCTTTCCTTGTAGATCATATACACTTCTTTGCTCCAACTTCAACTAGCTAGATTGCCATTGATTTATCAACACGCTACACCAACGGGTAAGTTAATTCCTCTTGGCACAGTCTCTTTATTCTATGATAAAGATTACTCGGCCAAATGCTACAGCATGGCCTGTCTGCCAATGCCAAACCAGAGCATTTCTAAGTTCTAAACGACAGTTGCCTTCTCTCGGAATATATAGTTTACTCATCGTGAATTATACAATTCACCATAGTGAAAGTATCACAATGGGTTGATTAAATAAAATATTATCATCTGTGATCTACATATAGTCTGTTTTAGGAAGCTAACGAACGATACGGATTTACATATTTTAAGGTAAGGTGTGGTAGTTGTAAACCCTAGGACCCAAAGTGTGTTAACGAAGTATATATATCCCAGGTTTTATACTTCAAGTCAAAACTCTGGATGCTGCCAGTTATTGCACATTTTTATATTAACGAAGACATTTCCCTCGGTCTTTTACTTCATAAATACATATTGTAATGGTAACGACTGATCTGCCACGCATTCTTGGCTGGCTTTTCTCGTATACTTATAAGCCGGTCGAAAATAACTATGGAGTACTAGGTAGGCATATTCTCTAATCAGGGGGTTTCTCGTATTTCTAATACATATTGACTAACAAATTACTTATCGATGCTCAGCTAATTTGATAAGCGCTGAGTAATTGATCAGCTAGACAGGAGATTTCCCTATTCGTACAAAAATACTTATTTGGGATAATGGTGCGCGTTGCCCGGGGCATTGTGTGATGCTTATAGCATAGGCTTCTAGAGACTCGGCGATCTATGCTTGTCCTAGCTTTGTAGGCTATAGACTATCCGTACGCTTATCACCGACTTTGTAAGTCCGATTCTCGGATTTTCTTGACGTTTTAAAATTTCCCCCGTACCAATGAGAGTCTAGCCCTATTCATCGCTATAAGCAAATCTGGTAATGTCTATATATATCCGTTTCATCGCGACCCTTTCGGACCACTTGAGGGTGTTCAAAACAACAGAAAATAATACTCCGATCAGACGTCATTTCCACAGAGCGAAATTTTTCCCATGATGCGTTTTGCAAGCTTTTCTGTTGTATTTGCCAGTTTCGGCGCTTTGGTCTTCAGTTTGCCGACAGACCAAGCTAGTCAGGCCTCTAAGGCACTTCGAGATGTCATTACCTTCCCTAACAACACCTGGGTTGAGAATATTGCCGTACGATCCAACGGAAATCTTCTCGTCACTCTCATCAACTTGCCCGAGGTTTGGGAGATCGAACCACTTTCTGGGTCTGCTGAGCTGGTGTACTCGTTCCCCGACGCCAACGTAAGTTTGGGAATTGCAGAAGTGACACACGACGTGTTTGCTGTCAATGTTGGAAACTTCTCGGGGCCAGGCGTGGGTGTACCTGGCAGTTGGAGCATATGGACACTGGACTACAACACCGGGAATCCGAGCTCAAAAAAGCCAACAGGGAAAGAAGTTAGTGCGATTTCGTCGGCAGTTTTCCTAAACGGCCTTGCCGCTCTAGCTTCCAAGCCTGGTGTTGTTCTTACAGGCGATTCTTTCCTCGGTCAAGTCTTTGCAGTAGACATTTTCAGCGGCCGCTACAGCGTCGCCATCGATGTTCCAGAGTTCAAGAGAAACACCAGTGCAGAACTACAGCTTGGCATCAATGGAATGAAAGTCCACGATGGATCTCTATACTTCACAAACTCTTTCCAGTCTCCACTCCTTGCCAAGATACCATTGTCCGTCAACGGCAACGCTGCTGGCCCGGTGAAAACCATCGCGAAGAGCGCGCAGTACCCAATTGACATTGGATTCCAAGCCGATGACTTTGTGTTAGATGCTACGGCTGAGCACGCGTGGGTTGCGGCGAATCCTTCTAATTTCATTGTCCGAATCGCCACTGCTACAGGGAAACAGCAAGTTGTAGCCGGTGGGAAGTCGGACCAGACAGTTGCGGGTGCGACAAGTGCGGCCTTTGGAAGGAATTGGTACGACAAGCAAATATTGTATATCGTGACGGATGGAGGCTTGGCCGACCCAAGTTCAGCTGGAGTTACAGGTGGTAAAGTTATAGCCCTTGATACTACAAAGGTGTAAATAGGTACTTAATAGTAGAGACAGGTGTCAGAGATTAAGTTTCGCAATAATATACTTAATAAACGAATGTTCTGGCAATACAAGTGTGGATAGCGCTATATTTATACGCGCTATACCATATTGACGGGCATACTTTCTGCAGCTGATGAACTAAGCTAATGGAAATTGTATAAATAGTTGATGGCGAAAATGATGTACATATGTGCCAAAGAAGCTATAACGCGATAGGCGCATGATATTCTAGACAGAGATGTTCGAAGGCATGATAAAGAAAAAGAGAAAAACAATCTTTATTTACTCACATAATTGCCCAACGCCATACTGACAGGTTACTAAAACTTATCGTATCCATTCATGATGCATAGCCTCCGTTGCATCGTATTGATATACCCACTCTGTCATAGTTGGATCACTCCATCGATTCGGACTTTCATCGAATGGAGTATCTTTCAATTCTACAGCTAGAGCACATCTCTAGCCTCTTGAATGGGTTCATTGGCGAAATGCATGATCAACCGTAAAGATCGCGAGCTATACCCCAAATCGGCAGTATAGACTTTCATTTTACGTTCTAGTTTTTAAGGTGGATTCTGTAGCCAACAGGGTGGCCATAAGTGCACTGCTTGTGAAGAATTCTTTTTTGCTGAGAGCGACCATGGCAGCACCACTGGTGCCTAGTGCAACAGCAGACAAATCCCAACGACGGTAGATTACGCTACAACGAGCTGAAACGTGGAGTGCTTACTGTGGACAATCAATCGGTCATCACACAGACCCAAGGCCTCATGCATGTATATGGTAGCAACTATGGGAGTGCATACATCAATGCCGTGTTAGTTTGTGCATTTAGGTCCGTTTTGCTCGCCGCGAGAGATATCCCTTGTAAGAACATTCTATTGCGTCTGACCCGCAAAGGTGTGAAGTGCCAGGACGGCTTCTGCATTTTGCCGATGCATGGTTGCAACTACCAGTCTCCTGCTCGAAATCGTGAGTGAAACGCACACTTGGGATGGTACAGAAAACGGGAAACAAAGAAGAAGACCGAATAAAATTGAAGTTCGAGACAAACGCACAATACGCGGCAATTCCTGATTCTAATGTTCACATTGCATTGAGTACGGTGGGTCATTATGCTCAATCTATTCATCGGCCGAGTGTAGCTACTTGTTGGGAGCAATGGTGGATAATATTCGTACGGGTAAAGGTTAAAGATAATTCTTTCTGTGAAAAATTCTGATAATAGATACCTGAAACCTTTTTTTCTATTACGTAGTAGGGCCGGAGTAATAAGCTTTCTTGAAGTCCAGTGTGGAGGGAATCGTGAGAAGCTCTAATTCAATTTCTCAGTTCAACGGCAGGTAGCAAATCTAAATGAGACCAAATTTAATAAATTAAGACTTTGTATAAAGCTACGTAGTTAATATAACACGCTAAAGATGTTTTCACAACTCAGCCTCATATGTGGAACGATATATCACACATCTTTTGTCGTTGGATTTTATCCGATGGTTCTGAAACATTTCTGGTGGTCCCGGCGAAAATGGCGGCGTGATTCTTAACAGATGAAACGACACGCGCAATCCACCAGAAGAATCATGCTCTAATATTAGCCTAAACTGAATGGTCAATAACCATAATACAAGTGCCAAGCGGACAAGGTTAGATGGCGGCACACAATGCGTGTACCGATGTTTTACTACGGACGAGACCTTTTCTTAAGGTTACGATAATCACCTCTGCCGGGATGGATGAGTACTGACATCAGTAATGACGGATATGGGCAATCTCGAAGTACAGCCTTTGAGAACTGATAGTCTGTTAACTATCAAGGTTCTAAGATCAGTCATTTACTACGACTCATAACTTGTTATCCAGTTCTCTGTGGAAATATTCATCCAATTCGTTTAATGTGGGGCTGATCGTTTTTATAAGAGTTGTCACGAAAAAGGCTATACAGGACTTGGAGATACTCGGGTTCGGCTCCTCCTAATCGGTAGTATGTCTAGAATAGATTATGTCACATTTGTGATTTCTGCCTTCCCATTTGAATGCGTTATCATAAAGAAGAGCCTGCGATTGGTGCGCATTAAGATGGATAATATCCCTTTAGCCGCCATGAGTATAGAATGACGTTCCATGCGGGCATACATTGTCTATAAGCTTGGATTGGTTGGGCGTGCACGGCATTTTTCCCGAACTCTGCCAATTTAGGGCTATCTTAATATCTTCAAACATATCCCGTAACATTTAAGCGATACTCCGTTATAGCTAGCAAGTCTGTTGCTGAAATTTACGCTGTCTTAATTGTCTGTTGTAATATGTCTATAAAATGCTTGTACTCTTCCGCGAAATTCAGTGGCAAACAAGTTCTTCATTACGTATCTTTCTCTTATATCCTCTTTATGAGAACTTCTTATCATGAGAATCACAGACTTTGACGTGAATAGCTGGCTAGCCAGTACCATCTCTCTACTCAGCTTGGTAACGGTAGCCAGAGCGTCGTGCACACTCCCATCATCATACAAATGGACATCAACGGGCCCGCTGGCAACCCCAAAGTCTAGCTGGGTTTCTCTCAAAGACTTCAGCGTCATCCCATATAATGACCAGTATCTCGTTTATGCATCCACCGTCAACTCAGCAGGATCCTACGCCTCAATGAACTTTGGTCTCTTCTCAAACTGGTCAAGCATGGGCTCAGCAAGCCAGAACGCGATGAATAATGGAGCGGTTGCTCCTAACCTCTTTTACTACCGCCCAAAAAACATCTGGGTTTTAGGACAAGAATGGGGTGTATACCCATTCAACTACATGACATCTACCGACCCTACGAACCCAAATGGATGGTCATCTCCCCAAGCCCTATTTACTGGAAGCTTGCCCGGCACAGGCGCTATTGATCCGGCGCTTATCAGCGATGGCACAAACATGTATCTTTTTTTCGCAGGAGATAATGGTCACATTTATCGGTCCAGCATGCCGAATTCGCAATTCCCAGCAAGCTTTGGTTCAACTTACACGACAATCATGACTGCCGCTACCAATGACCTATTCGAAGCGGTGCAAGTTTATAAAGTTGATGGCCAGAGCCAGTACCTTATGATCGTTGAGTGTATTGGATCAGTGGGGCGGTATTTCCGCTCTTTTACTGCTAGCAGTCTAAATGGTTCATGGACAGCGCAGGCTGCCTCAGAGAGCAATCCTTTTGCTGGGCATGCTAACAGTGGAGCATCCTGGACTAATGATATCAGCTCCGGCGACCTTATCCGCAGCACAAACGATGAGACTATGACAATCGACCTTTGCAACTTGCAACTGCTTTACCAGGGGATGGCCATAGGTTCTGGCGGGGAGTATAATCTCCTGCCATGGCGACCTGGTGTTCTCACACTCACCAACCCTGGCAGTGGCTCTGGAGGATCCGGGGATGGAGGCTCTGGAGGTGGAGGCTCAGGCACGGCGGCTCACTGGGCTCAATGTGGTGGTCAAGGGTGGACTGGGCCTACCACTTGCGAGGTATGTAACTGCGTGTCTTCACACTAAATGACGGTTGTTGACAAACCAATAGAGCCCCTACAAATGCACCGCAAGCAACGAATGGTATTCTCAATGTCTGTAAGAGAGTAATCGGAAATATAAATGAGTAGATACTAGCATATTGGCCAAGCTGTTATAGTAGTAACGCGAATCTGCTTATTTCGTCCAGAATATTGTCGAAATATGAAGTACACTGCTAACTTGCAATTACACTCTCTACACTCCCGACACTCATCTAAACCTGGTTGAGTGGTAGAGAGGAAATGTAGCCATCTTGGTTGTAGCGGTGCCTCAAAGTGAGAGAGAATATATTGGATGTGAGAGATGGAGAGTGGCTCTCTCGGAATGCTCAATGGCAGAGGGAGAACCCCACACCAACGCGCTAGCTGACTTCTTGTGGATATCAAGGAAGATCAGAGCGGCGAAGATAATAATGAATATCGCCGGGTCAACTCTGAGGTTGTGTGAATTGTTCCACTGCTCTGATATTGACGCCAGGTCCTGGCATGCCTCAAAGACCCCCTGCCACCTTAAAGTCCATTCATCGTGCTGCTCCCGTCTGTTACAGTTTATGACGGACAGAAAAAACTGCGCCAAGTTCAAATGGAATAGTGTGACTAGCCTTGCGTTGTGATCCCTCCCTGTCTCATTTGAAAACGCATTCCTTCTGGTGTTGAGGTAGTTTGCCGGTAAAGAGAGACGAACTGCCGAGATATGTCGCTCAATATCGTCTAAACCTTGAATCGATAGGTGTTGTGGTAGGCCGTGCAAACGTATAGCTCGTGCCACCACATGTAGGAGAGTTGTAGTGATCATATGGAAATTAAACGAGGATATTTCCGGTGGCTGAGAGGATATGATAGGTATGGCCTCCCAAAGGCTGCTATGATACGTTGGCAACAAGACATTTTTGTGTGCAGAATTATGCTGATGTTCTATATGAGCTCCATCAGGGATCTCCTGTAAAAGAGAGGTATAAGCAAGTCTTTCATCTACCACATAGGGGGTTCCAGACGATAGATTGGCGTAAGAGTCTAGGCGATAAATGCACCACCATATCAGGCGCCACTCCTCCAACTGGCGCTGTGTCATAGTGCTCCACCTAGGGTATTTCGATTTGACAATCTCCAGACGATCCAATCCTGTCCACGTGGCCATGCGCGTAAGTTTCCCGACGCGCATCCATGCTTGCTGTCCCGGAAACTGGTGGAATTCGTAGAAGGCTAGCAGACAACTCTTACGAAATTGGTCGATGGATGGCGAGTTGCCAAACATATCCTCTTCAAGTGATCCTGCACTCAAGATTTCGTCAATGCAAGAATCGATGTCAAAGGTCGCAGTACAGAACGCGTATCCGGTCAGCTTGGCAGTTATCATTACGATGGTTAGGACCAAATCGGGACCGTGTACCAAATTCCTGCAATCAGCAAGAAAATGAGACTTCATGAACAGTGGAATCTCTTCGTGAATATTGTCAAGGTATGCCTCCAATCTGTTTCAATTTCAGGAGTCGGGTTAGTAGTGGATATGAACTGTCCCCCAGACGAACCTACAGGTAGCTTTGTTCCTCCAAAGATATGCTCAACGAGAGGAGGTTATTGGACCCTCGGGTGGGTTTTCCCGAAGATATTGGCTGTATGGGATCGATATATCTATACCAATTTGTATTGGTAAGCGGAGAAGGAGGAGGAGGCTCCGCCGCCGGTGCTGGGCGGTCAGCCGATAGGTGTTGATGGTCTATATGATAGAGAGAATATTATCAGCACAGAATGCATGCTACGATAATGATCTATTTGAAGTTATATAGCCTGCAAGACGGGGATCATAAATGCCACGTACGGTCATATCCGGGACGATTGAGCCTCTCCTTTGTCATACCACGAACGAAGTGGAAGCTCTCAACCATGCAGAAAAAGCGATAGACACATTAATGGTAAACGACACGAGCGAACATACGGCGACAACTTCACCACGAAATGTCCATGGACTTACATGGGCCGTTGTTTTCATTGCAATATATGTCAGTTTAACGATGTATGGACTGGATATGACCATTGAGGCAGATGTCCAAGCAACTATTATTGTGCAGTTTAATAGTGTTGACCGACTAGCCTGGGTTGGAAGCGGATTTTTGCTCGACTCGGTCTGCTCGATTTTTCCGGTGTGAGTGCACTTTCCACTGGCCACACATCTACTTCTCTCCCAAAGTCTGACGTATGACTAAGGGCTGTTTTTCTACACTGCCTTTGACTATAAATATGTTTTCATTGTATCAGTGTCGTCGTTTGAAATCGGGTCAATAATTTGCGGCACGGCATCAACTATGAATGCACTGATCGTTGGAAGAGTAGTTGCTGGAATTGGAGGTTCAGGGATATATATCGGGTACGCTACCCTTTAGGGACAGTAAAAGCCTGTTGGCCACCATACATGTGCTCTGGCTAACAGCCCAAAGTGCTCTCAACTACTTTACAGCTCTTACTTCTGACCAGGAGAGGGGGCGATACATGTCGTGCATTGCCCTTGTATGGGGTGTCGGAGCCATACTTGGACCCGTCGTTGAAGGGGCTTTCTCTCTAAGCTCAGCATCTTGGCGATGGGCATTCCATATTAACCTGTGAGTGCATATCGCTCTTTATTGCGTGTCATCTTGAGATCTCATCAAGTGCCCTGGTATAGTGTGGTCGCTGCACTTTGTGCACCAATCTATATAATTTTTCTTCCATCAATCAAACCAGCCGACTCAGCTAAAGTAGGCGCTATACGAGGCATTTCCTTATTCGACTGGTCCAGGTGGATTCTTAGTACCGGCGCTATAGTTTGCGTTTCTTTTGCTTTGACAAACGGAGGCAACATCTAGCCGTGGCAAGATTATCGAACGATTATCTTTTGTGTCTTCTCTGGCATACTGATCGCCGCTACTGGGATTCGACAGAGATTGCATCTCTTCACGGCCGTTGAAAGGCGCCTCTTCCCACCCCCGCATAGTATCAAAAACCGCACCATTACGCTTTTAAACATACAGACCGCGGTAACTATTGCCAACATTTTTGTTCCGCTTTACTTTATCCCCCTGTACTTTCAGTTTGTGCATGGGGACTCTGCTATTGATGCAGCAGTACGCTTGCTCCCCTTTGTTATGGTTTTTGCTATCGGGAGTCTTTCTTCCTCGGATCAACTACTAGTAAGTTTCACTAGTCTTCCCTGTGGACAATTTCACCTACTAAACCCGAACCAAGCTGGCTGCTCTATGCGGCGTCGGCGATCTTCATTGGCGTGGGCGGTGGGCTTATGTATACAGTTGACATCAATACTGCTTCAACCAAAATTTACGGCTATAGCATTTTATTAGCTATCGGCAGTGGGCTAAGTTCTCAGGCGGGATATGCAATAGTTGGCATCAAGATTACTTCGAAAGGCTGGCCTGCTATTGATGTCCAACGTAGCATCTCCGCGCAAAACTTTTGGCAAATTACGAGCAGCTTACTCGCTCTGCTAATAAGTGGTTACATATTTCAGACCTTGGCAGTTAGAAATCTGATGTTCACTCTCAGAGAACATGGTTTTTCAGACGCGGACATTCGAGGAGCGGTGGCTGGTCTCCAGAGTTCTGTATTAAAGAATCTTGACCTGCGCCTAGCTGTAAAAGCCATAAGCGCTGTTACGGAGGCGGTGCGCCCAGTTTATATTCTCAACATTGTATATGGTATCATTTGTCTCTTAACGTCATTTCCAACGAAGAAAGAGCCCTTTTGCGCAGCGTCCAATACCCATGCCTTGATGCTGCAAAGGGTAGCATAGCCGTTCTGGAGCTGACAAACATGTCAAGCGCCGGATTGGGAGCGTGATATTGCATTTCAGAGGCGATAAAACAAACGTCAAAATGTATGAATAGATACCACTACTTCTAATTCTGTTTTACAATTGCTACTTCAAGTCAATATCCGAAGGCACCTGGACTATCAACCTCTCCACACGGGCGTTTATATCATTATACTTCGATAGTAAAAATTTTGACAACTTTCCTACTTCAATTAGCTGAGCCATTCGTATGGGCGTAAAAGCCCAATTTCGCAATGTAATATAGAGGTTCGAAGGGTGCCTTGCTCTTTGCTAAATTGAAGTACAATTTCTGTAGCGCGTACGTCTATCTCCACGTCACCGGGTGCCCTTATCAATTTAGGTGTGAACTACTCTTCTTGAAACACACACAGGCCCGATTCGGCCTGCTTATACATTTGACACTTTACGCACAAGTCGATATAGATCCAAAACTGTGAAGAAGATGATAATATCTATAAAGTGTACTAGGAGGTTTCATTGTCACTAGATATGTCGTAACAATAGGGTAGGAGAATAAAAACACAAGTCCATTAAAAAAGGGGGCGGGGTGTTCATTTACATCCCCTCAAAAAAGCCCTGATCAATTTCTAGTGAAGAAACATAACATTAGGGGTCCAACAGACAAAAAACATGAGCAGATAAATTAGAGCACCTCAGTAGGTCACCTCTGCTACTAGCGAGTGTCAGGTAACTTTACTACCTGACAATAACTGCAATCCAAATACCCTGAGACATCAAAGTGGCACAGGTGCCTGCGTATAAACTTTAGCTGCGGAGCAATAGTTTTATCTATATCAGTCCGTGTTCACCCAGGTCCGATCACCGGTGATAATAGCGAGATTTCTTCAAAATGAACTTTGCGCGTGAGGTATTTAATTGCAGCGTGACTAGCCCCATAGGATCCAGTGAGTTGTAAGAGTTGGTCAGCTTGAGTGATACGACCAAGAGAACTGCTTATGACGACTAATTTCGAGCGGTTGCTCTTCATTGACTTCTTCAATAGCGGTAGTGAAACTTGTATCAACGGGAGGGGCGCTGCCGTGTTGATAGCAAAGGGATATGTCTCAAAGTCAATGACAGAGGCTGCTATTGTTGCTATTGGATCAGTTAAAAGGAATTGATTATATATACTCCTGAATACGTAGACCAATTAAAAAACTAGTAAACGCTATGTATATTTAAAATCCCATTATATGGTAAACTCCAATGCAGTTTACTATCCACTAGTAGTACATTATAATTATAGTTATGGAGATTGGATGAGGGAGAATACCTCCTGTCTTTTTGCAAGCAAAAGATAAGTACCTGGCACTATGTAAGCAGTCTTTCTCAAACATCTGGCGTTTTAAGGGAAACTTTAGTTGAAGCATACCAGCCACTAGCCATCGACTCCTAAATCGCTCCAAAGCTGTCTTCAACGCATGGATATTCAATTCAATATCTATCCCAGCATGAGCATTTTGTTTCATTCGAAAACATGCCAGTAATGCCTTATACAGCATGTGCAGCAGAAAGGGTGAAAGTTTCTCGCAGTCGTGCGCGATCGACTCGGATGACTCTCGCGTCATGATCTTAACTGCATGCTGAAGAGCGGATATAGTTTCGGGCGATACAAACACCTCTCTTGGTAGCCCATCGTCATCCGTATCAAATTGATAGGATGGGTTGTCGAGGACAAATACTGCACTTCAAAAAGTTAATGGTACAAAACCACAGGGAATCGGGGGCTAATACATGTAACTTACTGCATTAAGTGTGCAGAATAATACTCTATTTGTGACCCCCTCTGTCTCTCCAAGGTTGATCAGGGAGAGAATAGTACGTCGCAGCTGTGCAGTATTGTGTGGCTCTTCACCTGACCTAGAAAGAGCCTGGCTGAACAGAGGTACTGCATGGGCAAACCGGGCAAATCTTCCAATGTGAATTTGAGAAGACAAGCGCAGTGTGACTGCATCTTCAGGCTTTGAAAGCTGTGACCTGCTGTTAGCGAGAAAGAAGCTTGAGAAGACATGCCCTCATACTCACTCCACTGTCCCAATCGTCATCGTCTACCGGTAGGTAACTCTCGGGGTCTGGATCTCGAGTAACCAGGTATCGCTTAGGATAACAAAGGTTCATAAATCTGCGTTGAAACCCACGCCGCGATGTTAGAGTACTGATAGGTCTCACGCATGGATTGGGATGTAACTGTGCGTACCTATCAAGGATTATAATCGCCCACCAAACTCGACGACGTTCTTCTAGCTCGATCCATGTGACTCCGGATCCGAGATCCCAGGTACTCAGAGATCTGTCGATCCCGATAAGGGTACCAATACGAGCACAATTTGCAACTGAAATAATCGCCGCGGGATATACCCCATGGCCAAGCTCGTAAATTGCAATCAGAATGGCGGCTTGAAGTGTCTGAACGGAGAATCTTCCAGATGACTCTATGTCAAAGTAAAATTGTTTCACAGTTCGATAGAGCATTGACTTCGCTACCGTTACACGTGATGAACAGAGCTTCATGGACAGCATTAGTAGAAACAGTTCAGCTCTTCGAAAAGCTAACCTCTGCAGCAAATGCTGTTGAAACTGCAGCTTGGATATAATAGGCATCCAAACATGGATTGTATCGAAGAAAACTTGTGCGGCAGCTTGAATGTCGCTAACACTGCCGACCAGGTCGGCAACTGTCTTTGTAATGGCAACATCTTTCTTTTTGGTTTCCAGTTGCGCTAATATGAAATGATCGGGATCCAAAAAGCTTGCGGCAAGGAGATCGAGCTCGTCCAATTCAGACAGCTGATAGTGCGCGTTGTCCCGCCCCAGTCGGTTAGGTAACTTGAGCAGATTCGTACCCGCAACGGTATTCCGAGACGATTGAGAGCTGGTAGATAGAGAAACGTCACCAGGGCTTTCTCCATCTCCTCGCCGAGCTCTTTCTTTCCTTTGGTGTGGATAATCGCATGCTACCCGCCTCCTGTCAAATTGCCCGGATTGTCAATTTTAATCCCACTCGTGATTGGCAATGTCAGAACTCACTGATGACAGAGCGTGCAACAGGGGTATTGGCGATCACAGCGCCTTTTCAAACGCCGACACTGATGGCAAGAAAGCGGTGGCTTCACAGGGCTAGCGGTATCTTGTTGATGTTTCGTAGTAGCGGACTGACGCGGCGGCATCTTCATGCGATGTTTGTGCGGACTTGTGGACAAATGGATGATGTTGCGATCAGATTTGGGCCTCCGCCGGCATTTTGTGGCGCGACTATGGCTCAACTGCAATTCTGTGATTGATTACGTGAGTAAATTTCGCGTCCTATCTGTAGACTGGTTGGAAGATGAACGCGAACATCAGGTTGTTGTGTGTTTTGCAAAGTCCTGCTGGCAAGATCCCGCCCTAAATGTCCGTTTATGAAGCCCGTTGAAAAGTCCGCTTTAAGAGTCCGCTCGATAATGCCGCTTCAAAGCTCCGCTTTCAATAACGCCCTCAGGCTTACATCACTTCTTCAGGCAATTTAGTATTAGTGATCATGGAATGCCCATACAGTGCATTACAAAGTAACATCTGACACATACCTTTGTGAGTATAGTAATAAACTTGAGAGCGATGAAGGGTCCACCTGCCTAGACCAATTTCCTAGCCCGACTTGTCGTACCAAAACTTTACTGGAACCGGGCAATTTTAACATCTAAGGTTCCCTGGTGGAAGGTAGTTGTGCGGTAAGTTTGCTGTCATTATCGCTTTTTCTCTCCATGATGACCTTGTAGAGGCATTGAGTATATTCCTCCACTAGATCTTATCATTATTTTCTCTTATCAGAGCTTTATTATTAGTACTCCTGAGCAATACAATTACTCGGCGTTTGGCCTGGAGTAAGCGATGCATGGCATAGAAGGTAGGACTCATAGTCAACACTCATAGGATGATGACACATGTTACTCTTGGTGACAGGAACAATATTCGATCACACGTGTTAATAATATGCAAAGTTGATATTTGGGACCCCCTTCAATAGTCCTCATAAGACGTAATGTTAACGTAGTCAACCTTCGGATATCGGATGTCAAGAGTTGCTTCGGTTTTATGAAAACACAATGAACTTGTACGCCACAAGGTTGCACACGCTGCTTTAAGCTCCGTTCGGAGTAGCTAATTTCCAGTAAACTCGGGCTAATTCAGCCAGCACCGATTTCTAAGCCAAGTCAAGCCAGCCCAATAAGATCAACGACATGGCTATGAAACTGACGAAAAGAAGTATTGCATCCACATGATCCCTCTCCACCCTATCAACTACGTACGGTCGGCAAGATGTTGACGATATGCCCAAGACTTGTTAGTGCTGATACGATATGAACTCCCGAGCTGAAGACTCTGGTTTGTAAGCCCAGTCACAAAGAAGCCACCGTATCCATCTGATCAACGGTTTGTAGTATAATCAACTCAGAGAAGATATCTAAGTCGCATCATTGGATGGTTATATATAATGGCTCCCGTTGAACCCAAGCATGTGCTGGTCAAGCTCCTCCTTGTTATACCAATAACTCGGCATCTACCCCATTGTCAAGATTGATCTCATCTCCCAAACATGGAAAAGACATCAAACAACTCAGCCAGTGATGTGGAAGCAAGTGGAGAGGAGCCTCTCAATAGCGGTCAATATGTGAATCCAAGAGAAGGTATAAAAAACTCGCAATGGATTCTCACCTGTATTGCACTATACTTGGGAGCTCTTCTATATGGTAAAGGTTCCTCAGACACTCATTTTTGGTAATTTTGCAGGTACTAATATTTGTAAGGCCTGGATACCACAATCGCTGCCGATGTTCAAGCGGAAGTATACGAGGCGTTGGGACATATCGAGAAACTGCCGTGGATTGGGCTTGGATTTCCAATGGCATCAGTTGCAACAATCCTCCCTTTCGGTCGGGCATACGCGCTGTTCAACATAAAGGTATTGCTCCTATCAAGCATTATCGTATTCGAAGCTGGTAGCGCACTTTGTGGTGCTGCGCCAACTTCTGACGCCTTAATTATTGGCCGAGCCATTGCGGGCATTGGTGGAGCTGGAATGTATTTGGGGTGAGTAGTACTGCGGGAAGAGGCCAAACAGAGCACTTACGAGATATAGGGCACTTACGTATTCATCCACCTTCACTACAAAAAAGGAAGCGCCTTTATATAACGCTTTGACTGGCTTAAGCTGGGGTGTGGGCTGTATACTTGGGCCGGTTATCGGGGGTGCTTTCTCGGTCAGCAGTGCAACCTGGCGTTGGGTAATATAACTATCTTTGTTGTACGTGAAGCGCATATTAATACCGTGTCCAGGCTTTTTATATCAATCTTCCGGCTGCTGGCATTCTGTTGCCAGTTTATCTCTTCATAGTCCCATCCAAGAACCCTCGGCCGGATCTCACTATAAAACACAAATTCACCGATATCGACTGGATTGGTGCGATTCTTTATGGTACAATTTTCGTCTTGTTTATGATTGTTGTCACCTTCAGCGGTTCAACCTTTGCTTGGAATTCTACCACACCCATTGTGCTTTGGGTGGTTTTTGGAGTATGCTTGATAGCCTTTGCCTTACAACAAGGCCTCAAGATCTTTACAACCGACGAACATAGGATCTTTCCCGTTCATTTTCTTAAATCACGCAGCCTCGTCTTGCTCTATATTGCTACAGGCAGTGCCGGCGCCGCCCAAGGTGTTGTGCTCTACTACACACCACTATTCTTCCAGTTCACAAAGGGCGATAGCCCTTTGCAAGCCGCTGTCCGCCTCTTACCTTTCATCTGCGTGTTCATTGTCTTCGTCATGGCTGCTGGTGCCACGCTGCCTATAGTGGGACGATACAATCTTTACTATTTTGCTGGCGGTTGTTTCATCTTAATCGGAGGCGCTTTGCTCTGTACAATTGATGAAACCACATCCACTAGCAAGATCTATGGCTATGAAGCCCTCTCGGCAATCGGAATTGGCTTACTTTTCCAAATAGGATATGCTGTTGCTGTTGCAAAAGCGTCTCCGACGGATGAGCCGAAGGCGATTGGCTTTATCAACGTTGCGCAGATTGGTACCATTGCTATTAGCCTTGCAATTGCAGGGTCCCTATTTCAAAATGTTGGGTTTGACTCACTCAAGAGCGCTTTCGCCGGTCGCCATCTCCCAGATGATTATATCCGATCGGCTTTGGCGGGTACCCTGTCCCCTGTCTTCTCTTCCGGCGATGCAGAGATTATTCATGTTGCTGTTGTATCTGTAGCAGGAACAATTCGAAAAATCTTTAGCACTGTTGCCGCGGCCGGCGCGCTAGTTGTGGTGAGCTCGCTTCTGATGCGATTTGAGAAAATAGACCTGGGCATTGTCGCTGGTGGTTAAAGAAGGCTCAATGGTATGCCAGGTGCAGTGGAATTTTAACTATAGACTCAGCTTATTTTTCTTTGATGTATGGAGCACTCAAACTTGCATGCATGTCTCAGCGCTAAACTGGTTTATATGACTTTTGTATATCGACCTTTGGATTGTATACTTCTTTATGGCGAGTTTAGAATTGTCAATCTCTCCAGCAAACTATATTTCTATTATATTTGTTATTAATCAAGATCATCAAGTCTAGTCTCTGGAGTCAAAGTCATGAGGTCGGAACTCGGGCTCGGGTCTCGGAATCTCCTTATTGATCGTAGTAATTGGCAATGAACCCACCCAGCTGCGTAGGGACCCGTTCCGAATGCCGAAAGTGGCCTTTTTGGCCGCATTGGAGCGTATCGTAAATCTGTATAAGTGTAACTGGGTAGTTAATATTGTATCAATGTCCATCTTGATACAGCTTTGAATTTATCAAACGATATCAGTATTTTGATATGATTACCGAATCGCACAGCACAGCTAACGGCAATGACTTACATGCGCCTGGTGGCCGGCCAATGCAGAAATTTCTGGTAGACACCAGGCTCTCTGCAAGAAAGAAACTCCTCGCTTTGAGTCTCGAACAAAAGGTGGGCTATCAGGAGAAAATAACATAATCAATTCTTAACAGTTCGTAGGTTTCATTGCTCACTACTGCGGACTTTTGGAGGACAAACGCCATACCCGAACACAGCATCCCAGCCATCAAGACTTCAGACGGCCCAAATGGAGCTCGGGGTGCTATGTTTATTGGTGGCACCAAGGTAAGAAATGCTGATATGACCCGCTGGAGGATTTTGCTAACCTGACCAGGCCGCTCTGTTTCCCTGTGGGACCTCTTTGGCCGCTACTTGGAACAAATCTCTTTTACGAACCATCGGAGAGCATTTAGCAGCAGAGGCTAAGGCCAGGTCAGCAGATTTATTGCTTGCGCCAACGGTGTGCATGCATCGTCACCCCCTTGGCGGCCGGAACTTTGAGTCCTTTTCTGAAGACCCCCTCCTAACAGGAAAGCTGGCTGCACAGTACATTCAAGGTCTCCAGGAAAATGGTATTGCAGCTTCAATTAAACGTGAGAGTGTCCTCCCTAGCCGTCCCAAGCGTTGATAATGACATCCTTTAGACTTTGTTGGCAATGAAGTGGAAACAGACAGGATGAGTAGAGACTCTATCATCTCAGAGAGAGCTCTGCGTGAAGTATATCTTCGTCCCTTTGAGATTGCCATTCGGGAAGCACAGCCTTGGACGGTCATGTCTTCGTACAATCTCATTAACGGAGTTCATGCTAATATGAACTACAAAACGCTCAAACATATCTTACGAGGAGAATGGGCCTACGATGGGTTCGTTATCTTGTTTGTCATAGAAAATCCTGAGCTGATCCTTCACTAGAACTATCATTTCGGACTGGAGCGGCATCAATTCCACTGTCGAATCCCTACGAGCGGGTTGTGACATTGAGTTTCCACACTCAACAAAGTGGCGATTTCACAAGCTTGTTGAGGCTGTGAATGAGCACCGAATTAGTATAACTGAGATCGACAGAGCTGCCGAAAATGTTCTCTGTTTAGTTGAGCGCGTTAAACCAAGCGCGGATATGTCAACTGAGCGACCTGAGGGGGAAGACGACCGCAAAGAAACGCGCCTACTTATTCGCACAGCAGGACACGAAGGGCTTACACTACTGAAGAACGACGGAGTTCTCCCAATCTGTCCCAAGACGACCAAGATTGCAGTCATAGGACCCAATGCCAATCGTGCAAGTGCTAACGGAGGCGGCAGTGCCAGTCTGAACCCGTACTACAATACTCTCCCGCTGGACAGCATCCGTCAGGTTACCGGAGAGGTGAAGTTTTCTCAAGGCTGCTCGATCCACAAGTGGTTACCAGTGGCTTCCGAGTACTGTACGGATAGCGCTGGCAACCCTGGCGTCGACATTGACTGGTACGTTGGCGACAGCTTTCACGGCAACGCTGCGGTTACTCAGCATCGCAACCATACAGATTTGTTCCTCTGGGACTCGGCACCTATTGACAAAGTCGGTCCAGAGTGGTCAGCCATCGTAAAGACCTCTCTAACGCCCATCGTGTCTGGCAAGCATTCCATCAGCTTCATGAGCGTTGGCCCTGGTAAATTGTATGTCGATGGTGAGCTCGCGCTCAACTTATGGGATTGGGCAGATGAAGGGGCAACAATGTTTGAAGGATCAATGAATTATGTTATCGAGGTTGAAATGCAGGCATCTAAGCCGGTGCAGCTTATGGTTGAGATGACAAACGAGTTGCGCCCGCTGGCCAAGCAAAAGCAGCTTGGGGTCACGCATAAGTTCGGCGGCTGTAGAATCGGTTTCAAGCAGCAGGACAAGGTTGACTCCATCCAAGAAGCTGTTGACCTAGCTCGGGTTGCCGACGTTGCCATTATCGTTGTTGGTCTCGACGCCGAGTGGGAATCAGAGGGCTACGATCGTGATTCAATGGATCTACCCGGTGAGCAAGATAAACTCATCAAGTTAGTGGCTGCGGTTAACTCTCGTACAGTGGTAGTCAACTAGTCTGGAAGTCCTGTTTCCATGCTATGGGTCAATGAGGTGGTAGCCATCATCTAGGCCTCGTATCAGGGCTAAGAAGCGGGCAATGCGTTGGCGGATGTGCTTTTTGGGCTGGTCTGTCCCAGTGGTAAACTTCCGGTAGGCCAATCTATTCTAAAAAAATATATATATATATGGATGCTTACGAGAGCTCAGACTACTTTCCCACGGCGCATAGAAGATACCCCGGCATGGCTCACCTGGCCCGGAGAGAATCTCCGTGCCGTGTACGCAGAGGGTTTGTATGTTGGGTACAAGCATTACGATCAGAACCGTATTGAGCCACTATTTCCATTCGGCCATGGCCTCTCTTATACAACATTTGAGTACGGGCACCCGCAGTTATCAGCTACTTCCATCACGTCTGATGGTCACATCATCATCACGCTGAGCATCACGAATACTGGTGAAAGGGCAGGAGCAGAAACCGTACAGTTTTACGTACGAGACGAGAGCAGCCGCTTTCCGCGACCTATCAAAGAGCTTGTAGCTTTCGAAAAGGTCTTTCTAGAGCCTAGCCAAACTGCCTCGGTCATCGTCAACCTAGACAAATACTCCGTTGGGTATTATGACGACAGCATTTCAGAATGGATCGCCGAGAAGGGCACGTTTGAGGTCATGATTGGAGCGTCTAGCGCGGATATAAGGTACGTGATCGTCTAAGAATTGCGGACAGAGACTTACATTCTCAGGCATCGGGCTTGTATACGAGTTGATGAAGATTTTACTTGGCTGTTCTAAGGCGTAAAGAAGGCAAAGAAGGTTGCAAAAGATCGCGCGAGCATGTTGCCATCTTCTAGCCTAGAGCATTAGAATTAAAATTTGAAAGATCAATATAGATATTTTATCAACTCTAATCTTGTGGATATACAACACCACCAGCCTTCCTAGCCTCATCCATGATGGCAGCTATTCTCCGAGTCTCTGCCAAGGGCATGACATCACTCTCAAGCTTCCCGGCCAAGATACATGATGCTACTGCATTTGCCTCAAAGTAAAAACCGCTGCCTGGATGCTCAAACTCGCGGACCTCATAGGTAGTGTTGCTATAGCGCTGGATTCTTATAGACGTTGGCTTTGCAGCCATGGGCCCAGATAATATGATAGCACCCCTGCTCCCATCAATGCGACAGAAATCTCTCTCTGTAGTGCTCCCCAAAGAGGCGGTTAGAATGCCAAGGCACTACGTCGAAGGGTAGCTGACCACAATCGCTACTGAGTGATCAACTCCATCTATGACGGTCATTCCGGATGAGATTTCAGGCTGAAGCGCCTTTTCCCCGACCTGTCCATCCAGTATCAGATTGCTCATAGTTAGCGGGTATATTCCAAGGTCAAGAAGAGCTCCTCCACCCAGATTCCGATCTTTGATCCTCGACGTTGGTGGCAACGAGCTCATGTTGCAGCTAAAGTCGCAGAACATACGTGACACCTTTCCTATAACCAGTTCTTCGTGTATCATTGTTCTCAACTCGGAAATTATTGGGAGAAACCGAGTCCAAACAGCTATCATCGTAAGTTCAAGTACTAGAAGAGAGGGTTTCATGATAATTACATACCTTCCATCACAAAGACTTTCTTTTGGCTCGCAAGAGCTACTATCTCGTCCACTTCTTTGGCATTTATCGCCATTGGCTTCTCGCAAAGTACGTGTTTTCCCGAGGCAATAGCATGCAGATAGGCATCCTTGTGCATAGAATGTGGCAAACCTACGTATACAATGTCTATCTGACCGTCTGCATACAAGTCCTCTTGTTTAGTGTAAATCTTGGGATTTTGCAGAGTGGTCTCGGTGGTCTCGAGAAACGTTAACCCTTTGTTCAAAGTCGACGTGGCTACTGCTGAAATAACATGTCGGGCTGTAGTTGAACTGTGGCTTTGAGCAATCACGAAGTCTTTGACAAAGAGCGTTGAAATGTATCCGGTGCCTGACGTGTGTCAATGAGTATCATGAGGCAGAAAGTCACACTCTCACATACCAATTATGCCCCATCTAATATTAGCCGCTTGATGAAGTTGAGACATTGCTTCTACCTTGCCAGATGACAATGGGATATTCGCAACAATTGATAGGCAGTAGTTCCAGTTTCTCTCACGGCCTATGAAGTAGCACACTTTCATCATTATCATCGACGATTACGAGGTCACGTGTCTGTTGCCCAGAGCCAACATGCAGATTGCCTCTTCCACGGTCGGCTAGCTTGAAAGCTCGGGTCTCGTCGGGATGAACGAAGCCTCTCTACGGGCGTCGCAAACTATCATGATATCCGGCAGAATCCATTTGCTGTAAAAGCGTCATATGAAGGCGTTGAACCGAACCCTCGGGACCCGAGTTCCGGCTCAAACTTGGCAATTTATGAGATGATATTACGTAGTGACGACACAAACAAAGACAATCCGGAGCCCAATCTAGCGAGGATATGCGTCATATTTTCGCCTTCATTGAGTATTTAAGAATGTGTTACTCCATTTCTTAGCAATCTAGTTCATTTACTAATTCTGCCAACCTGGTTTCGCTATCAAATTCTCTTGTATCATTATTAACACTGACATCATGGCAGTCAAGTACGAGTTTCTCACGCTCCAGCAAATAGAGCACTTTCTGAGGTACGGCTGGGGTTCTATCCCAGAGTGTTTCACTAGAGAACAAGCCGAAGAGTGGACAAAAGATCTATGGACACGCCTTGGCTACGATAGGAACGACCCGTCTACCTGGGTTTTGGAGAAGATTAACATGCCAACACTCAATACGGTTGACGTCCGTGACTTAGCACCCAAGGCATGGAAAGCCATTTGCGAACTCTCCGGCGGCGAAGATCGTGTTGCGGAAATCTCTCGCTACTGGGGAGACAACTTCATCGTCAATTTTGGCAGCGAGAAGCTCAGTGGGAGGATTGTGGGCCCTCGCGAGCTGGATAACTGGCACGTTGACGGAGATAACTTTATCCACTTCCTCGACTCTCCAAACCAAGGCTTGCTGGTGATTCCATGCATCACGGACGTCTTGGAGAATGGGGGCGCGACGTACATTTGCCCCGATGGAATCGCCGTCGTGGCTAAGCATTTGCTAGACAACTCCGAGGGCGTGACGCCGTATATGGCGCGGAAAGGGGAGGAGAAGCAGTTTCACGAGTTTCAGTGGTTCTGCGAGCAAATCAAGAACCCCGCCAAATGCAATCTGTTCCAACAGATGACAGGAAAATGCGGTGATGTGGTTCTGATGCACCCGCTCATGATGCACTCAGCTTCGAGGAACGCCCTACACACCCCTAGGGTTATTACCAACCCTTTCGTGTCTCTGAAAGGGCCTTTCAACTTCAACCGCTCTGACCCAAGTGATTATTCATTAATTGAGAAGAAGACACTCAAAGATCTTGGGGAGAGTTCATTGCCCAACTGGAAGATCGGGGGAGAGAGGGACATTCTGAACCTTGGGCGCGTGGCGATTCATGAGCGAATGAAGGAGATGGAGCTACGGAGGCTAGCGGGAGAGAACATTGGGCATGTTGGTGATTCTGGAGTCGAGGTTCACCGAGAGATTGTAAAAGGACTAGTATGGGAGACGCCTGAGCCAAGCATGACTGCCCAAAATGTCTAGCAATGGGTATTCTGATGTATTGTCAAGTTCCATTATATGTCGCCTGATGTCAGTATGCAAGCTGATTACTTTCCATATTAATACATCTATGGGAAGCGATAATCATTCTGGACACAGATTGAGTAGTTTCAGAAGAGAGTCCAGAAGTTGCCAGTGCTCGGTTGTTCCTCGCTTCCTGGCAACCAGGCTCTAAATAGCATGTCATATTGCGAACTCATCTCGAATGAAGCAACATATCCTGCCATACCCTTTATGGCTTCATCGTCGTACACTCCTAGTATGGCTGCATCATCCACGTGGCCTTGAGAAGGCATAGTCTCTGATCCATCATCATGTCCAACCCAACCAGAGGCATCTATCGGGTTGTTTTGTAGAACGCCTGCTTCCACATCCATGTGTTGCGTGACCTCAAATCTACCGTTTAGGTCCTCTGCAACAATTGTGGGTGAGACAACGGCGTCTATGATGTCTCTGTATTCTCCTCCACCTATAGCTTGTATTTGTGTTTCTTGTTCATCTCTATGTCTCTCGACGAGTTCTTGGCGAGAATGCCGTCGCTTCAGAGGCAATCCAGCATCTATGATGCTTTCAGCAGAAGCGTGATTGGTGTTCCTACGGATGATGTTTCGAATTCCTTGTTGCTACCATTGGATAATATTAGCAAACATTATCGCCGTATAGCTGTGAGTGAAATATAACTGTAACCGTGTTACGCCGTGTGTGTATATATGAATAGTAACTTACCACTGTAGCAATCCTCGGCATTCGATTTGCTAGCCAATCCAAGGAGGAGATGTTAGACGCTAATGGAGTAGAAATCTCGCTCATCCCATAATCTTGGTTGAGATGATCGGATTCTGACAACTTTTGGATGGCGAGAAGCGTTTTCGTATTGGAATGCACCAGGACAATTACGATTGGATCGCTCAGCCGAGCACCTCGAATGTTGGCAATACTCCGCCAGAAGTTACTCTGCTCCAAGGATGATTTGAGTACTTGCTGGCGGCATGTCTGTAGAAAGGGCGAATTTGCAGAAGTGACCTTGACTGACTCGCGGAATCCGGGGAGGCTAAAGCGGTATAAGTTGCAGTAACACTCGCGCCACCAGGACTTTAGCATGATGAAAGTCGCCTTTTCTGACGTGTTAGTGTGAAGGTATAAATTCTGCTTCGTGAATCTCAGATTCGAGGGAAGTCGTTGCTCAAAGTTGGAGAGCTTCGTATGAAGGTTAGAGACTTGCTGCATCATTTGATCGGCTTGGATCATCATTCGAGAGACGCTTTTCATGAATCTTGATTGGGGAGACGTCAGAAAATGCTCGATCTTAGGCCATAACTACTACTCACAGATGAATTTCACGCCATATTTCAAACAACCCAACAAGGGCAGCAAAACCACTAATGTTCCGGACTTCTTGGTGGCTGGTAAAGGATTGCAAAGTGTCTGTCTCGACCTCAATCTCAGCTATGAAGAAGTGTTCACTGCAGGGTAACCGTAGGCTGTCTATGTACTTCGAGCACACAGAAAACTCTTCGACGGTTCCAGCGAGCAGTCGGTCTAGTATGCAGAGGTTCCACATCATGCGCCTCCGACTTTCTTTCTCGCTGGGTGACCCATTTGTCGATTCCGTATTGATCTGTAGACAGTAAGCCAATCGCGCAGCCAATCCAACCAACATCCACGTCTTCCCCATGTTGCCGGTAGTATAATAATAGTTAGCCCACAGTACTAAAACTTGTAGGTTAAGGAAGGAGTATGAGCCCATGTTGGCCATGATGTAGGTATCGACATCCTCGGCCCACTGAGTAGCTTGTCTCGTCATGTCCGCAGAAGCCTCGACGAAGTGTGAAGCAGAGACTGCCATAGCCTTGAGTAGCACGACCGGTGCTTTCTCCTCGTCGAGTTCCTCAAGTAGTCTGCCTTGATGGATGAACCCACGATTTGTTAGTGGGTATACGAACTCGAAATAGGCATCTATAAGGGCCCTAATCATCTCCTTGGGATGAATTGTATCGTTTGAGATGCTACACATGCGGTCATTAATAGTACTAACGCCACAACTTGGAGTATAGTTTCCCACAGGTTAGGGTGCTAACGGCGAGATACAGCCGCGAGCTCTGCCCGAGGAGGATCGCGTCTTAAGCCTAGCGACTCGTTTCCGCCATCATCATATAGGAGAGTCGGTTGCGATGAACCTGTCTCGGGCGACTTGGCATCTCCTTGACGAGGCTCGATGGGCCGTTTGACAGTTCGTTTGGCCTTAGGGCATGTACACACAAGCTCGTTCTGTAGACATCCTTGGCAACTAATTGGGTCGCTGGAGCACTTGAGCTTGCGCGCAGCGCAGTTCAGACACGCTCTCTGCGCCCTATCCCGCGGAATGCCTGCCTCAGTCATGTACCGGGATCGGGTACCGGTTCCCTGCTGCACAATGACTAACAATGTATCAATGTCTCGCCCAATGCCAAAGGTAATACCTTATACAACACCTGTACGGGATGCTTACCTGGCCTGTGACCGGGCTGCTCATACTGGCAATGCACTCCGCGTTTTGCACAGTTCGCGCAGGGATTAGGAGCTAAACTATCACACTTGACCTGTAGGATACACCATTAAGCCAGTCATGACCACCTGCAGAGTCGGGAATCGGCAACCTTGCGATTGGAGCAGACCCAGCAGCCTCCCTTGCGCATACGTGCCATCAGATTTGTGTGAGTGGGTGCAAGTGCCGGCGAAAATGTGCTACTGGACAATGATACCCCGAACGGTCGTTGAAAGGTGCAGGAAATGTTGAACGGTGGGCACTTCTGTTGATTCGGGAATTTGAAAAGTGAACGCGGATAGCGAGGGCCGAGAGGTTTTATATTCTGATCAACTGGATTCGATCGGACCAAGACGAGCGAATTAGAAATCTCAAACACCATCGCCTAAAAATGTTAGGGACTCGGATTTTCTCCCACGCCACGACGCCATCAGGCAAGACTACTGCAGCGCGTCTACTGCACCGTCAGGAAAATGCTTCAGTGTAGCCCGAGATCCGAGATGTGCCACAGCTTGCCAGAGAGTAAGCCAGAACTACCCCATGGGGCCCCAGAGATTTGGTTTCTGCAGGGCGATCTATTGGGGACGATGCGCCAGTAAATGGTTCAGCTGTGTCGTGATTGGGTACGTCTACTTATGTCGCCGCAACTTACTACCTGGTAGCTCTCTGATTTGCGAGATCCGAAAATCCCGACATGAAGCTAAAATCCAGCCACCACCGGTCCTACCTATCGGATAATCTTGATCACGGCAGCCATTGAGATGTCTCAATTTACACAGACTAAAGAAACGTGCATCGAGGACAAGAATCTGCTGCAGAATGGAACACAAAAGATTCAACATCTACAAAAGGACCCTCTCCCTACAGCTTCACCCTGAGTGACCAGTGCTACACTCTAGCACATTGCATTCGACACTCTTGGCTTCTTTCAGCAGTGCTTGTGGGTATTTGGCGAGCTACAAATATCCTATTCTCACAATATCACCCTTTTCGAAGCCATTATACATCAAGTTACGTTACTGAACCATGGCTCCATCTGCGGTCGCTTCTCCTGGCAACGCTGTGCTACTGGCCAAGGTGACTAACAAAACTCACCGGCTGTGGTGGAGAGACCCGGGTCTACAAAGCCTCAATATTCTACTCTTGTCGTGTTTTCTCGGTTCCATAGCAAACGGCTATGATGTATCTCTAATCTCTGGACTCGAGGCAATCCCCCGCTGGTTCGAGGACATATCTGGCGCCAAGAATGTCAATACTCTGGGTCTGCTCATCGCAGCCTACTCCTTTGGCGGTGTTATCTCTTTCTTTCCAGCACCCTGGGTGGCTGACAAGCTGGGTCGTCGGTGGGGGATCATAATTGGAGACGTGGCCGTCATCGGGCAGTGCTTCTGCAAGACGGCCATCCAGTTCCTCGCCACCCGCCTCGTCCTCGGCTTCTTCTCGCTTTTTTACTCCATCAGTTCAACAGCGCTTCCCTCAGAGCTTGCCCACCCGCGCCAGCGAGCTATCGTTGGCGCCCTCTTTAACACATTTTTCCTTGTAGGCGCCATCACGGCGGCTTGGACATCTTTTGGGAGCCACAGTATCGACAACAGCTGGTCGTGGAGGACACCTGTCATTACACAGCTCTTTGGACGAGTGTGCAGCTTATATTTGTCCTATTTACCCCAGAGTCTCCGCGTTGGTTGGTAAATAATGAACGGCTCGACGAGGCTAAAAGCACCTTAGCCAAGTACCACGCCAATGGTGATGAGACTGACGAGCTCGTCATTGTCGAGTTTTTAGAAATTCGCGCCTTAGTCGAGCCAGCTAAGAGCTTAAAGGTGACTTGGGCATCGTTGTTTGCTACCCCCGGCAACCGGAGGAGAATTTCCATCTGTCTCGGGCTCGGTCTCGCTACGCAGTGGGTTGGTAATGGCATCATTAGCTACTATTTTGCACCGGTGCTTGAGACGGTCGGCATCTCCAACCCAACTCAACAGCAAGGCATCAACGGTGGTTTGCAAATTTACAACTGGTTCTTGTCAATCGCCGGGGCGATGCTGGCAGAGAGGGCTGGGCGTAGAAAGCTGTTTATGCTATCGTCGTCCATAATGTTGTTGTTCATGATTCTCGTCTTGACATGCTCAGATGTCTTCGCCAACACGGGAAATTCTTCTTCCGGTACAGCGGTTATCGTGTTCCTGTTCCTGTTCTTGGGCGGCTACGTTATCGGCTTCACACCAATCCCTATTGTATATGTCAATGAGATTTGGCCGACAGAGCTTCGAGCCAAGGGCGGATCCGTGTATTGGCTCTCGCAAACGTTAGCAGTCTGCTTCAACCAGTATGTGAATCCCATTGCGCTCCGCGAGATTCGATGGCGGTACTACTTTGTCTACGTCGGCGTCCTGATTGCCGTCATAATGTTTGTCTACTTCTTTGTTCTCGAGACAAAGGGGAGTTCCTTGGAGGAGGTCGTGGGTATCTTTGACAAGAAGTATGAGGTGGCAGTATCTCAGCCGCTCAGCAACGCATTGAGAAAGGAGGAAACTGAGGTAGTAACCGTCGAAAACACAGCTTGAATTCACCAATAAATTACGCTTGGATAGCCAGAGAGAATTTGAGAATTGAGCAGGGGAGAAAACCGGCCTAACGCCGTGTGAAGCATCCGAGCCAAGTGCACTCACGTGTTCTGTACACTTTACACTTCTCTCCCCCCAGGTAGTCAAGATTCAGCTAGACCTGGATGATGGCAAAAGTCTACGCATTGTGAAAACAGCTTTACCAATACATCGTCCCGAGGGAGCAGCCTTCGCGCGGCAACAAAGCGAGTAAGTAGTACCTACCGTCAATCTTCGACCGCAGTCTTGTCACAGCAATACTGAGCAATAGGAGCATAGGTATTCATGAATAAGCTATAGCTCTTTAATGAGTGATGTATTAATGAAAGTTTTGTGACATGGTGGAATGTTCGTGCTGGAATTTCCGACTAAATGGGGCTGACTCTGCATGAGTCAGATATATCGGTAGTTATTAACCCGGTCTGACTTTAGTCGCATAAACCCCAAATCGAGATGATATAGCCATCCGAAGCGCGGCAGCATTTCTTATCAAAAAGACGAGCGACATAATCACAAGAGCAATATAGCTTGCAACAACTTTTACATATTCATGAGGCATCTCACGATAACTATGGGAACGGTTTGTGTCTATTGTGGAGTCTCTATGTCAACACAAAATCATCTCGAATGGGCGACTTGATCAGATGGCTTCTGCTTCTTCAATCATTGACATCGACGTGGTGGCCAACTGCCTCCCAAGCTATTATGGCCAAACATCTAAAAATTCATGAAATAGATGAATGATTGTACCTGGAAAAAATAGCGTATACTACTATTATGAAGGTTATGGAGGTTATATTTATTATCAAGAGGTTCAGTAGAGCTGCAACAGCTAGGTCAGAGGAAGGCCACGCCCCAGCCTTTGATACTACTATTATATCTAGCTTACTAGCATAGGTATTATACCAGTAAGTAGTACAGATAAGAAAAAACTTGGGTAGGATAGAACTCCCCACTGGGTATCATTCAAAAGAATAGATCCCCCAGCCGTGCTGTGATCCTTAGCATCAGCGATTGAAAGCAATATTATAGTCAGACTAAAAAGATATACAAGCACAATAGGCTTCAGGAGCCATGATAGCTTTGTCCAGATCGGCGATTGAGCCAACGTAAGGCAGAGGGCTCGGCCAGAGATAGCAAAGGTTAGGCTCATACCGATCATATATGCTGCAGCCCTAATGGTAGAGGACACTTCCTGATCATGGCTTCGTCTCACTGAAAAGTATATCCAAGTAGACAGGAATAGCTGGCATGCAGCAAAGATTGTTGTAGAGCCTGTAGATGTATCCATGGCATCGTTTCTCAGGCGGTTGACCACAAGCCGGATAGCCGCGTTCACAGCCATCGCAGTACATCCCATTTCCGGCAAGCTCATAAGCCCGTAGTTGAGGGTGATAACCAGTCCAAAAAAAGCAATCAGGTTAAGCACCGAGGCCAAGATTTGCACAGAAGGTATCTTAGATACATGATTCTGGTCAAGTCTAGCACCGCAGCAGCCACCAAAGTAGCACCCGATACGCCCAACAGCTTCACCAATTAAAAGCGCCAGGGCCATGGAAGCAAGCAACACGTCTCGAGCAAGTGTGGGTGCAATATAATGGATCTGCGATACCCACAAAGCTGAGAACAGTATGCCTCCTTGAATAGATATGCCGTTCAAAGATATAGTATCCAGGAATGGCACGCCAAACATTTTGCAGAAACTGACGGTGCAGCGATCTGGGTCCAAGGTGCTAGCAAGTGAAGTACAAACAGAATCTGGGTTTGGAGGCGTTCCTTGAGCGGGAGGATAAGAACGTGGCGCTGTCGATGGAGAGCAATCAATTGCTAGCATCAAATAATTGATAGCTTTCGCTCCAACTAGTCCGGCTATGACGATTCCAAGGCCAGATATGATTAAATCATGATTTTCTATGTCCAATAGTAGCACATCACGCTGTGAGCAGTACACAGCCGCCGTAACCACCTGAGCCGTCACTATGGAGAGGCTGAGCATCGTGCGGTACAGGGTTATCCGCGTTCTCTGACCAATGCGAATATAACCGGGCCTGACCAAGACAAGCTGTACGACTCCTTGTATAGATAGTTGCTTGAACGCTAGCCGTATCAACCAGCCGCAGTAGAAAACAACACTGGCAATGTAGTTCAGCTCACTGATCCTTTTCACTGGCATCAGCACGGATAGAGTAACCGTTATCGAGGGTAGTGCCCGGACAATAAGGAGAGATATTGCGTTGATGACCGTAATTTGTGCGTACAGTCTCGAGTTTTTATGATTTTTCCCTTCGAACTTGAGCAACGCAATTGCATCCGATAAGAGCTCTGTGATTAGGCCGGCGTAGATCAAATACAGGGGCCGGCGCGGAAGGTTGTTGAAGAGAATGATGGCAAGAGAGCTAAGCGACAGAATATGGTGAATAAGGTACTCGGACGAGTAGCTCAAACGCGGCAGCTCTGATGTCCAGAGCGCACCACGCGAGCTCAGGCAAATCTTCTCCATTGTGGACATTCGGGAGTGAACTCTTGTTTGGTCTGTGTCCGCCGGGGTGAACACGAAGGCTCCAAGGCAGATTGGAGCGCTCATCGTGGTCCATACGATGCCAACAATGAAGACAAAGTAAGCTGGAAATCGGCTACCCTGATCTTGCTTCAGCTGGCCGTATGTTGTTGGCATGAATCGTTTCATGGCGGTGCGCGCAATGAGGAGCGAGGCTCTGTGTCCAGCTAGACAGGCTAGCGCCAATCCTGCGTCGCGGACAGAGATTGCGTTTGCCAGCGAATAGTTACCGGTCGCCTTGGCCTCCATTTTGCCTAGTCTAATGATAGGGAACTTGGATGTACACGTTATGAGAGTCGGCGTCAACTGTCAAAATAATCAGGTAGTTGAGCATGTCTTAATATCACTTTGATACCCCAAACATATCGTACATCAGTTTAATATCGCAGTGAGAGATATGGCATAGAGTGTACGAGTACACCCTACTACAACCAAATATAGCCTAAAATGTCAGCACTAAATCAACAGTTGTGTTATATAAACATACGTAGGAGGAGGTCTTGTGGTCTTGGTACTGACAGGGGTCATTCCGTGCCCTGTTTCCGTGACGAGTTTCTCAGGCTTGAGCTCATCTGAGACCTCTATGCCTGTCAGTCAGCCTGACACGCTTGGGCGGTCTCTCCATGTGGATCTAACCATACTAGTAGTGCTCGTTATCGCTCACCCATCCTTAATTAGGAGGCTGGCGATATCAGAATCAGGGTGGTTGATAGGCATGAGACGGTCCGTAAAGTCTCTAGTGTCACCACCTTGCCGCACAACCTTTGCATAGCCGAGGCTCTAGATCAGGGTCGGAATGTGATCTCTCTGAATCCCGGCCTGCATGATCTGAGAGAAAATCCATAACCTGGGACTGGGGAGCTACAACCTGAAAGGCTTGGCAGCTGAGATCCCCTAGTTTTACATCCAACGGCTTGATGGTAGGCTCCACTCCAACGAAAGAGGGAGGGTGTTAAAGGATGGACAAGAGAGGCATGGCATCATACTTTGGAGACCTGCGATGGACAAAGTGGATTAAGATGTGGTTGATGAAAACAGTCGCCAGAGTCTAAATAAGAGAATCGAAGAAACTGCTCGTTGTTGGATGCCTTGACAGCGTGCTGCTTAGTTGATATCGCCACATATTGAACTATTACAAAGCGTTACAAATGTTTGTTGATGACACATGATGAACGCTGGTACGATGCGAATACTAAGCAGGAAGCCCATAATATATCTAAGTCGGAAAATTGGATGTTACTTTTTTTTCATTGTAAGTAGACACCTGGTCGAATTTATTTACATTTGCGTCAAAGTTTCAAAGCTAATGACTAAAGGTTATCAAACTAGAGTAACAACTGTGAATATAATTATGGGTTTATAATCATACAGTAAGATGATATGATTATCTCATAATACAATGCCTGCTCAATGTTCGAATTGCGTTATATACATTGCATGCCCCGTTTGTTGGAATACTTATTTAAATAATCTATTATCTGATACACAATAATAATAGAAGCAATTGAACTCATGCATCCACTATATTCTCACTATTAAAATGTTGAAATCTATCGCACTATTAAACATTTTGCTTGCTAGAACTCTAGCCTACACGGACAATTCCATCCCTATATATCACCAAGTTAGCACTGATGCTACAGGGCCAACGCTTAATAGCGATGGATACTTTGTTGAATCATTTGGCGGAGGAGCATATATGATCACTAACAACCAGTATCAAGCAATGTTTCTCGTCTCGACTAAGGGGGGAATTGTTGCTGACGCGCCACCTACAATTAGTCAGAATTTGCTCTATGCTATTGGCAATGCTACCCATATCCCCATCACACATCAAGTTTACAGTCATTCTCATTCCGATCACATTTTTTCATCGTACTTATACGGTCAAAACGTCAAGCGAATTGCACATAGCATGGCCAGAGAATCTTTGAAAGATTCGTCTGATCCTAATCGACCGTTACCAGATGAAGTATTCAGTCATGAGCAAATACTGAAAGTCGGTAACCAAACACTTCATCTCAAGTACAATGGCCCCAATCATCACCCAGGAAATATTTTCATATATGCTCCCGCACAGAAAGTATTAATGCTGGTAGACAGTAAGTAGAATTCTTGTTTCCTTGTCCTTAACAGTGAAACCATCATCAAGGCAATGGGAGGCCTAATGTTAGTTGTGTTCCCGGGATGGGTACCATACGCGCTATTAGGTCAAGTGGAAGATATATCTGGATATATCCAAGCTCACGAATTTGCGCTTGCTTACGATTTTGAACATTACATCGGAGGTCACTTGACGCGATCGGGAAATCGTACCGACGTAGAGAACAATCATGGCTATGTGCTCGATCTTGAAGCGAATTGCCGTGAAGCTTTCTCACTCGGTGGAAGCCCGCCAAACGCTACCAATCCAATAAATGCAGATGCTATTCGCTCAGCTGCGCTTGCGGTTAACCCAGGAAACGGCTACGCGGCGCAAAGGACTTTGTTGGATGCTTATAGCGAATACTGCAACAACAAAACTAATGAAAAATGGGCGAATAAGCTAGCGGCTACGGATGTCTATGGATTCTATAATGCATTCAAGATGATTGACTCTTTGCGGCTTGAACTGGATGTCACTGTCCCCTAAACTAGTTATAAAAACTATTACAGCTGGATTTTACTTTCTCAGAGGTTTACTGTTATGGCCTAATACAGGACTATACGTTGCGACTTAATAACTTTATGGTTGCAATAGCAGACTTGCAGAAACTGGATGAGTGATTGGCCGATTAGCCAATAGTATCTGGCTAGTGCTAGTCTCTTGGTAGGCGCGATACATGTAAATTACGATTCTTCCAGCTCGTTCTAGCTATACAAGCCAAATAATAGTTGGGTACAAAGGTTTACATTCTATAGGTAAACTTATTTAGGTAGCTTAAAATAAATAATATGTAACAGACTTATAGAATGTAGCATTATACAATACCAAGGAACAATCGCTTTACATTACACATAATAATAACATATATGTATATATAATTGAAACCCCAAAAAACCAGTATATTTATATTTTCGCTACCTAAGGGAACGCTGAGTTCATTAATGCTACCAAGAAAATTCTTACGTATAAGAGGCTTACTTAATTTCGGAATTACGGAGGGTCCTTAAGGCTAACTTCTTATTATTGTTAAATATTAGGTTGAGCTATTTTACGCTATCCATTCAGCCTTACTCTACTGCCTCATGGAGCGGGGGAACAGCACCTCCCGCAGTCCCATTTCACCACAGATTTTGGATTTATTTGTCTCATGAGATTACATTCCCCACACATTTACACCCATGTCCCAGGCAGCAGTATCTACGGTATTCCCAAAGTGGAGGCCTGAGACTCTCGACATCCACCACATCGACACTGGGAGCGGCAATGCCACTCTGATCGTTGGCCCCGATGGGACAACTATTTTGATTGATTGTGGGACTTCTAAGGATGCTTCCGTGGGACAGGACGACTTGCGCCGACCCGGCGAGTTGGTGGCGGCCTATGCTTTGCGCAACAGCCCAAGCACGACGCTCGAGTATCTTGTGGCCACTCATGTACACCCGGACCACGTCGGCGATGTTCATTCTGATAAAACAGCGATAGGTAACGGCTTCCAAAGGACTGGGCTCAGTGACGTTGATCATCATATGCCGGCGAGGCTAGTGATCGATCGTGCCTATCCCAATTACGGCTTGCGGCCACCACTATCAGCCCCCTTCACCGACAACTACCTGGCTTGGCTCGATGCCAGGCGACAGGAAGGGCGTGAGGTCACCTGCATTGACGTCGGTTCGAATAGCCAGATCAAGCTGCAGTCGCCTGAAGACTACCCAACGTTCTCCATCCGGACACTCGCCGCAAACGGCTGGGTGTGGACCGGCGACGGGCAAGAGAGCCGCTCACTTTTCCCAGATCTCAGCACGCTACCGCCAAAGGCGCTGCCTGAAGAGAACAAGTGTTCAATAGCATTCCTCTTGTCATATGGCCTCTTCCGTTACTATACTGGTGGCGATCTTACCTGCGACACTTATGATGGCCGTTATCCCTGGATGGACATCGAAACACCCGTGGCGAAGGCTGCAGGTAAAGTCGACGTCGCCGTTGCTAATCACCACGGCTATTTTGATGCCTGCGGACCTGGCTTCGTTACTATGCTTGATGCCGCAGCTTATATAATTCCCGCCTGGCATGTCACTCATCCGGGAATGGCTCAGCTCCAGCGTATGCTTGGGGCTTGGCCGGGCGTGGCGAGACGCAACGTCTTTGCCACCAGGATGTTACCGGAGAATCGTCTTCTCAACAACCGCTTCATTTCTGAGATGTGCAGTCGGCAGGGTCATGTGGTGGTTCGCGTAGCGCCAGGAGGAGGGAGCTACAAAATTTTCGTACTTGACAGCAATGACGAACAGGACTATGTGACTGCTGAATTTGGTCCTTATCTGTGTAGCTAAACTATTGGAACTCTCATTTTTTAATATCTTGATGAAATTTAAAGGGCGAATAACCCTATTACCTTAACACCGAGCTGAAAGACGCCCTTGCTCCAGCTGTATACTCTATCAGACCAACTGAATCACGATACATGGTATGCATATATTCTGGGATCGATATCTATCATAACGTTAACATCTTTATGGACCCGATGTCAGGATCTCAGGATGAAAAGACAGTTGTTCAATATCTCGCTTGGCTTCAATTAACCCTTATTTACTCTACGTAGAGGTAGTACAGAATGAGAAGGGTCGGAGTTGGATTAGAATGTAGCGTCCGCCTTGACATAATGCTCTAGCAAACGCTTGATGTCCAGCGATGGAGAAACACTCGTGTCTTGTACCAAAGAGCGCTGCCAGGCCCGGCCGAGTTACCAATTATGGCTATAAATTGATAACGAGGCAAGTCAGAGCCGCCCATCAAAGTGGGAGCTGTATCCTCATTGCTATGATTAGTTATCAGTCGGTGGCCCAACATATTTGCATATAACCTCTTCTTTCCCAGTAGAGCACTGCGACAAAACAGTACTAGTTCTCGTATCAAACAGCTCAATCAACTCACCGCCATCGGGAGTGACTCTGCCCGCCGATCCCTGCGCTGACGCGTTTCGGATAGTGATAGTACCATAGTCGGGAGAGGCTACGATGCCGGTATCATTGCCTCCAGAATTGTTGTAGTCTTCGACAATCCACTCAACACTTTTCTGACACAGCGGTGCATCTGATGGTGCATCAGTGCCGGTAAAAGTGTGCGATACAGTCTGCCCAGTGCTGAGGTTGTCTAAGATAGCGGAGCCATTGAAAGGTCCGTAGGCGTTGATAGTCATTCTGATGTCGTCGCCCTCGCCGACTTCGAAGTTCTCAAAAACCGGCGCGCTTAGAGGAACCGACTCAAACCAGCCGAACGCTGTGCCATTGCCGGTGAGCCTGACGCCTGTTTGTAATAGACCACCTCCAGGGCATTCTGCGGAACCATCGATTCCAACCCAAATAGAAGGACCAAAGCTTTTGCCGCCATTTGGAACTGTGAATGTGCCAGTCACCGAGGTAAATCCACTTCCGCTCTGCTTAACACCGGACCATACGCGGTCTAAAGTTTGTGGGGGATTTGCGTCAGTCGATTGTGAGGAGATAGCTGACGCCAGGGTAGCCGTCATAAAATTAAGGACAATGAGCTTCATACTGAGACGGAGGTCTTTCTGTTGGAGAATTATAAATCAGGCAGTTCAGCGGTATGTGTTACGCAGCTGGTGAGAAAGAAGGGATACGCCTGTGTTATATACAGGCCTCATCAGTTGTTGTCCATAGTTCCATCAAATACGAGAACGTCAGCCACGCTTATGGCAATTGATCGACGGTTGGCAGTATGATGAGACGTGTATGCGGTATTCGCAATCTACCCCTATGCATGAACGGCAGTCGGCAGTCGAACACAACGTGTATGCGGAATTCGCAACCCGCATTGTCTATTAACGTTACTTTATACTTATCAGCCACTATGAAGGCTTCACAGAATCATTTTTGTGATTATTGAAAACAAAAATGCTTGTAGTTAATTTATTTTTGGGTAAGTCAACGACAACTGATGACCATGTAGCCATTCGATCCTTCATTTGGATCCCCTGAATAGATACAACCATGATACCCAAAGACATATTTATATCCTCTTCATTGAGAACTTCCTTTCTAAATGAATCTCAGAGAGACGATATCAGAGTACCAATAAAACGCAAACAATTTATGACTCACTTTTTATACTAGTTATTCAGCGAAAGTTGTTTATGTAGAAGTTAGACTACCCTAGGAATACCAAGTCAGAGGGCAACGTGTCAATGTAAGATCCATAAGTAATGTCCCTATCTCCGCTGAACCCAACAGCAGACACTTAGTCCCTTGTAAATTACTTCTCATCCTCGGATATTCTCACATTCGAAGCTGCGAAGTTCTGCTTCAGATATTTGATTCTCTTCGTTCCGGGGATAACAAAATGTCATCTCCTGGGCTAGGAGCCAGGCCAGAACCAGTTGTCCAGATTCGCAGCCCTTTGCTTTGGACGCATCTGCCGACTTATCAACTAGCTCGAGGTTCTTTTGGAAATTGTAGCCTTGGAAGTGCTTCAGGCCGACTCGAGCGTCACCGGGACCAAAGTCAGCCCTTGACCGGTACCTGCCCGTCATGATGCCATTAAGGAGCGGCCAATATGCAAAGAATCGAGATTCCAAGCTCTTGGCATGTGTCGAAGAGGTTCGTCCCTTGGGCTTCTTCGATTTCTAGTGTCCATAGACTGTATTCTGCTTACACAGCGGAAATGGGGTGCATATTGTAGGCGCGTCTGACGGTCGTTGGAGATACCCCTGAGAGACCCAAGTACTTGACCTTACCCTGACGGTATAGAGAAATGAAAACATGAGCTCACCGTCTCGAAGAATCAGTTTTTGATTTGCTGTGAGGAATGCTTTACGTACCTCATGAGCTCTCGCATCGCCATGATGGTTTTCTCGACCGGAATTTTGGAATTGGGGCGATGCACGTAGTGCAAGTCAATATAGTCAACATTAAGCCGATCTAGGCTGCGTTTGAAGCATTTGGCGCAATTGTCTGGCGAGGACGCTGATGCTATCATCGTTTCCAACACTTAGGCCAAACTTTGGGGCGAGAAAGATGTCTTTGCGACGCTCGGGGTGCAGAGCAAACCATTTTCCGAGTATAGCCTCACTGTTACCATAGACATCCGCTGTGTCCCAGTTTGTACAACCCAGTGCCCACGCGCGATCAAGAAGCTCGAGTCGTCCTGGATCCGACCTGCGTTTGTCAGTTCTTAGTTTTTTTAACCATTCAGATTTTGTTTTGGGTATCTATACGCTGCCGGTCTATATGCTATGCTTATGGCGATTATACCGAATTCTATGGCAGGTATCAGAGGACCGTCTTTGCCCAGGCGACGAAGCAAAGGGGCAGTTAGTTTAACCATGATGATTGATATAGTATGAATACCAATAAGTGTACAAGTTTCAAATTGACTTTTGATGAAGTGAAACTGACTTTCTGAGGTGTGGCGAGATTCCATATGTATTTGAAGACTCGAAAGTGGAGTGATTTCAACCACCTGCCCTTGGCTTCCGGACCCCTTGGTTTCTCCTGACCCATGAGTGTTCACTACATGCCAACAAGTTCTGATTATTAATGTGTTGTATTGATTTTTCAAAAGCATCATTAGAAATCACGACCCGATGGCCGGCTCAATCAATAAAATTGGGCAGCCCGCATACGTTGGCTTTAACAGTTTGGATTAGTGTGATGAGAACTTAGTAGCGCAATAATGGCCTATTATCTACTACTACTACGAAGCATCGCCGGGCCTCGACTGAAGTTTGCCAGATTCGCTAACCAACCCATCCCTCTTGCGAGAATGCTAGTCCTGATCCAACTATCTCGGCATATGGTTACACGCCCAAAGGGCATCTTTGGTGTCATATTTCTCGACCTACTTTGTGTCTTGTGCACTCACCTGACATGATAATTGCCGACGATAGCAGATGGCTGCTGAAGCTTCCGTGTAATATCAGCCTTCACATCAAATACCGCCCCCCTGTTTTCTTGGGCTAGTACCTTAATCTCTCGTAATGGCACTCTTTTTTTACCCTCTCCATTGATGCTCTTGTCATGGTTGAGCCATCGAACACCAAGATAGCCACTGGAAAGCGGCGCTGAGCTCCCTCTCTTCCAACTTCAGAGGCAGGTTAGTATGTAGTCCGTGACACACAAAAAGGCGCTTAAAGTTGCAGGGCGATAAAAATGACTGGAGAATATGCTTGCTAGTGATGTGATCGTATAGCAATTATCTACTAGGTAGTATGACGGCCCCCGCCGCATTGCCTACTACATGGGGCTCCCGATTTATTAAGTGGCAAGTCGTTGGTTGCAGTCGCTTAGCCCAGATACTACTTGCCGTTTAAACCCACCTCGTGTGTTACGCAAGTCAACTACCATTTTGAAGCAGATGGACACCCGAGGGAAGTTTTACATCGAGATCAACCAAATACACTGGCATTCGTCCCCGTTACTCACGCCGCTTATACTACCTAACTCTGGCGGTACATATGCTCTTAATAGAAGGAATGTGCAGGTGAATACATATTTGCAAGCTCAATGGGGATCAATTTTGCCGATCGAGATAGATAAACCGCATCAGCTGTTCAAAGGCAATATTATATTATTGGACACACTGTTCTTAACTACATAATGTCATTCAGTAAGGAGAGACATAAGCAAGTTAAACTGCAAAATATTTTGAGGGCTACCAAGGAGAGACATAAGCAAGTTGAATGCAAAATATTTTGGAGGCTACCAGTTCATCTTTATATTTCTCTGGGCCCCTTATTTCACAGTGAGATTTGTACCTATATTCATAAATGGATTCCTACCCCTTTATACTTGTAAAGATGTCATGCTCTCAGACAGGTCATCGACGCCAACTTTGAGGAAGTTCGGGTCATTCATAAGCCGAACTCTAAAGCTGTCGGTCATAACCTCTTCAATGTCCCAGTTGGCCAACACAAATCGTCCGTGTAAGAACTCAGCCTCGGGGGTTGACGCCGACACGACGGTCTGCCCAGCTAGGTTTTCTGCTCCAAAAGTCAATATATCCCACCTGGTAAGAGATTTGGAGAATACCACGTCTCGCGTCAATAGTTCAGGAGTAGCTCACCATCATCCCATGAGAGACTACTCTCGTCTAATCCAGCAGCACGGGCAGTATCTGAGAGCACGCTGCCAGGGTGGATGCTGACGATCTGCAGCTCATCAGGCCTTACGTCTTTGGCAATCTGTTGCATCAGAGCCGTACCGGAATTCTTGGTCAGGCCATATGATGGAATCTGAGGGGTTACGCCGGTCCAAATATATATGGCCACTGTGGAAATATTAATCAGATACTACAGCCTAGTTAGTAGCAGTTGTTTCGTCACACGAAGCGATCCAACATTATCTTTCATCCAGGAGCACCCTGTCCCTTTTGTTCGTACAGTCGCTCCGCAAAATCGAGGTGGGATTGGACGTTGGTGATGTATGACTGCCAGACCCGATCGCGGCCTGCTTCCAACAGCGACTTTGCATCTCCAAAAGATGCGGCGTTCATGACAACCACATCAACAACGATGCCCTCCCCTTCCAGGCGATCCCAAAGTCCCGCAGTCACATCAATATCACTCGTGTCGCAGATACGCCTGTCCACGATGGTGGGGGACTCGATTGCCTGGCCCTCTGCTATGAGCCGGGAAACAGCGAGCTCCACCTTCTCCTTACCGCGGCCAACGATGATAACACGCCTGGCGCCAGCGGCGATGAAGTTCCTCGCAATAGCGAAGCCAATACCGCCATTCTCTCCAGTCACAAGAATTGTCTTGCCTGCCTGACTGAGTTTGGGTTGTTTGGGGTCGATGGCCGGGTAAGGCGTTTTGTGAAAGATCTTCAGGCCCAGACTCATCTTGTCTTGTTTGAAACGTCCTGAAATGGGGATATGAAGGGCGAATATAAAAATACCAAGAGTACGCAGTACAATAGGATTGACGAATCGAAAAACCGCGTATTGATTTCCATGCGTCCCATGTATTTTATGTTGTTCCGCCAGCCGCTAGCATGAGCAGATCGATGCACGTGGAAGTTGTGGGTTCGAGTCGGCAGAATCGGATATGAACTCCATACGAAGTCCGCAGTTGTGGGAGCATGATCGGTCGTATCATACCCTTTCGCCCGTGCAATTGAAGTACAACTGCTTCTCAGATCAACGGTGCATTGCGGACAGTTGGTGGCGAGAACAAAACGAAAGAGCTTGAGTGCGGCCATGGAATTGAGGCGGAGGAGGTTCGGAGGAAAACTGCTGCTGGCGGCCACGGTCGGGGATGGGTGGGTCGAATCTGTGGAGGTACCTCTCACACTCCCACATGGAAGGGGTTTCTGGGAACTTTGCGGAGGAGAGTCGGTTATCGTCCGCCCGGTGCTTGGGGACAGATTCGGCGGACTCTGCGGCTCAAGGCGGCGTTACTGATGTTAGCTCCGCCATGTGTCCTTACCAACAGCAACACATCCGCACCCGACCCGCATGTCCGCCTCTCGCTCAGTGACTCCAACAGTATTTTCCTCTGAACACCTTTCCGAATCCCTTTCCTGTCAAGCAAGCCAGCTCCGCAAGCCATACGCTCCGTCATGAGGGCCGCAGACCTTCACGATGCAGCGCAGCTCTAAACGGAAGTCATGTTTCAACTGCAAAAGCAGTAAGAGACGGTGTGACCGGACGCTTCCAGCTGCACCAGATGTATCGACCATGGAGTTGAGTGGGCATATCTCTTCTCGCAGGACCTGTCTGATCGCGGCTCTCTCGATTCTCGGCACAGCAACAACGGAAGGCAGACAACTTTTGATGTCCACTCTACACCAACACAGCCACGCGATGCATTTGATCCAGAGGCTTCATCAGGGATAGCCAGCAGCCACCAAGCTTCTGGATCATGGTCATCGTCGGCGCAAGCCCCGTCCATAGTGGCCCTCGCCAAATTACACGCTCTGTCTAGTAGGGAACCGAAACGGTTCACACCGCCCTCCACCTGGGTTGTCCAGCCATTCTGCAACCAATGGAGATGCGGAAGCTACTTCTGAATACATATACCCCGAACCTCAGCGGGAAGGTGAGACTACACAAAACAAGAGGAAGAAGATATAGATGTGGAGGCTCAAGAGGTCGAAGAGATGGGGGTAGAAGAAGCTAACAATGGGGAAGACAAATCCTAGGAAATTGTGCAAGAAAGGCAGTAAAAGAATTTCCAAGGGAAAAACCTTCCATCCAACAATTTCTGAGCACCCAGATGTCCGCTGGTTTGACACATTGCTGATAGTGCACCCAATCTCTTGTCGATGTGATGGAATATCGGAATGATATCGACAGGACTTGGCCGCACTCCTACCGCTCAGAAATAGACAAGGCACGAGAAGAAGACTTGGAGGGCCTGGTTAACATTCTGGGCGTAAAGTCTGGCTTTAGCATTTCCACCTTGTCTAAACCATCTGGGTCGCTTGGTGCCTTGCTTTATGACCAAGAGAAATGCCCTATATAAACGGCGGCTGGCTTAAAGTTCATTCTCTATTATGTCATATATGTTTCACTACCTGCCTACACACCTATCCGTTGTCTGCATTTACATGTAGTATAGCTTATCGTAACCAGGTGCGGGACTACTCTTGGGATTAAAAATCCCTTGTCTAAAATAACATAAGTAACAAGTTCCCATAAGTTCCACCTGGGACGGGCGGTACCTGATGCGTTTGGTACATGCCTCTTGATAAACTAAATCAATCCGTTGTAAATTGCCAAGATATCCCAGTTTTCTGTTCGAATACTAGCCCCATGCTTATGACATCCGCCTGGCGGTGTTTACAATGATTGGTTACGCCTTGGCCACAGAAATTTTACCGCGCGGCATTATATAAGCCTTGCAGCACCCATACTGTGGGTTGCGTATATATGTATTCAAGTCTAGAAGCGTAGCTTGAAAGTTCCTACTAAAGCACAACGGCCACGACTTATAATCAAGTCAGTTTATTTGCTCCTATATACTAAAGCCGTCGAGATACCGTCTTTTGCCATGGTTAAAGTTGCCGTAGCAGGCGGCACCGGTGGCCTTGGTCGAGCCATTGTGGGGGAGCTCGCAAACTCCGACCACGAGACCATCGTTCTGACACGAGAGGTATGCACAACTCTTTTTTTTTCGCGCAAAGCAGTAGACTTACACTTTATGACAACTAGCACAACATAAATCACACCATGATTGCCGGAGCAACGCTGGTAGCCATCGACTACACTAATGTAGAGGCTATTGTTCGGACACTCAACGATCACCAAATCCACACGGTGATCTCATCCATCGTAATCAAAAGCTTAGAGCAATCCGAAGCTCAAATAAACCTTATTCGCGCAGCCGAAGCTACACCGTCTGTAAAGAGGTTTACCCCCAGTGAATTCGGTACCCCCCGACTGGATGCGTAAGTTCCGCTTTCCCAGGTCTGGCCTTGTTATCTTGCTCAACAGTCGTTTGGACTAGATCGATTAAAGCAGGTGCTGTTATCTCCACCAGTTACAAAGATGCCTCAATCGCAGAGCTGGAGAAGACTCACCTCGAGTATACTCTCTTCTCTCATGGCGTGTTCATGGATTACTATGGGATGCCCAAATGCCAATCTTACTTAACACCCTGGGTATTCGCAATCGATATTGCTCACAAAGTGGCGGGTATCCCAGGGTCTGGCAATGTGCCTGCGGTCTATACATATTCTGGAGACGTAGCCAAGTTTGTCGTGGCTGCCACAGGCCTTCCCGATGGAACATGGCATAAGCATAGTATAATGATTGGTGATCGCCGAACTCTGAATGAGGTCCTTGGTACAGCAGAATCTATTCGTGGAAGGTTTAAAGTGCAATACGACACTATGCAGAAACTTCAGCAAGGGGAGATAACTGAGTTACCCTCCCATACGCGCTTGTATTCGCAAACTGCGAAAGAGTTACTCCAACGGCGTTTCGCTGGATTTGGTATTGGGATGGAGACTGGGGCGTTTGACTTTAATATTCCAGCAAATGGCGTATTATTAAATGACTTATTTCCAAATATTCAGGTGAAATCTGTGGAAGATATTATTATAGAAGGCTGGGCTAAAAATGCCTGAAATACTATTGCTTAAATAAAATTGAACTTTTATACTTATATATTACTGAATTACTTTATATATTATATTAGTATATATTACAGCCTAATTTAAGTTAAGGTATATTATAAATATATTATAAATAAATATTTCTTTTAAATAACTAATTAATATTAAAGTAATAAGTTTATTATAAGTTACCTTAGATAAATTACTTATAAAATAGTAATTTTATACTTAAGTTTATAATTTTAGTATAATAAACTAGTATTTATAAGTTAATATAAATAATACTTTCTAAGGGATAAATTTATTTTAGTAAAAATATATAATTTTTAAATTTATATTATAACTTTATACATAAAATACTTTAGTATTAAAAATATAAAAGTAAAGTTATATTAAAATATAAAAGTAAAATTATATTAAATAAAATATTAATTTTTATTAATTATCCTTACTTATTAATTTATTAATTATTTAAGTATTATAACTTAATACTTATAGTTATAACTAAAGAGCCTATATAATAAGTATTACTAAATTAAAGTTAATTCTTTTTACTAATTAAGGAAAAATTAAGAAATATTCTTTTAATTTAACATAAAATTAATAAAATAAATATTAATTTATATAACAAGCTAAGCTCCTATAGGGTTAGTATAAAAGGAATTTCCTAAGGGATAAACCTTATACTAGGTTTATATTAGTGGATAAGCTAGGCTAAACTAATAGGTAATTAATAAGAAATTAAGTATAAGGTATTTATATAACTATAAAAAATATTCTATAAATATAATTAAGTATTATTTTATATTTATAACTAGCTATTTAATTATTCTAAATAAATATAAAGAATAAAACTTATATATTTAGTTATACTAAACTAAATTAATATTTATTTTATTAATCCTGCGTTAAATTAAGGGAATATTTCTTAATCCTTTTTTAATTAGTTAGAAGGATTAACTTTAATTTAGTAGTACTTAGTATATAGGCTTCTTAGTTATAATTATAAATATTAAGTTATAATATAATATCCCCCTTTTATTAATTTTATTCTTAAGACTTTATTTTATTTAATATAAATAGCCACTCCCTTTTATTACCCTAAGTTAATTAATTATTCCTTTAGTAAGTATATATTTTTATTAACTATTATATTAGGTATTTATAAAAAACCTTATCCTAAAACTAAGTATAAGAAAATTTTATTAAAAATTATTTTATCTTATCTTATTAAAATAAAAAACTATATTTATTATATAAATAAAAAAAAATATTAATTCCTTAAGTATTAAATATTTAAAAAGGATTTTACTTATTATACTAAGTATATAAAAAATAATAAGTCTTTTTATAATACTTACCTTTTATTAATAGCTTAACTTTATAAAATTACTTTCTTTTATACTTAATATAAGGAAGTTTTTAAAAAGGCTAAAGAAAAATATAAAACTATTAATATAAAAATAAAGTATTTTTATAAATTAAAATATCTTTAGCTAAAAAAAATAATTTATATTATTATATAAAGTATTAATAATTTAAAGAAGTTAAATTAAGTTAAGTATATAAGGGCAGAGGCCTTATATTAATTTAAAATATTATTACTTAATTTATTTAATCCTATAATCCTAGACTTTTAGGAAGTATTTATAGATTTTTTTTTTTTAATATTTATTTAGAGTCCTTAAATCCTAATTTTCTTACCTTAATAAGGGATATTCCTTTATTATTTTCCTAAGTAGTTTAGGAGGTATAAGTTCCTTTATTATAAGTTTTTATTAT